TATGTGTCTTCTGTTGCAGATGACGTTGTCGTGACGCTTGCGACTCACTTTAAAAGGACTAAATGTGAAAAATGTTTTAATTTTTTTCTTTGTAACAAGTTAAACAAAGCCTCTTTAGAAGGGAGTAGGAGGTTCTCAAAAGAGGGCAAAAAACACCCTGCTGAACTGTCCTTTTTTCCTCACTGTAGGTTAGGAAACGATGAAGCAAACTTAAGAAGAAGCGTGGCAGAGAGATCTGCAGCGTCTCGTCCATCGGGTCCTCAGCGTTCAGTATCTGTATCCTCAGGAAACAGAAAAATTACGTGACTCAAACCATAGCCTCGACGCTTTAGCCTAATCTAGTAAGTAGCAGCAGTCAGTATTCCTGTGTTTGGCGTAGTCTCCAAGGGCTGAGTTAAGTCTAATCCCTCATTAACTGTAACCCCTTTATTACGCTAATCGCCTTTTGAACCACTCAGCCCAGGTAACTTCCTGTATGGGGTGTCTGGCATCACATGGCGGTAGTGTTACTTGATAGCATTAGACGTCGTTGGAAAAGCATAACTTAAATGTCGCCACCGGTATCACTATCGTTGGCTGGGATTCTGTTTTGGCATTCCCCTATTTATGAAGGAGCGTTTCCGAATAAGAGTCCCTCTAGCCTGACTACCAGCAACAATACAGGGCTTATCGATTTTTATTGTTTTTTTTTGGTATTATGAATGTTGATGAGCAGGAACTGACACCATCCACTTGTAACTGATTCATCCTTTTTATTCTTTTCAGGATTATTTTCCAGCAGAAGACTGTAATAATTAGAGAACCTAGCATTCCAACGGTAAATACATGCCATCACTGATCAGTGTTACAGTGAAGAACAAACCTGAACGACCTTACTTTTCATCGCAAGTTCCGTGTTATTTGATAGTCGTTGGCCGTGTAAGTGTGATTAGGCTCTGTGGACGACACTGACTAAACCCAAGTGGCTTCACTGAGGACCCACAACTTACTTTCAAGTTCCTGGACTATCGGTTGCGTTTCAACTATACGCTACAACTATAGGCTTTGTTGTCTGCGAGCAGAGGTTTCTCTCGCATGGCTTTTAGCGTTTACGAAGTCGTTCACGGGGCGGCAAAACCAACTACGTAATACACAAGCCACGCGAATGACTTCGTAAACGCGGAAAGCCATGCAAAAGAGAAACCTCTTCTCCCAGGATATATGCTTTGCCTGGGAGCTCTATAACTTTTACATAGTAGAAGTCGCTCACGAATGTTTTGGACGGGAAATCAGAGAAACAAACGTTGCCTGTATATAGGTAAAAATATTTTTCAAAGAAATCGGATCCCAAAAAGCCATTAGTCTTCTCTCGAAGATGGCTTTGTATCTATAGGCTGTTGTTAGAATGGCGTAAATTAGCAGTAAGGATAGATCCTCGGAGTCCCTTTTTATGTTAGTCGTTAACCCTCACGCCAGAGAAAACGTTAATGCAGGACAAGAAAATGTCCAGATTTTGTCCTAAGAATTCGCTATGATTAAGCAGTGCCATAAGAGAAATAGCCTGTTCCAGACGCCAAGATAGTGTGGAAAGCGGATCCAGAAAAGTTGCGCGAAAACCGCGTGGGGGGTTGGGGAGAGACGGAGTAGTAGCCTTTCCTTTCCTTCGTTCGCTATTTCACTGCTCGCTCACTTTTTTCGCTCGTCTGCACTGACCGAGATCCTGGCACAGGCTATAAGAGCCAGAGCTTGATTGCCGTAATTTGAATCTTCTCTCTCGAGGATTTTAAATTCGTACCAAGTGAGGTTTAACGATTAACTTGAGGCCGCCGTTTCAGCGGAGTGACTTGATTGGTGTGTAAACGGCCTCATTGAGCGAAGTTTATTTATTTGTTGTGAAAGCTCTTCGAGAGCATTTTCTGTCGGGAATAGTTCATACCGTAATTCAAAAAAGAGGCTACCACTCTCCGATTTTAAAGGTAGATGATGCGACTCGGTGTTGCCGTCGATTGTCGCATGTGAGTTTCAAAAATTTGTAGCTTACGCAGCTCTTTCGGTGCCAAAATTACATACACTTTTGCTCGTGTAATTCTGTTCGTGGTTGCAGTATGTCGTAAGATTTTCAAGCGCTTTTTTTAAAAATCCCACGACATCTTTTGTATCATACGTGATACGCGTTAGGCAATCATCGCCTAAGTCGGAACTTGTCATTCGACTTGAAGTTTAATCCTTTATACCCTAAGACCAAAATTTGAATTCTCATTTGTTACCCCTATTCATTTCCTTTAGAAGTAGTGGGGAGAAGTTGATAAGATGTCAAGCAAATTCATCTTGTGTGATCATGTCCCTAATTCTCATGACCACTCTGTTTTACAAAGCATTGATATTACAAGGAGAAATTTAATGCTGATCACTCTCAGGGCTTAAAGGGTTAACGACATGACGATGGTAGAAAGGTGCACTTAGCCTACTAGTGCATTTATCAATGATTGTAAAAAATTTTGCGAATGAGACCTTGACCTCCACGAAAAAAAATTGAAGCTTTCTGGATAATATTGATTGTTATTTCCATTACCGACTTATTTAGCACTAGTAATTTATTTGTCGGATTGTGCGATGTAATCAATTGAAATACTTCAATATGGTACAAAATAAATATTTTCTAGTTCTTTGTACCATATGTCATGTCACAGAGGCTATGAACAGATTCTATAATATTCACTCGTAGTTCGGTCGGCTTGTAAGTTATAAGCTTTTGTTCCTTGATTTCTGGCCCATCGGGCCTTCAAAATATAGGAAAAACATGAATAAATTTTAGAGTTTTATACGAAGTCTTGATCTCGTTCATTGTGTACTTCTGCTAATTATTGACGAAGTCAGTGGCCTAGTGCAGACTGAGTATTCAGTATTCAGTATTCATTATTCTTCTTTACGCTAGTAATTTTGTTATTTTAGGCTATGTTTACGTTATACCGGCACAAAAAGCTAGTATAGTATGAACAGCAACTGTTCAGAATTGGAGCAAGTCGCTCACCACCCTCTCCCCAGAAAAGTTTTAAACGGGGAGGCTCCGCCCCGATGTCCAACCCCTTGCTCTTTTTATACGATGGTCTTATTTGCGAACCGCTGACCTCATATAGTGGTTACTCTAACTGAACGGGAGGACGTGGGGCACAAGGTTGAGAACTGAAATTTCCTATACACCAACATGACGTTTTAGTATTGTAGGGCTTTAAATGCCGTAAGTAGCTCGTAGCTTGCATGACTCCAGCCCGAGCGGCTGGGAAGGAGACTTGGAGCGCACTCGAGGAAGCTCATTTGTTTTAGGATTAGGGTCTATTGTTTCTGTTGTTTGTTAATTATTTTCTAACTCAATGCTGTTAGCTGTTCCAAGGGCGTTTATGCGGCATTTTTGCGCAATTAGTGCGCTTTGTTTCCTACTAGCCCCCCAAAATATACAGATCCCTGCACGTCACTCTCCTTAGTTCTCGCCATCATGTAGCCTGCGAGCAGAACGCGCTCACCAGGCAAACTATCATGGCGCTGGTGTATTAACGTTAAGCAAGTTCGTCAGTTTTCTTTTGGTTTTAAAAAGCTGATTTGTTCAACCCGTGAAATCCGTGTATTGTTCATGGCAGTGGATCGCAGTCTATTTGTGGCTGCTGTCTTACCGCAGGAAGGTTATAACTCCTCCACGACACATCACTTGACAGTGACAACTGTAGCCTACGAAAATAGTCGGCCTGGCATCGCCACAGGGAACGATCGATGAGAGGTGCCTGTATTTGCAGTCTGTGACACAATTCCTCCTCAATGTAATAACTTCCTAGCGAAACAGAGTATACCCCTAAATGTCCCTCTGATTCTTCAATACCCGAGGTAAAGCAGAAGATGACAAAAAACGAGGCCCTAGCCAGACCAGCCGTAGACGAACAAACACTCCATGTTGCAATCAGGGCTCAAGGGCGGGGGCCAGAACTAGACTAGAGGGCTCAAGAGGCCGCCGCCCAGTTAGCTCTTGCGTTAGGAGACATCACCGACCTTTGATGACCTAGCCTGCGTAGCAGGCGTCGAAAGGGGAACTATTGATGACCTACAATAGTCTGCTCCACAGCTGTTCTTTGTTGCTTGGCGACACAAAGAACGGCTGTGAAGCAGACTATTGATGACCTTGTCTAACCTCGTTCCCATTTTTAAAGCGAGAAGCCCCTGTTGACGTGGTTTGGCCTTGCCAAAAATAGGGAGCCTTATCATCAACGACGACGACAGCAGCGAACGTCACATTCGCGTTTTTTCAAACGTTATCGCGTATCAGTTCCAGTTTGCTGAAAACGTTCGAATGTAGGTAGCCTTGCTACAAGTCGACCTCTTGGCGAGCGAAGCGAGCCTTTTGGGCCACGAAGCGGCCGACCGAGCGACTAAGTCGCGAGAGGTCTTCGTCTCGGGCCCCATTAAATCCGACAAAGGACGTCTAGAATGTAGGCAAATTTACCTGGAGATGATTTCTTGAGGATCGCACTTAAGTTTTAATAGAAAGTGAAGAACAAAAAATTGTCGTCGCTTGGTTACGCCCTCCATGAATCGTGAAATTAGACATTTTTTAGTGAAGAGACAGTAAAGGCAAAGTGTGATGCACGTACAGGTCTGTTTTGACGTTTTCGTTCGTTCTCGTTGGCTAACGTAACCGTTTGGAGATTGGTAACTAGTGTAGGCAATAAAATGGCGGCAGATTCAAGTACAAAGCGTTGCCTAAGTTTTTCGTCATTTTCTTGGAAAATATCTGTCTTGCGACGTTATTTTTAGATTTAGAATACTCAGGAAATTCCCTGCACATTTTGTGTGGTAAAAGATTAGTCACTTGTTCAGACGGCAAGCCAAACAATGCTTCAGTCCAACGAGCTGCTAAATTGAATTTGACCAATGTCACAAATCCATCAGAATCGCAGCTGCTGGCATGGACCATGGAAGAGAAAAAAGAAGAAGTACAGTTTTACATATGCGGAATCTTTCGGCCATTTGAAGGTAGGAATTTTTCTTTTTCTTATAAACACTTTCATGGAGACCTGCGGGGGAGTGGACGGTACTTAATTTCATGATTCCTGAAACCCTTAACCTACTTAGACCAGAATACGTGTTTTTTCCCTTCGCTATTACAAACCTGATCCGCTTGTAGCGCGCAAAACAGACTTAAACGGTTAAAATCCACCAGCGATCTGAGATGAAACTGTCACTACCCTTTGGCCCCCCATAGACTGCAAAACAGTCGGTTTTTTTTCTCATAATCACTAAAGAAATCGGTAAAACGTGGCGTAAGAGTCTTGGGCGCGCGAAGTGCGCGAGCCTCACACGCCCGTAGGACCCCAATCTCGCTCTCTGTTTTCAGCCTCATTCCAGACCTTTTGTTTGACTATCCGCGCGTCCTTGAATACGCAAAAATATGGACTGTTTTGTAGTCTAGGCACCTCATGGCCACATATCTTTGTATAGCTGACATAGTGGGGTTCCCCCTGGGAAATGAAAAATCTTTTGCAACTTGTTGAGGTGCATTCCTTTAGTAGCAGGAACTGGGGAGTACCTTATTATAATAACTCCGCAGTAGCAGAGGTTTTATAACAGCCTCTGTCGGTCAACAACTGTGTATGATTCATCCTAGTTGTTCTGACTGCTGTTCTGGGACACTTATTTCCATTCAACAAAAATGTTGGTTTAAAATTTCAGAAATTTTACATGCCCAATAGAACAGTATATTCCGGTTGCAAACACTCACCCCAACTCAAGCCATTGTGCATTTGGTTATTGTACTGGTTATCAGGATACAGAAGCGCCATATTGGAGACAATAATTACGTAAAATGGAAATGGACATTTTGGTCCAGTAGGACCAGTCAAAGAAGACCATCTTCAAATGTGGCCCCTAATATTCCGGTCGAACCGGACTGAAATGGTCCGTTTTATTCCATTTTGGGCTGAATGGAAAGCACCCATGGTTTTCTGTTCAGCTGGAGCAGCCTCTTTTGTAGCAGGCTGTAATGTATGAGTGATAGTCACTGCCACAAAGATCATTAATTTGCATTGTCTCAGGTCTCAGTTGTTGCACTCCTATCAGCATTCCCACTTCTCTTCCCCTGGCTTGAGGTGTTGGTTCAGTGTACTTCCCCACCTTGTTTTCAGTCTCAGTGCCATGATTTCAATTGCATCATAATTGCCATTAACCTGAGGTAATCCACTGAAAATAGTCTTCACTGTCAGTCCCATATGGTGTCAAATTCCCCACCTTTTATGTCAAACACACATGTCATGGGTCCCAGGAGGGGGACCCATGACAAGGTTTTGCCAGAGGATCATGTTGATTTTCCTGTACATTAGTTTTGTAATGTGATCTTGTGGGTCAATGGACAGCTTGGACTGGACATTAATCAAGCATGCCATTTTAAATTTGAATAAACCTTTTATGCTGTTTGTATTTATAAGACCACAACAGCTGGAATCCCCTTCATGACTTAAGAGTAATTTTCTTACCGAACTGACAAAAGATCTTTCTCACCTTTGTTGACTGCAGAGGGTAAGATATTATATTGGTTACCATAGAGGTATAGGTTGCCAAGTTCGGAAGTAGTTGCTTAGGAGATAAAAGATAGTGAGGATTTTCAAGAACTTTTTGATATATTTTTAATATATCGTTTCTCTGCTGAGTAAAAAGAGGTACTTGTGTTTTTGTACTTCAGAGTATTGTTCTTATTTAGATCTATATTTCACATCACCCAAGGTTGCCTTCATAGGGATGCCTCTTATAGGTATTACAGCTGTGCCATGAAAAAGGCATTTTAAGAAAATAAATGTGTTTTACATGTTATTTATTTTATTAACATAAAATATCTTCAATATGAATATAAAATAAATAAAAACTGTCTAAATTTAATTAAATTATTGAAACTCCTGGTTGTTTGCTTTTTGTTCAATGAATGCTGCAAACAAAGCTGTATTCTCTCAAACAAAAAGGTTGCAAAGTTTCAAGAACACAGCTAATTCTTTTTATTGTTATTCTTTTCTTTATTTATTAACTACTGACTACCATATCAAGTCCTAACATCAATGTACATATAACGTGAAATTCTTATGGAATTGTTTTTGTGTCATGAGAAAAAAGCCAGTAAGGTGCGAGGAAACTTAACGGCAAACAGCAATAGTTATTGATGTAGTTTTGAGGCTTGCTTGTTTATCCTGAACTTTGCTGTTATTAGTCATTACACAGTCAGCAATTCTGCAGAAATATTTTTTCAGGTGTTCATGGTTTTCTTAGTTTGACAGTAAAAACTTCCTACTGAACTCAGAGAGATTTTATTCAGCATTTCAATATTTTGTTGGAATCATTCAAGTTTCATCAGCAATGACATCTAACTTACAAACTGAAATCATCTGACCTTTAGGTGACATAATCTCAAGAGAAAATCATAGACAACCGAATTAAAGGACAAGTTCCTCATTGTGATTCAGGCTTAATCTCTTTTAAGCCGATGGCCTCCTTTCAACTGTAAGTTGATTGTCACTGCTGATGAAGTTCCAGTGATTCAAACAAATATTCATAAATTGCAATCCTTACTAAAATCACTCTGGGTAAGTAAGGGATCAACTGATTGAGTTATCAGCATATACTAATAGGCATTCTCCACACCATTCTTCACACACTCTTTGTGTTCCAAATGAAGAGAATTTGTTTCATGTTGAATATTTTGAACAGTTTATTTCTTCCTTCATGAATAAACAAAGAATTTTCAGGAAACATCACTTAAGATTCTGGTCTCTAACTATTAATGATTTTAAAATAGAAAACTTTGGAAAACAAAGTTTTTTTTTTTTTGCTCCAAGTGGCTAGTGCACAGCTGTGATGTGACATGGAGAGATATAGATTATTAAAACAGACTCTCTGATGCCAATTTTATTGATCCCCACATAGATTTTGTTTACTTATATTTGCATATCTAAGAAGAAATTGGCTAGGTAAAATAATAGTTTAAATCTAGTTATTAAAAATATGTCTGAATATTCCTGTTTGGTTTATTTTGCTGTAGTATTTGTTAGCCTTCCTGTTGTCAAATGTTGAGTAGCTAATGTAGCCACGTTTTTGCTTGTTAGTAAATTCCATGATTGTAACTATTAAAATGAAACATTCAAAAGCTGCATGTACAGCTGAGCTGTACTTTGACACAGTATTGTTTAGTTTATTGCACCATGTGCTACAAACACAGCAAACAGGTGAGTGATATCCCTCCTCAGTGCCATTTTTTCGTGTTTCCACACAATCAGTTAAATTTTCTAACTTTGTCTTCAGTTTTAAAAGAGCTCTTTCGAGTATGGGGTGTATTAAATTTGTATACACTGAACACATATATAAATCTTCTGAACCCTTTTGTTCCAGGAGTCAATATGGCGAAAGAAGAATATTGTTTTTCTTACTTTTGAGACTGTGGATAAATTCCTTTGATTTTACCATGTGAATGAAACTTCTTAACTCACCGTTTTGCGTGGTATCAATTGTTTTTTATGAATTTCGAAAAGTGAAATTTAGGATTTTTCGCAAATTTTCATATTGGCAAGTTGTTTAGAGTGAAACGGTTAAAATGAATCGCATTGTCTCTAATTGTCAGGATTTCAGCATGTCAGGCGAGATGTCTCGCTTGTTGTTTTGTCTGGTTTAGTCATCATTTATTATCGCCAGAAATCTCAGTGTTCCCCCATAGATGTAATACCATTCATTCATTCATTCATTCAAGTCTCAAGTCCAAGATACAAAGCCAAAAAGACGCTTAGATGGGCAAAATATGATAAGATTAAAATACATTCTATTTAAGAAATTTGAAAAAAGTAGGGACGGTGGGTTTCCTGCTTATCACAGTTTGCATTTTACAGAATGTTTACCTACCTTGTGAACAAATTAACTTTGTTTGTTACTGATTTCTTATATGAACCTACCGATCTTCTGAAAGAACGCGAAATGTATCAAATATTAATACAGATTTTTATTGTTTCGTTTAAATTACATATCTCACAATCTAACTAATAGCATTACAGTACACAACAAAAATTAAAAAAAACCGGTAGATTTTGACAAAGTCCAATATGTGTACCATGCATGGCGACCAAAGTAGCTTATAGATTTTCGAGTTGGTCACTGCCACGTTCAATGTGATCAACTGAAGAAAGACATTATACATTATAACGTTAAGAGACATAGCAAAAGGTGTACATTAAAATTTTAGCTGTTCCTAGTATTTCATTGATATATAAAAGCAAAAACGTACAAGAAATAGTAGATAAGCTATAGGCAGGATGGAGAAAAAAAATACTACGTCTCCGAGAAGACAGATTTAATAGAAGGTGCAGTTTAAAATTAATTACAAGCCGGCGTGTGTTCCTCACACCCTGGTTTTGAGTTTTAGTTGTTGCTCACGCTTCGCCGTTCGAAATATTTCGGCTATCGATAATTTATCTTTTAATCTCATTTGGGAAGAGTCTCCCCATTAAGATAGTATTATAAACAGTCTTATTAGCGTGGTTTTGCGAACCAACCCACCAAGACCGTGGAAACTAGTTGGTCTGTATTGTGTCATGAGTCTTTGAGTCTTCCTCTTTTCCGTTTGCAACAGTTTCGCCTTTTTATGATCCAATGTTGCCATTTCCTTATGTAGCTAGCAAAAAGTCCTTTTCGTGATTTAAATATTACAGAAGTGTCGTGATGTCGTTCCCAGCGAGTGACAAGCTAACAAAGTTAAAAAAACTAAGTTGGAATATTTTTATTTAAAAGTCAAAACAAGGCAAAATTGTATTGACTTGTTTGCGGCGCGTTGTAATTCTGTTTTTGTCCCTGCTTTGAAGTAATGTCCCTTGTACAGACCTCAAGCTTTGGCTAGATTCTCATTGCAAGAGATTTAAGTCAGGTTTTCTTTTTTTACTTTGCTCTTTTTTCTCTTAAATATAAAAGCAATAAAGTAATTCCTCATCTTTAGAGATATTGCGGTTTTAAGTTTAAGATTGGACCTAGTTTCCTGTTGCTATTGTTGTTGGGTACTGCGTTCCTCAAATGTGCTTCCGAAGTTTCCTTTTAATTCTCGACCAGATTTCATTCGCGTCAATTAGTTTGAAGACCTTGGCACAATAACTTAACAATTTAAGTACGTTAAAAAATTATGGACTGATTTATTTTTAGAAATGTTTTAATGAAAAAAAGAAGTGGAAGAAGTATGTTAAAAATACTGGAAAAGAGTCAAAATTTACCATTTGAAAGTGATCCAAAATTGAAGGGAATGATGGAATAGGCCAAATAGGATTCAGAGGCCGAAGTTTGTCATGTGTAAGCCCTTGTCAAAAATCTTTCTTTCAACAAGCTTCAATCAGCTCCAAAAAAATGTTTTACAATCACATACAAGAATACCACATAACGAAGTTTTAGAAACTTTGGAGAAGCCGGTTGAATTTTCGAAATTCCCTCTGAAAACCACGAATAAATATTAGTTAAGCTGTTATTACGTACACTGCAGATGTCTGCCGAGTTTCCGGTTGTCGTTGTCCAGTTAAAATCATAGTCGAATCACAGTTATTCATACAGATGTACGCGCCGAACGTTACTTTATAAATAAGCTCCTATCGTCTACACACGTTTCAATGGTTTTATCGTCGTCTAATAGTTCAGAAATTGTTTGAGACGTTTAACACCTTTTATATACCTGTTGTTTTATTATACAATTTATACATGCTACATATTTTAATTGTATATACATTATTATTATTATTATTTCTTATTTGTAAATAATTTTTATATTTGTGTCCCCAATTAGTTGTGAAAACTAAATACACTGACACATTAATAAAGCTTTTACTTACTTACTTAAATGATCATGACCGCAAGATAAGCCAAAAACGGTTGTCGTTTGTTTGTCTTTATAGTATTCCTGGATTGTTTAACAGACAAAACTTGCAACGAGGTTTGTTAAAACTTGCCAAATGTTTATATTGCCTGCTGTTTGAACAGCTTACCTCGGACCTACTTGTGATTAAGCGATTTACTGTTTTCAGACAAGTTATAATAGTGGCCGACTCTGTTTGTTCTCGTGTTTTTAAAGACCTTTAAACCGGCAGCCTGGCGTGTACGGGCGGAGACTTATTGCGACCATCGCCCACACAGGTGTTGTTTCATGGCGAGACGTCTCCTTGTGGTGTTAATATATATTGCTTTATACTTTTCAATATCCATAAGAAACTATTTTTGGCACATATATCTGTACTTGAAAACAGATGACCATGCTCATACGATTCTTCCTTAAGCCCCTCCCGCGCATCTTGGAAAGTTTTTGTCGTGTGTCTGTGTGTGTGCATGTGTGGGTATGTGTAAGTTCTTCCCGATCTAAGGCGCTTCTCCTGACTGCTACGTGAGGGCGGTCATCCTTCACTCTATCCAGCCTTCCCAATCCGAGGTCGCTCAGGAAGCCTCTTGCCTGTTATTCTTCCCTCTTTAACTAATGGGACAAGGTCGCCATACCATAGGCTATGATCAAGCCACTCTCTGTCTTCTGTTGATAACAGAAATGATGGCCCTCTCCAAATACTTTTTCTTTACAGACTTTGTCAGACCAAGAAGTGTTTAATGCCTTCCTCCAAACGGCCACATCTCACTGTTGTCCTGCCTTCACTTGTCATCTTTCTTGAATCTCCACGATTCGGCTCCATACAGAAGAGTACTCCAGATGACAGTCTCTTCTTCAGGTAAACGCCGAAGGCTTTTTGTCAGCAGTTCTTTCCTTTTAGTAAACGCGTTCTTTGCTCGGGCTATTCTCGATCTAATTTCCTTCTCACGAGATCCATCCTTCCCCTCCCAGGCATCTTGGAAGGCTTCTGTTACTTTCTATAAACTGTGGTCACGTATGAAGTTCATGTCACATGGAGCTTTGAACTGCTAAGCGTCTAATTTTTCGTACGGTTAGGGTGGTTCCGTGTGAACAGAACACCTGAACGCGCGGATTTTCAACCGGTCGAAAACTCGTCCGGTGCCATGTGAACGTAACATACGTAGCCTCAAGCTATCAAAATGTGCACCCATTGCCAAACGCGGGGAAAATGTTTTGGCAAGCGCAAGAAAGCACCCCAAGCCAAGTTCTTTGTAGTTTTGACAATCGAGAAAACATGCAAAACGCGGCACCAAATTAATATTTTATGAAGTGGTCATATAAAGTTTTCCTCTGCTTTTGATTGTTGATACATCAGTCGCCAGGGGCATATTACACTATAAGTAAAGAAAAAATCTCCTTTCATAAAAAAAAGTTATTTTTTTGGTCGCTGAGCTAATTTGTTAAATTTTATTACATGACCATTGTGGCATTTATCGAGGATAAAATTGATTAACTTATCTTCGACGGGACTAAAGGATAAGCAAATTAACAAGGGCGGATTACATGCATTCGAAGTATGTCACAATTTTGTTTGGATTAAAATGATGCAAAAAAGAAAAGAAAAATAGTGTTATGATTATAACGGGTGAAAACTTGCAGAACTTTCATAAAAAGTACTGGAAAAACCATCTTTCGCTGAATCTATAAAAATGCTGCAGCAAAACGTATACCTGCATGAAAGATGGCAGAAATTTTGTAAATCATCGAGCTCAGTGTTTCAAGAAGCAAACTTGTTGCTTATAGCAGATTTTCAAAATTATCTGTTTTTTATACATCATTTTTTTGTAATTTTTCTTAAAAGGGTCGGTTGTTCGGCTTTGTGCCCCTTACAAAGTATTTCTACTTGGCGGCAGCCTGATTTTTAATACTTTTTTTTGCGTTAGGCAGAAACTATATTAATACTTAAGACTTTTGCACCTGCCTCGGTTGCCTCTAAGCTGGCTATGGTCCTGTGATCTGGACCTTATTTCTTACAACCTAACTCTTCAAATCAAAAGAATTTAGCAGGTGATCTCTTCCACGATTAAACGGATTATTTAATCTTATTTAAAGGTGTTTTGCCTATTGTGCTACAGTCCAAAACTTTACAATGAGAATTTTCAAATGTCAAAATTTTTAACACACAAGGTTAATTAACTACAACACTATCCTGTTAAAACTCAGCGGTTTAATTTACATTTTGAGTTTGGTGTTCGTATTGTTGTGTTTGTTAGGCTCTTCGATTTCATTTCTTCGGCCATCAGAGGTTAAGAGCTGGTTTTAGGAGATTTTTCTCTCGACATGCAGTGTTATTTACTTGTAAAAATGTATGGCTGAGCGGAAGTGTTCCGCGAGGTGATGTATTTGGCTCGAATAAAATTCCCATTTTCGTTCTCTTATCTCAATCAAGAATTAAATATGTGGAGTCGTGTAAAACGGACGCTTCTAACGTATAAGTTTGTGAATAAAATCGTAAGTTTCAACCACTCGAATAAAAACCGAACGATAATTCCGCGGTGTGTATTTTGCTGTTTGTTATTGAATTTTCCACTCGTGCTTGGAGAAATGGGCGAAAGCAGTAATGACTGAAAAAAGCTACAAAGCTACTGTAACCTGTGTTAAGCGATCATAAATTTTTGTATTATTTTTAACCCCCGTTTTCGATTTTCTTCAGCTTCCTTCGTTGCTCCTTAGAAGATCCAAGCATTTAACTGTTTCTGGGTTTTTGAACGTGTCAAATTACTTGTGACAAGATCACGGAAGTTTTGAGACAAACCGAACTTTGTTTTACTGCCCAGCGCGGGAAGCTATTATAAATAGAAAATTTGCTTTTTTAATCGACGAGGAAAGAAATAAAAGCGAAGGGATTACACTGGATGAATATTGCTCTTTCATCTTCAGATATAAACTTGGCACTCAGCAGATCGTGTTTAATTATGTTTACTTTTATGTTAAATGACGGGAAAAGAGAGAAGGCTCGCAAAAAGTCACTCGTCTGAAGATTTCAACAGTTTAAAAATGTTTACGACTGTAGACCCCCGCGGCTTGAAAAATTCGATAAGTACTGCTTAATGTTTCCCGAAACCAAAGTAAATTACTTTTCGCTGTTGATTTTATTAAAACATTTCTCTCTGCTGATCTAAAATTTAAATACAATATTTTGATTCGAATTGGAAATTTACGAGAATTGGCAGGAAAAATTGTCACGAATAGGCAAATAAACTAATCGCATGAAAAATATGCCAACTTCTAACGAAGTGAGCGAGTTTTTTTATACTTTAGTCGCTCCAATTCTGCAATCATGACAAGTGTTTTCAACTTACATATTGTTTGAATGTATTAAAAATTCAAAATGAACAAATTTCGCTTTCAAACATAATCGTTCGTCAGCTTTGAGTCAAATCTTCACAGATTTCTTTAAATCCGCGCGGGTTTAACAAAAAAAATCATCATCTTCTGATGAAATTTTTGGTTTATACATTTACTGTCGAGATAAGGGTAGACAGTTTTCGTTTTTTTCGAGCATATTAATGTTTAATCCAAAATTAACCCGAGGGTGCTTCGAGGAGCGCGTTGCATCTTGGGCAAGTTTTGTTTGCTAACTTTTCCCTTTGATAGTTTTGTCAAATGAAGTGAGAACATGGGTCGAAGTTCCTGAAGAACAAGAGTTAAAACTTTGCGATCGAGGGCGATTCCTCCCGGATATAGCAATTAACCTGCCCTTGTGTTCCAGTGGGGGAAATTCACGCTCGATTTGTTTTTCGGCGGTGGAGTTTTTTCCGGGAGATCGGCACTCAATTGCTCAGGTAGTATTCTTCTTAGCTTGACTTCTCGTACGGTGACAAAAAAACTTTTCGCGTATGCAAATTAATGGCATTTGAACGAACAAAACGGGAGAAAGAATCGAAAGGGAATTCTGTGCTTTCTGGACGCATAGCCTCAAGTAAGAACTGGCAAATGTCGGGAACTTTTTCGGATTGCGGTAACTTGAACTTGTGTGAAATTTATGGACTGTTGTTTTTCTTTGTCGAGTTCAAGCAGTTTTAAATTTATGCTTTTAGTCTGATGATATATTTAAATAGCTGTAAAATCCATGTAAATGTTTAGTTGTTGTTCGCTGGTGCAGATAATAGTATCAGCTGTAAGAGCGAGGGGACAAAAGTTGATGCCTTCCGTTCGAACGGGCGCAGTTGAAACTTCTATCAGTTGGCGTAATTTCATCGGAATTAAATATCTGTGTGAAGGGCTTTGGATAAAATTTATCACGCCGGGAATACGAATTTTTAATAATTTTCGCCCTGTTCAATTGTTTGTCTTACGAGGAGTAAGTTTAAAATTCTGGAAATGCTGGTGATTTGCGATGTCTTGTTTGGCAGAACGTAACGCGGAGCTCGCCGAGTCCGCAAATATTTTCTACCGCTCCAGAGTTATATTTTGACTTTGAAAATTTCGGCTTTCAGAGGCCGCGCGCATATTGTTAGTTTAACTTTCGCTTCAGCCGATTGCTCGCTCATTTGGAAAAAACTATTTTTTTCTTCCAGAGGCATCAAGAGAAGTTGAGCGATTTTTTTTAAAGAGCTGGCAAAGGGCAAGTTTCTGGTTTTAGAGGACAAGCCATGGAAGCTCAGCGAACTCCTGATGCGAACAGGGAATTTACACTCCTGCGAGACGATGGGCAACACAGTGCTGTCACAGGATTTAAACGAGAGGCAATATCCCCGGAACTTGTGAGTAGACCTCTGGCTAGGATACACTGTTTCCAGTTAAGGCCTTTTATTTGGGGTAAATTTGCTTCTGGTTTTGTTGAAAAGTTTGAAAATATTTTCTAGGTTTTGCTCGAAAGATTGAAACTTGATACGCGCACAAGGGTATCGCTTGTAGCGTTCCTTGTGTAGATTCGGAACTTGCTGCTGCAAGCAAATATTTCGTTATCCCTGACCCCTTTAGCCGGATATAAGATTTGCTCTGTAGCCACACTGGCCCTACGCCGTTTTCGGACGATCAGGAGTGTTTTCACAGCGATGGAAAAATTCTCAAACCTTGTCGTGGTTTTGAAACTTTTGGTAGAGCGCGAACTAATTTGCATATTTTTTTCTCCATTCATTCGAACAGTGTGTTGCGAAAACTTTTTTCGAAGTCAAATTTTGTCTGATTTTTGTAATGTACTTGCTTACAACCTAACCACTGCTTGGTTTAGCACTTTTAGCATACACAGCATAATCATTCGAAGATGCACGAAGATAACCGAGCCAACGTTTTACTAAATATCTGTTCTTTACGCTTGTTTCGTGTTATATTATAGATATGTAAATTTCTACTTGTACTTTCATGAAGAAATGGCTTTCACCTTTGTTTATTTCCTCCTGGAAACTATTGAGTTTCGTCTACTTCAGACATTTTGCCTCAAAAATTTTCTGTTGTGGATTGATTTAATTTTCTCTTATTTATTGTCTGCGTTGGTTACAAGTGAGGATTTCTCTTCCAGCGATGATTAGAACTTACATTTCGAGAAAGTAAACATTAGCAGTTGTTTTCGCCTATTTTAAAAGAATCGATCATTTTTTTTTTAAATCGGAGGCTAGCAAAAAAATCTCGCTTGCTCATACTGAGCGACGCAATCAAATGGAATGTGGAGCAAAAAAATTGCCCGATTTTGTCAAACTCAGGACATTTTGGACTGTAATTGCCCCCCTCATTGCTATGCACAGATGGTCTCTTTGCTAGCAGTCGGTGTTTATAATTCAGCAGACGAAATAATGAAAGTTCTGAAACTCTTCTCTTATTTCGTTTGTAACTCGCGATCGCCTTTGCCCTCTCACCGGAAGCGGACAGATTTGAGATTTTTTTTTTAAAAAAAGTGCAGTTAAGTTTGTTGGATTTTCATCGTTCAGGCAGTTTTCTCTTTAGTTGAATGGACCGACTCCCCTTTTAAACTCTCGCTGTATGGCTGTAATCCACAAAATTTCCGAAAAACAACCTAATCGAGAAGCATGGTAGTTGCTCACACAGATGTATCTCATTGCAAGTTTTAAAGTATCTTCTTGCAGTTCCAAAGAATGTAAATTTGACGAAGGATTGGAATTCTAAGCTATTGGAAAGTAGATATGAGCGGAATTTTTTAATAGAGAAGATATTATTTGCAGATGGAGTGGGAAATGTCTTCCTAAATTGCCTCAGTGATAAAAAACACACCTGGGGGAATATTTTTATTAGTGTTAAAGCGTGGAGCAGTTATTTGGGTGTGCAGTTAATTTTGTGTTTTGGTTAGCTTTAGGGGAAATAAGACTTGGAAATTTTTACTGCTCAAGTTTATCCAGCTATCAAGTCTTATGCAAATATAATAGGTGTCAAGTTTAGGCAGATGACACTCATGATGTCTTCCTATCTATTGCATTTTGCCTTCAAACAAACTTTTTAAGATGAATTAATGAAGCAATCAACTCCTGCACCCTAGCTTGGTCATTTATTGTAAGAAATATTGTTTTGAGTCATAATCATTCAAGCATGAGAAGCTTTGAATCTATTATGATCAAAACTTTTTGTGATATTGAGATCTTTCATGGAGTTAATTTGCATATCCAATATTTTTTGCCAAGCATTCTAGAACTGCATGGTGTAAACAGCCAGTACACCAGGGATGCTTACTAACTTGTTGGTAAACATTAAACCTGTGACCACTAACAAAATGTAACCACTATTTACATTTGTGTACTTTGGCTGGTGACAGTTAGCTCTATCAATCTCTTAAGTCCCAGACTTCCTTCTGGAGTAAAGGTATTACCCTTTTCAGTTTTGGGGTTTGTGAAGTCGGACTATTTTCCTTTGGTTCTAAGCACTGAAGTGGACATTTTGTTTTCTTATAATGGTGTCATTTGTTTTGTAGAGTAGTTGTAACTTTTAAATTGGTGGACAACTGAAAACTTGTTCCTTGTAAAATTTCTGTGTTGCTGTTTGTTATTATATAAAATAGGGTATAATTTTAGAGTCTAAAAAGTGTATCTTTTCAGTTTGAGGATAAAACCTTTAGGGTGACTTTTCAAGTCAAACTGATTGCAAAGTAAATTTCTATTGCACAGGTTGCCATTGTAAGGTGGCTTTCATTTAGGATAATTTTATGATTGAAATTGTAATAAGGCTTGACAGAACTAAGCTTAGTGCTGCTTTGCAATTAAATAACTTCCATGCAAATGGTAACTTTAATTTAACTAGTCTGTGACAATTTTTCAGATCAAGTTGATAAAACTATATATATCTGTGTGCTAAGTGACATTGTTGGCGACAGGGGAAAGTGCTCTTACATGTAGATCTTTTCTTTAGTTTATTAGCCATTACTCTTTTCATATTCTAATGGAAAGCTAATCTTCCAGTAGAGGAGAACAGAACAGGGAATGCACTAAGGGAGATTGTTCTTCTATATAGCTATGAGTTCATGTCAAAATTTCTTATAGTAACAAAAAAATGCAAGCCTGGACTGAAAATTTGTCACTGTTATGAAAAACCTATTAAGAGTTAGTTGAAAATAGTACCTAGTTCTCAGTTGTTATTTATACACATTATGTATCTTGTAGTTCAATGATTTTTTCTTTGGTTCAATTTTCAGCAGAGGTGTAGCGGCAACATTAATTTTGTTTACATAGTCATTAAGTCAATCGATGTCAGTAGAAGACACTGTTTTCTAAAAACAAGTTACTACTCAATTTTCTGCTGGAATGAAAGAGTGGAAAGAAACAACAGTGTTACTGACTCATTAAATTTTTGAAAAAGTTTCCGCAATGTGTATAAAGTGAAACAATATTCCACTCCTTTCCCTCAAAGTTTTTCACATAGGAGTTATGTTCCTTGATGCTTTATACTTGGGCTGTTACAGTGTGAGTCTAAGAAAGGACATGTTGCAAAAGCTCGGGATGTGTGAATTTTTTAATTTGAGTATACATTGGAGGGATAGTTAAGAAAAATTCCAAACTCTTACATATTTTGTTAAATTTTGATTTAAAAAAGTCACCATACGAGAAATACAACTAAAGAGGTGAAGTATATTATTTAAGTTTTGTCTGATAGCCTATGAAGAGTAGATTTTCTGGAAACCATACTGTAATCAGCGATTCAAAGGTTACCTATCCTGATGGGCAAGGATCTTTTGTTAAGTTAAGCTAGCCCCTGCTAGCAGACAGCCTATTACCAACATCTTGCCTTTTCATTTTTGTCAAGCTAACATCGATTTTCTTTGTGGTTCACCGTCAAGAGGTTGGGAGACAATTTACCATGGGCATAGAGGAAGGTAAATGAGGTCAACATTGTTGTGAAATGCTTGAACAGATTCCCTATCCCTAAACTTTCAGTCTTCTAAAAGTCTAGTTTAGGGATAGGGATATCTGTGAGAGCATTGCACAAAAATGTTTATCGGTTTCCCTGCCAGTCTGCAAGTCTCACCCTCTCTGTACACCCGTTGTAACTTGTCTCCCCAAGTTCATTTGAATGGTCACAGGCCCCTTTAGTTTAAAATCAGCTCTCATGCCTAAATGAATAAGTGGATGGGCCAAACAAAAGCAAATTTCAACATTTAAAAAGAAGGATTTAATGGATCTCTTTACAATTTTTCATTTTCTTTCTGGGCAACAGAAAACCTCTTGGAGTCTTAAGCATCCATTGTGCAGTCCAAAAAACTTGAGATACAGCGAGGAAAATTTTCTTTAGCCATGTTAAAACACTTTTCAGGCCAACATTATGTTCTCTAAGTCATCATATTTTGAACCTCTTCTGCATTAGACAAATTTATTAGCTACCAAAAAAATGCGACCCATAGCAAACAATTTTCCTTGACCCCTTTTTTCTTTTCGCCTATTTGTTTTTAAAAAATAAGTGGCATATCTTAAGGTCAGACATTTCTTGTGTGTTTTTGACTAGTAGCTGTGGTATTCCTTATGCTCACTAAATTTTTCCTTCAATTTATGGAGTCAGATAATTTACATGTACATGTAGGTTCAGCTCAGATGTCATATAAGACAAGCTTTTTATGAATTCAGCATTTAAGCATACACTTGTAAATGAATCTGCTTATAGATTCCACAACTGGAATGTTCTTTAGAGGGCAACCTTTTAATAGATGTAAAATGTAGTCTAGTTTCTGTCTTGTTTAGTTTTGTAGACACCTGGGTTTTTATGTGCGTAATTAGAGTTCGCCTAATAAAAATTCAGCATAAACCTGGCCTTGCTAAGATATGGCGTTAAAATTCAGAAGGTCTGCACAAGGGGTTATTTTATGAAAAGTGTCACTAAGGGCCAGGGGCTGGGGGTTGTCTCTCAACCACATCTTTATCTTAAGTGTGTCACCCGCAGCTACTTTCACAGGAAAAAAAATAAAGGAAAATAGAACCAAAAAAAGGTCCTAGTTGTTCAATTCCCCACTTACTAACTTTGTATTGCCTCAACAACTTGAAAACTCAGTGAGAGCCTTGTTGTTAGTTATCATATCCTCTTTTCCTATTTGAAATTTCAAAAACATGACAAAAATTTAAATGTGACTATTAATATCAGCAGCAGTTTCTGCAGCTAAAAGCCTTCTGTTAAAGATGCAAATAGGCAAGCTGTGATGGTACATTCTTTTTGGAGTGGGCAAGCTGTGCCATGAATTATTGATTATTTGATTTTAAGACATGGACAAGAGACTAAATGTTCAAAGCAGAACATTCACAAATACGTGCAGAGCATTTGGTGTTATTCAACCATGGCTGAACTTACTGTGACTTACTTAAGTTTGTCAGCGTGCAAAGAAAGTCGTGTGCAATAGCCCATGGCTATTGGATTTTGCGATCTGGCTAGTGAATTCTGTTCGTAACTTGCCAAAGGGCAAGTGAAGTTTTTTGGCAAATTCAAATTACAGAAGAACTGTAATCAATACTGCTCATCAAAATATTTTTTGGGCTACTTAAAAAGACTCTTGGGCTAGTACATACTACCTACAACTTGCCCCAATGGCAAGCCATAAAACCAACTTTCTTTGCAACCTGTTTGTAATGAACTTAATGCATTCATTATCAGCTTCCCCAAAGAGGGTACTCAAGAGGTTGATGTGTGGACTTTGCAAATAGTGCATTTTTAAGTTCCTGTGTTTCCTCAGTTGGTAGGGGATTTTTTTCTAGCTAAGTGAAAGTCCCCAGTGGTTAGCATCATAGCTAGGGTGGAAGACAAGACTACTGGTTCTGATAGAAAATTGGACCTTGAAATGTGCTTTCTTGAATATTCATCAATCTGCTTCAAATCACTTCTAGTCATTCTCTATAATACGCCATCCAGTGGAAAAATATCTTGTTTGTCATCGCAAGGAAAGAAAGACAATATTGTTGACAGAAATAATCACTGAATATATTGCTGGAATTGCTTTTCAGAATTTTTAAGCACCTGTGCAAGAGAGTGAGGTGGAAGGTGGAGAGCAGTGTTCCATTGGTTTAACTAACTGATAATATTTATGTTCTTCATTGGTGTTTCAGGAGTTTGAAAAACCAAGAAAAGTCCCAAAACTGAGTCTGAAAATACCATACAATACAATGTCAATGATTGACTCTCAGTCAAATGATGAGGAGGAGGAAGAAGAGAGTTTTGAAGGTGATAAATTTGTCACTGATTTGGAACAAGAACATGAGGAAACAGCGCCTGCTTTGAGCTGTTATACTTGTGGAGAGGAGATTGACGGCAAGGAAATTGTAAAAGGAGACAAATTGTATTGCAGCGAGGAGTGTATGGATAGAGAACGTCCATCCATTATACCAGCTGAGACAACCAGAAGAAGGGTGAGATAATTAAAAATTACTGGCCACTGATAATACTGTTGGCCTACATTGTCCCTACAACACTGGATACAAAACCTGTTGAGTCAAGTCACAAAATACCTACTTTTTCCTGTCATCCCGGCAAAAATGGAAACCATTGCCAAATTTATGCTTGTTTTCCCCCTTCCCCTTATCCATTGTTGTTTAGGATAACATGAGCATTATGCACATTGGTTTATTTAGACCAAAGCAACTTTGAATAGGGAAAGGGGAGAGGTCTTATTTTTTTCTGTTTAGAGGAGAGGGTAGCTACATAAAATGGCACGAAAGTTACAAAATAGATGAAACTGTCTAAACAGTTTTGTCTGGGGTTGTAGAGGTTTGTAGCAAATTGACTGCCTCAGCCTGAATATTAGTACAGTCTGGAAGTGTGCTAAACTTCCGCTATATTTAATTTAATAAATTAAAGTGACAACAGTCAAGTGTCTGTATGACGGAATTGGGGTTTATACATTGTATGTATCATGACATGGGGTGGGAGGGAAATTGAGAGGACCGTTCAATAAGTAGACAAAGGTCCATCTTAATTATCAGTCAGTGTTTGTTTAAGAATGAAAGCTACATTTTTGTTATGTTTTTGGAACATTGGTTTACTATGGCCATCATAGTACAAGTCCAAAAGCAATGCTTCCCCCTCCCCCTCTCCCAGAGGTTGGTGAAAAGCTCTTTTAGTGTACAGTGTAGTTAGTGTAACTGCAAGTTAGTTTATGAGCAAGCAAAGTGTGTAAAGAAAACATACACCTGGACTTTGTTAAACTAAAAAGTCTTTGGCTAGTTCCTTCTCATTTTGTCTTAGGAAGCTGAAGCAAAATCTTGCCTTTCAAACTGCTTGACTTATTGTTGTCTATTGTTGGTGACAGCGCGATGCTGTTAGTGAGTTCTTCACTTCTTGTGTGCCAGTCATTACTTGGCTGTGTAGCTGCGTGATGCGGTTCCGGTGGAGACCCACAAATTGGCCCTTGCTCACCATAGAGTCTCCAGTAGCTCAAGTGGTTAGAGCATCCGACTAGATCACGGAGGGTCGTGGGTTCAAATCCCATCTGGGACTCGGATTTTTTAATCCGAGTCCTCCTCAAATTAATATCATGTTGTTGTTGTTTCATCTTTAATATACTCACTTTGGAGGTTGGTTGGCCGCATCTTGGATATGCTTTAAGGTAAAAGCGCGATGCTGTTAGTGAGTTCTTCACTTCTTGTGTGCCAGTCATTACTTGGCTGTGTAGCCGCGTGATGCGGTTCCGGTCGAGACCCACAAATTGGCCCTTGCTCACCATAGAGTCTCCAGTAGCTCAAGTGGTTAGAGCATCCGACTAGATCACGGAGGGTCGTGGGTTCAAATCCCATCTGGGACTCGGATTTTTTAATCCGAGTCCTCCTCAAATTAATATCATGTTCTTGTTGTTTCATCTTTAGTATACTCATCCTGTTCACTAATATTAATTTTGATTAATGCTGACAAGTTCTTTTTGTCTGAGCAGTAAAATAATAATTATGGTCTTGACTAGTAGCGTCTGCAAGGTTAAGACTGAAGCTCTCAAGCCAGAGGGAACCCATGAACAGAGAACTTGAGCTTAACCTAATTTAGCATCCTTTTTTTGTTGTCTCTCAGGTTCATGCAACAAGACAAGCTATGATGTCAGATCATGAGAGACCAGCCAGAGATCTTAAGCGACAATGTAGAGGTCTTGGAATGGCTGGTAAGGCTCATTTCACTCCATCACATCCTATAGACCATTTCCGAGTTTCCCCGTGCCTCTGTATCAAAACGAAATTAAGTGCTCAGCCTTTGATATGGAAATAGTTTTTCATTCTCATGCAAATAAAACTCATTTTTGCAAGAAAGATTGTGCACTTGGCCTCATTTTGAAAGTGAGGGTTTTTGGGAACTCGGAAGTGGCCAATTCGATTTATAACTGAACTGAGAGAATTAAGTTGAACCTCTTTTAAGCAGCCACTCTTAAGAAAAGGCCAAGTGACCGTGTAATGAAGGTTCCATTCACAATGTTCTACCGGCAATTTTGTCCACCAGGACTCTTTAGTGACCTTAAGCAAGGACAACGACAACGGCAGTGAAAACGTCAGTAAAGAAATTACTTTGCATTCTTTCAAACTTAATCACGTCTATTTGGACCCGCTCAATATGTCAAATGTAGGCGACTTTTCCTGGAGTTGAATTCTTAAAGATATTATTCAGGATCAAAAAGGGGAAGGAAAATTTGTTGTCATATGTCCACATCCTCCATAAAACATCAAATTAGGCAGTTTCATGTCGAACTCGTGCAGTGGATGTCAAAGAATTGTACTAAAAAGCATGATGCACATGTGGAGCTGTTGTTTCGATCACTAAACCTATTGTTTTTTTGAAGTCATCGATCATTGTTGTCATTGTCGTAGTTGCTTAAGATCTCATTTGTCTAGTAACTGGCTGGAGGGAGGCCACTTATAGGCCACTTATTATAGGACTGTAGTCTTAACAAAAGTTTATATGTAAAATACAAAAATTTAAAACAATACCAATCATGAATAATTTATTGCTTTGTCTGCTTAGGTAGTCCCATCAGTGCAGAGGCAGTGTTTGTTTTGCTTTGTTTTTATATTTGGGCATTTTCAAGTTTTAACAGAAGACATAATAAAGTACCAATAAGCCTTTACTGTCTTTTCTGAAAGCTTTGAACATAAAATAAAATTTCCTCAAAGTAATGTTCAACTGTCCTAATAGGTAAGTTAGAAAACAGTTTCATTAAATTCATGTGTTTGTTTCCTTGTAGCATCTATCCAAGAACTCATTGGGTAAGTAAACAGATATTTATATACAACGTTCAGATGCTGATGTAAGATAAATATTGACCAATTTTCTTAAACGAGTGCCGAAGGAACAAGCTTCTGCGGGGGTTTGGTGGAATGCTCCTCCTTGAAATTTTTTGGATTTTAACTCCCAAATCTGACTGATTTCTGTGGGACAGGGTGGAAACCGGTGTGGATCTCCACCTGACATTAGCTCACAATAAAATCAATGTGAATTTTCTGTAAATGAGAATTCGTAAAACGTCACCATTTTGTCTTTACAATTTGATGACGTCATCGTGAAAACCATCTACAGTGTTCTCCTTATTAGGCAGTAACCGGTAAAATTTACCATCTGAAGCAACACCTCTTACTGGCTGCAACTGCTTAAAGGTTTACTAAAATAATATAAGTTGTTTTAAAAAATATGCAAGGTGTGATCTGATCCAATCAAGGAAATGAATTAATACATGGAAGTGTACTAAAGTATACACAGTTTTTCCTTTTTACGGGCCATGCATTTTGGAAAGAGAGCATTTGAAGACAGAGTAAAATATTATTATTGGAATCAAACGTTTCAAATTGTTGTCTAAAGATAATGGCTGATTTGTGTAATATTGGTCTTCAAATGACGGAATGCCGTTTCAGAGAACTTAGCTCCTAAATTTCACAGTGAGGTTGAGGCCATGTCCCTCACTCCACTACCCCCCCCCAGGAAAGTGTGCGTCTGGCACATTTTTGGCCTTACCAGCAATGAGTGGTCCCTGTTAGCTGCTGAGCTAAAATTTAGGGAGAATGCTGCATCTGTTGTCTATAAAACATTATTAAAAGAAGTTGAGGTGTCTGTCAGAGTTTCATTGTGAATGTAGTTACCTTAATTTGGCTATCCTCGATTATTAGCAATTATTTTTAATAAATAAAATATTTTTTATAACTATTATTATGCTATCATTGCACTATTTACATTTATTTAATTCAATGATAGACTATTAGGTTTGAATTCAAACTCTCAAGAATATAACTATAACATTCTGCTTACCCTTAAACCCTCCATGGGTGTAGGGACTCCAATATGAAAGAGGCAGAGTTTCTGGCATAAGCGACAGAATGAGCATCCCCTTCTCTTTCATATGGCAGGCTCTCTTGGCCAAAAATTAAGCAATACCAGGTTGACAATGTCGTCTACATCCACAGTTACTGTACTGCAGAATCCAGCCAGAGCGGTGAAGGAATTTAGTTTGTAATAATATTACATACTTAGAGTGTTTTCATTGTCACAGAATGAAATAATAAATTTGAAACCATTCAACAAAAGAAGCCAACAAAGTGAAATGTTACAGAAGACTCAGGGCTGTGCTATCAGAGCCTGGTAGCCCCTGGCGCCTAACTTTTGCCCTCGGGCGAGTAGAAAATCTCAGATTTTTCATACAAATCATATGCTGGGCACCCTAGATTTTACAGTTTCATAGCACTGAGCTCCCTTCAGTTTTCCTTAGAACACAGCCTTGCTACTTATCCAAGTTTGACAGGTCTTTGCAGCGTACTGGTTTTTAGTTATTTACCGATAAGTTTCACACATTTAAATATAGAGCTTTGTATGGAGAGGCCATGCTGGTGTACCAGCATGGGACACCAATGTGCATAAACACATTTTTTACTGCTTGAAATGTTTAAACTGCTGAAAATCATAAGGAGAGAGAGCTTTTCCTTTAACGAGATGTCTGTGCTGAGGCTACCACTATGGTGTTAAACACCGTGGAAATGTAGAAATTCAAAATGTTGCATTTTCAAAATAAAAGATGCTATGTGACCGTAAACTTCTACACGGATTTCATTTTCGATCACCTTCAATTTGGGGCACATAAGAAATTCAGAAGGCCTCGCTATTTTGATGTCTTTTTTAATGACATGGTGAAAAAACTCTATTAGGTTGATTTTAGGCCATCAACAATATGAAAAAAGCAAGTGAGAAAAAAAAGTGAGGAAATACAGAAGTCTGATGCTCGGAAAAGATCAAATAGCATCTGTTTTACTGAAATTTATGAAGCCTTGTCAAACATTTTGAGACTACTGGAAAAAGCAAGTAAATTATCATTAGACATACTGCAGGGCTGTTTAAATAAATGCGTGGTCATGGAGACCAAAAGCAATTTTACTTATTTGCCTTTTGATATTGCCTTCTTGTCATCATTTGGTGTGTTTTATCTATGAAAGTGAACCAAAATTTAATTTCCATAAAAATCAGCATTGTCCAATAGATTGTTAAAGTAATAATAATAATATCATAATTACTGACTTGTGAATATGTTCTTTGAAAGATATCATTGTTATGTTAATGCCACAGCATAAAATACAATTCACCTTTTATAATAATGTTTTAATAACAGCTGCTGCTGATTCAATGAACAAGTTTTAAACTACCAGTTTTCAAAATGTTTTGAAGCAAATGTAGTCTCTGTGCTGTGGATTTCTAATGAATGCATTCTAGTTTTAAAATGTCAACTTGCTCATGCATCCATTCAGAAACAGGAGTTTTTTTGGTTAAATTTTTCAAATGAATAATAACTTTGTGCAGCATGAATAAAGTGAATATATTTTTTAACCTTGCAGTTCTGTTTCTTAATGCTTCCTTATTGAAACTTCATTTTTATTTCTTTCAAGTCTTTGAACAACCATTCTTCTTGGAATTATACATACACATCCAGAGCTTGTACAAAAAAGCTAATAAGTGACGGTGTAAACCCTTATAAAACAGGCCGTTAAATTTTCGGGCAGAAACTTAAGTGAAGTAATAAACAACAAAGACGCATTCCGACGACAGAATATCACACTGGCGAGCATAATCTGTGAATTGTTTTCAATTCATAGTGAAATTTTACTGTGATGACTCTCGAAAAAAAAAAGGAACAAAAACTAACCATCTCACTACTTTTTGTAAAGCATTATTCCACCTTTTAGGTCAAACAGGGAACATACTACGCTAATGTAAAAGAAACTTCTAATGATCATTAATGTCGTTTCATGACTTTGAGATTGTCCTAATGCAAAGTAAGATTTAATCATGGTAGATTTTTATTCTTCCTTACCATAAAGTGATAATACAATAAAAAACTCTGTGGACATTATGTCTGAACATAGGTGGGATTTTGTCAGACCCTGGCAAATTTTGGTCGGCCAATGTCCAATGACCGACTGTTATTTGCAGCCCTGTACTGTAGGTATTTTTCGATGTCTAGATGTTAGTTTCACTGTCTTAATTATAACATGGCTTCAGTATTTTAGTGACTTAGTGTACCTACTAGAAATGAAAACCTCCTAGAAAAGCCAGACTGGTCATTTTAATACAGTCAAACCTCATTAATATGGACACTGAGGATGCTATAGAAAGTGTCCGTATTAATGGGGTGTCCGTATTAAGCGGGTTGAATTTAGAGAAAATTTAAGTTTTTTCTTTCCTCAGGGACAAAGGAAACTGTCTGTAGTAATTTGGTGTCCTTATTTAGTAGGTGTCTGTAAAGCTGGGTTTAACTGTTATGTGGTAGGCTTTTGAGAGTTTTCACTAGACCCCAGCACTGCTGTGCATAGAATTTAGGAATAGACTGGTTTGGCTGTGGGACAGTTCTGACTAAATTATGCTAAAATCTCTTCTTAACAGGACTGGTCTTGCAAGCCAGTTCTAACCAATGGTAAGCACTCTTACATGTAATGTTTAAAATTTGTTGTACACTCAGGTGTCCCACACCAGGATGTGACGGAAAGGGGCATGTAAATGGAAAATTTGCTTCACATCGCAGGTAGGAAATCAGCTGTTTGAGTGATAAATGAAAGAGTATTCTTATAACAGTCAACTACAGTACTATAGTTGCATCAAAAGTAATAGTTTAATATTTATTTTATTAAGCTAGGATACTGTGCAAGTATGCAGGAGTAAATGATATAGCAAAGAGCTTGAAGATGAACATTAATAATAATAATAATAATAATAATAATAATGATAATAATAACAATGGTTAATTCACAGTGATCCATAAACTAAAAATATGGTTCTTTACCTTTGACTAATCTAACCTACTAAGCCACTCATCAGTTGGTGTAAATATCATTACTACAAAACTATGAACAGTGAAGTAATAATACAGTGCAACTATTGTAATTGGGGCCACTTAGACAAAGTTGACCAATCGGGTTACAGGAAAATAACAACACATTCCAAGAAAGTTGGTTGTGGGTCAATCAGCAGCTCGTAAAAAAACAATGAGTTACTCTTGGCACAAAATTTAATATTGATAGCAAGAGTTTTTCAGTAAAGCAAAATGTTTCACCAAACAATGTTTTTGCTATTTGAAACTTTGCATACAACACCCAGGAGGCGTATCTCTTTGACACAAGCTGTTTTTTTGTCATCTACCTACCAGCAATTTCTTTGCTACTATTGCTGTGCTAATTGCAATAACATGCGACCGCTAGTCAAGAGTATCACTCACCCTAACGGACCTCTTGGGAAACACGTGCTTTCTTCAGCAGGTTCAAAGCAAAATGTTTCACCAAACAATGTTTTTTTCTATTTGAAACTTTGCATACAACACCCAGGAGGCGTATCTCTTTGACACAAGCTGTTTTTTTGTCATCTACCTACCAGCAATTTCTTTGCTACTATTGCTGTGCTAATTGCAAACCCTAACGGACCAGTCTTGGGAAACACGTGCTTTCTTCAGCAGGTTCAAAAGGTCACATCTGTAGGTTGTAATTGGTTGATTTTGATCCATGTTGTTTAATTTGTTTCATGGTAATTAGGATAGACAACTAACTTTCTCAGAATGTAATTATCATTTTCCTGTAATCCGATTGGTCGACATTGTCTAGGTGGCCCTGGTTATAGTAGTGAGTGACACACTGTAAAACAATTAGTTAAAAAAGACACAGTTACGTGTTCGGATGTGGCAGATTCTGCAACAATCATCTTGTGGCAAAGGGAGGTTCCTTACTGTGCAGAAAGCATAAGTCTATAATCAGCTTGTTTGTTTTCCTTTGCAGTGTTTATGGGTGTCCCTACGTCCAAAAATCCAGCAGACGAAGGACTGATAGTGGAGGTATTAGACAATCTTAATTTTGCTTGCTAAAGACTGAGGCCCCAGTTGTTCAAACGGTGGATAGCACAATCCATTGGATAAATCACTATCCAGGGGATAAGTGTTAGGGAAACCAATAATATTATTGCTTTAACCACCGTTTGAACTGGGGCCGGTTGTCTGTTAACCGTTTAAGCCCCAATATCCGCAAACAAATTCTCCAAAGTGATCTCTATACATTTCCTTACAGAATAAGTTGGGAGAAATTGATAAAAGATCAGAGATTCTTCTCTTTGTGATCATTTGATTAATTCTCATAGATGTTGTACTTGACAATCTATGGATATTGTTAGGAGAAAATTGATGTTGGTCACTATTGGGACTTAAAGGTTTAATTGGTTTAGTATCTACTAAATAAATGTAGGGTGACAATGGATGTACAATCCTCATAAAAGATTATCAAGACAAAAATCAAATCTGAATTTTGTCTCCATCCTCTCAAGAATATTAGAGAATCAAGCCTTTATAACGAGTGTCAACTTACTTTAGAACAGTACTGGCTAGAATAATATCAGTCAACTGATCCCTAAAAATTGATGAACTGTCAGGTGGCATTAATTAAACTATCATTATTTTATTTGTTTTATGCAGATAGGGATTATGATGGGGCTTCAGAAACATCAAGGTGATGATTATGGTCTTTCCTCTAATTAAGATGGGGGTTGGGCTGTTATTGTCCACTCTCCTAATTTCCAGCCTTATAAATAAATACCGCCGTATTTGAAATTTTTTTCCACAAAGCTGAACTGTCATGTGTATCAGATTTGTACAAGAGCCATGATGGCTCTTGATTTTAATTAGTAAGGTAATTAATATTTTTTCCTAAATTGTTGGTTAAACGATCTTCTATGTAATAATAATGTCATTTTCAGCCGTGTTATGCTTTAAAATTAATTGCCAAGACACATGTGATGTAGGGAAAGCTTCACCTTCACATTGCTACTATTAAGCACAGATTTCTTCTGAAATCATCTTGGAACTACTGCTCACAGCTTCCTTACCAGTGCTAGTACAGAAAAAATACATAGGACACAACTGAGAGGTGTAAATATATATTAACATAATATGACGTTTTGATTTGTTTGCATCCAATACTATACAATAATTCAGTTAAAAAATATGGTATGAGGAGGCGGCGTGGTCGAGTGTTTAGAGCACTGGACAAATCAGAGGCCCCAAGTTGAAGTCCCGCTTAGCCTGTGTACAGACGTGCCCCCTCCATCAGAAAAAAATCGGGAGAAGAGGGAGGGGGGACGTCTGTACACAGGCTAAGTCCCGCTCTGACCTCTAGCTGGATTTGTTCACGGTATTCCCGAGTTGAAATCCTCGGCCATGCTTGTAAATAGCCAGCTGGTTTGCCCTGGCCAGTTGGGTTTCTTAACCCTGTTAAGTCAATTGAATTATTTGTTTAAGTCATTTTCTCGGCCCCAGCATTAGTGCTATAAATACTACCGATGGTAAAAAACGGAATTATTGTTGGTAGTATTTGACAAAACGTTCCCATGAGCATAGGTTCGGTCTTTATGCTGCTTTTTAATCATCTCAGATGTCCAACACCCGGATGTGATGGCTCAGGACACAAATCAGGGTTATTTGCTTCTCATAGAAGGTAACTATCTAATTAGAAATTCGAGCGTACTTAAATTTTATTTTTTAAAATTTAAAAATTTACACATGCACTCGCAAAAAGAAAACCTGTTTAAAAAAAATGCTTTTTGTGGATTGTTGGAATACTGACTGTCAGTAGCCCATCTCACTAATGTAGTAAGTGCTAGTTAAAACTGCTAACTTAGCATGTGTGTAGAAAGAAGCAATGTTTGTGATCTCACATGCTTGACACAAAGAAAAACTAAAGCTGAGTCTGCGATAGGATTCAAATTCGTGATAGTCCATAGCAGTGTCAGGTGCTTCGGCCACTCAGCCACAGCTAACGCAATTTTGGTATTAACGAGGCCATTTACTTGTAAAATCTTTTGTTGCTTTGAATTTGGCAAATTGGCAGCTTCTCTTAGTACCGAGTTTATAATGGGGTTAACCACGGAACACTTTCCTTTGTAGCTCTAAGTATCTGCAATAAAAAGTTTGTGTGGTAATTGTTTTCAATACTTGAGTAGGCTACATGTATTCCTTCATTTTCTTCCGGGAAGGTTGAGCGAACGCACCCGCATAAAATTTCCGAGAAGAAGCGAGACGCGGAGAAAGGAGAGAATTATCCTTTCCTTACGCGTGTCTCTTTCTCCGCGGGTAGCGATTTTCCACGCGTTCTCACGTGTTTCGCCTTCTCTGCTTTTCCTGAGGTAAATGGTGGACTACTCGTTGTCGAATAAGTGAGCACCACTACAGTGAACCCCCTTTTAACATAGATCATCAGGTAAATTAATTACTGAACCATTTTCTTGAAATGTCTTTCCATTTCAGCCTTTATGGGTGCCCCAGGAGGATTTCTGTGGAAAAAACTAAAGATGGTAACCACTTACTCCCGTTGCGCTTAAGTTAACTTAACTCATGTTTATGTGATAGCTAAGAAATGTTTTCTGGAAGGGAAAGCGATGTTTGTTTCCTTTCATCATGTAATGCTGTTTGTAACCCTGAACTATTATCCTGAATTGAGGTGGTGAAACCTAGGGCACTTTCCATTTGTCAGAACTGACCGGCCAGACCATTCGTGTAGTATTTTAATTAATGCCATCCAGCAAAATCAGTCAAATCCTAAACAGTATGCGCGAAGGAGATGGTTTTCATTACAAACTCTTGGAAGAAGCTTATTTCATTGTCGAAATGACTGGTCCGGCCACAGTCCAGCTGGCCCGTTCTGACTTTAGGAAAGCGTCCCTAGTGGGCAGCCGAGAGTGACCAACTGATTTGTGACTATTAATAGGCTGATTTAGCAACAGAATGGGAACGTCATTTGACGACGGGAAAGCGCGCGAAAACGACTAAACTCGACTTCCGGTGCTCAATTTGCCGCTCTGCCATTACCTTTTTTGTGGGGCCGGAGCAAAGAGAAGTGAGCAGAAAAAGACCGCGAGGGGGTGGGGTAGGGGGTGTATTTCCTTTCGCGCTCTCTTACTTCGCTGCGCACTCCACTATCCGAACGCTTGGAACAGGGTAAATATACACTGTTCCCTTCCTTTGGACAAAGTGGTGAAATTCTACTGCATTGAACTCTTTTGCTTAGTACCTTATTATGTGAATTGCATTGCATTCGTTGCAATAAAGCCTTGGGAATGAACATAGCCCTGAAAGGATAAAGTTTAAATGGCCAGCTGACCAGTTTTTTAGTTTGCAGTGGTGGCGTTTGAAGGGAAAGTAGTCTTTTTAGCAGATTTAGCACCTACCGTTGAGACTCCATGAGCGACCACCTCTCGTAAGCGACCACCTCCCGTAAGCGACCGCCAATCCAAAACAACAAAATTTTCCCAGTCAATGCCCTATAATAAAAACTCTCATAAGCGACCGCGGCCACTTTGTTGCTTGATGGTTTTATAGTTTTTCTTTATTTTTAACCTCTTGTAAGCGACCACTTGACGCATAATGCGGGCTCTTTGTTCGCGGTATGTACCACGACACTCAGAATAAATTATACGAAGAACTTTCAGTGACAACATGGAACCACACGTATACGTAACGTTAAAATTGCATGCAATAAATTCTCTGCCAAAAAGTAGATGTGTTGGGACTTATTCTCGGAAGGGAGCCCTGTGGTTCAATTCTCTTAAGCGACTGGTTCCCGTAAGACCAATAAATCCTCGCATTTTAGGTGGTCGCTTGCGGGGGGTTCGACTGTACTCATTTATCAATTTGCTTAACATTTTTTTTCGCTTTTCTTGTTTAGGCAAGTCACTAGATGACAATGGCCCTAGGTAAGCCTAAAAACCAAGAAAGTGTAAATAAGCCAGTGAGACAGGGTTCAACAGTTTGTTGATAAATAAGCTTACAGCTTCACTCGGTCTATAACAAGATGTACAAACAAAAAGAAATGATAATACAAAATTTTTGTTGAGGCGATAGGAAAGAAGTTTAGTACCAAATATCAAAATTGCTTTCACAAGATTGTAATCATCTAGCCAAAATAAACGTGTATGCAGAAAATAAACTGAAAATAAAATACTGTGAAAACCACCTATAGAATGATTTAGCACCCTGTATGAAATATTTCCTCAGATGTCCTACCCCTGGATGTGATGGTACAGGTCACAGGACAGGAATGTACACATCACATAGAAGGTAGGTTCGTCACTTGTGTGTTTAATCAAATCTTGTATGAAGAACACCCAAATTATCAGACTAGATACAAAGCTGATCTCTTAATTTTGACTTAAATAGTTGTCTGATAAAAGAGTCTACGGTTAAGTTAAATTGGGCCTTAAGTATACCTAAGCTCACACCGATAGAAACTTGGTAATTCACGGGCTTACCAGACATTTTATGGAAACACTGATTAATTAGGGACATTACGATCTGACAACGGCGCTGAAATCGTCACTGAAAAGATGAGTTCGCGTCCAACTGGCTCAGTCTTTTAAAAAATGGGGCTGAAGAAGGATGAAAGCGTAGAATTTATCGCTCTGCCGTTGACACCCTCAAGAAAATTTACAATGTAGTCATTTCACGTCGTTGTGGAGAGATGGACTTGAATTGTGCGCAGAGTTGTTGTTTGCTTATTGAACTTATCGCTTTCTGGACATTTTCGTTGCCGTCGTCGTCGCGGTGGGGAAGCTCCCCGAAGGGGGGGTACTCCCATACATTACCTATACGAGTATGTGCCACCCAACGGGGTCGTGATTTTGAAGCTCCTGATTTAGAACGGGGTATCCATTTCAGAGGCGTTTTCTAAAACGGGGTATAATATTTCGAAAGCGCGAAAGCTCCAGTTTTGTTAGCAGCCATTTGAATTTATTCAAGGACAGATTGCTTTTAATAACACGGTTCAATGCGTTAACAAGCAAACTGTTGTACTCTTGTTGCACCCTAGAACGGAGTATAAAAAATTGGCCCATTTCTAGAACGGGGTATCAGTTTTAGAGCTAATTCTAGAACGGGGTATAAAAAATTGGCCCATTTCTAGAACGGGGTATCAATTTTAGGGGAAATTTTTTTTAGAACAGGGTGCCAATTTGGAGTCCCGGGCGGCACATACCCACCCAAAAAATACCCAAGTGCCCCCCCGGGGGGAAGCTTTAGCAACGACGACGGCGACGGCAATGAGAACGTCAAAAAAAGCGATAGGTTGAATAGACAAAACAACAACTTTGTCAGTACATCACGCTTTTCAGTTTTGTACGTTTATTTGCTGTCTCTGCACGACTACGACGTGAAAATACCTTATTTCACGTTTTATGGAGGACGTTAACAAGCTACGACGAATATTTCTTTCTCTTTTTAAACTTAAGTGCGGTCTCCAAGAAATCAGAACGTAATTCGCCTACATTTTCAGCTAAATGGAATAAACTCGACAAAGTGTGAAAAACGCGAATTCATTATAAGGTGACGTTTTCTCTGCCGTGGCCGTCGTCTTCGCTAAAGCGTCTTAGTTTCGTAAGGTTTTCTTAACTCAAGAGACCCCTTTATAAGATCTACGCCTCCCTTTCACCGCCCAGGCAGAGTTAGGCTGAGATGATCTGTCATTTTAACTTTCCCATCTGTGGATGAAATCCTATGATGTTGCTTTGGTAGACGTTCTGTATGGTTCTGTTGAAATGTTTGAAGTTTTTTAAAATTTTTGCGTATTCAATCGAACAGTAATTTCCTTTCCCTTTCTGTTATCAGATGAACTCCTCTCTGAGATAACATTATTTATGGCTGGCCCCAATGGTATCCGTGCTAGAGAGAGTTGACCTCAATGCAAAAAAAGAGCCATAAAACTCTGCCACGGCATTAGTCAGGCTTGCTCGAATCGATGGGGAGGTCGTTTTTGATAGTATGGTGTTATTATTGAGATGATCATAGCAAAAGGGTGGCCATATAATTAGGGTGGTTAGATGACAGGGTTTAAAAACGTCGCTGTTGCTATGATCATTTAGTCTGTCAGGTTGCCCTCTTGCCAATAGTCAGAAGTCATCATCTCGGCAGTGCCGGAGTCCACCAGCCACACCTCCACACAAGAAAGGTATGTCGCTTCGTGGCCAATAAAGCCCAAATATAGAGAATCGTGCTTTGAAGTTGACGCGTAACTAGCCGACCTCATCTTCTGATGAAGTCTAGCAGTAAGCAGTCGAAACGTCGCGAACTACATCTCAAGTGACTGCATCGTGAAATAAACCGCTATAATGATTAGATTATTATTTAATCATTTGAAGTGTCTAGACTACATTCCATTAATTTTTTTTTTGACATTTGACGTTATGGTCCACACTTTTTCCTGTCAAATCCCGTGCTGCTGATCTTCCTAGTGCTACATTTCCAATAAATTCTTGGTAAATCCTAGAACTCAGCGCTTTTTGCTAATTTGAACCATTCACAAGTAGCAAATAAACTAAGTCAACCAACAAGGTCATTAATTCATTCTGCTTTGTTTCGCGACAGATGGTCCAGAAATCCGATTTGACATTCTGTTGACATTGTCAGTTTTCTTCAGCTGTTAGTTTACCTCTTTAGATTGTATTTTGCAAACTTAAAGTGCACTCTAACTGAAGTCTTGGTCATAGCCGTTTAGTCACCATGCATCAGCTCTGATACACCCTGTTCGCCATAGAGCCTCTAGTAGATCAGTGGTTAGAGCGTCCGAACTAGAACTCGGAGGGTCGTGAGTTCGATTCTCACCTGGAGCTCGGAATTTTTTGCTGAGCTTTCTGGTGTAAGAATTCTCCTTCTTCCAAATTATTCGTTGTAAATTACGTTTAGGCTGTGTTCGTTTGGAATGAAACGTTTCTTTCTAAACCGGTTGATTTGGTTGAAGTACAATACTTGTGACTTGGCATAAGTAACTCCAGCTTTCATGTACACGACCGCAAGAGGTATGCGGGCAAATTGGGACATTGTTGCCCCTCAATATGTCAGGTGTGACAGCACATCCCGCCCAACCCATGCAGCGAGTCCTTAGACTTGGTTATAGAAAGTCGTTTAGGGAAGGAAGGACGGTTGGGTTTGCCTACTTAACCAGTGTTTCGCATTCAGTTTTTACTCTTCGCTAGCATATTTTGCGCTTCTCTGTCGTCTTTTGCCGCTCGACGACGTCTTGAGCTAGGGTTAAAGGAGAAAAAAGTAATTCAACCAAATTAACACAAAAGCAACACTCCACCAAGCGAAAACGATTTCTAATACAACACAGCCTTATTTTTCCAGCTTTAGTAAGAATTGGCTTCTGCTATTTTCAGGTTGTGCGCCAAAATACCTTCTCACAGACAAATCCTCGCCGCAGGAGAGTCCAACCTCCCCAGACTCGGGAATATCATCTGCTTCCAGCACTGAAGACAATTCCGCCAAAAAAGAACTCAATTTTGAATCAGACACTAAAGAGACGTCCTCTGTTTTTACTTTCCCGAAAAGCAAACCACCTAAAATAAAAAAGGAGCCTCAGTCAGAAACGTGTACAACAACAGCACCGGCCGCAAAGCTTCCAGAACATTCCATGCCAAGCATCATTACAGCAACTGCAGCCGTCGCCGTCGCGAATTCGGTCATGAGCGGTAATCTGGTTTCTTCATCAAAACAATTGTCTTCATCACAGGAGAGTTTAGCAGGCGATCTTGTGGAACCAACAGTCAAAAGGGAGCCGATTGATGGCGAAGAAGAGGATGAGTACAGTGAGGAGGATGATGCAGACTCGGAGATGAGTTCAGATGAGATGTGTCTGGAAGCTAAAGAAGTGGTCAATTACACGTCTGATGAGAGTAATTCTGATGAAGACGACTTCAGGAAAGATGAAGACGATTCTGATTATGGAGACAAAAAAGGTAACCTTGACAAACCTTACCCTGTGTCGCGGTCATGGGCGGGACCCGCCGTACCACCACGTCTGTCTTTACAACCTTTTTTCTTACCGCTAACTTAAGTCCAGTCCTTACTTTTTCTACAACCCCGTTTTGACAACCACTGGCCACTTTTCGGTGACCAGAGTCGTTATTATTTGTATCATCTGCATAGAGAGCTTAAACAACTCCCGTGGTGACGGCAGCGAAATCGTCACTTAGAAGCTGACCGATAGAAATGTCCCATGCAGAGGTGGTCAATACAGTTTGAAAGGGTTGGGAAGAGCATTTTTTAGTGTCATATCATGTATTCAACTGTTCATCATATTTGAGTTTACAAACTGAAGGTCATAATCTCGTTTTTGAATTTTTTTTTTCTTTTACAGGTTCCTCAAGGTTCATTGGGTATGTATTTATTGTATAGTGTTTTAATTATCAAACTCAAATCTGCATTCCTGAGCCCATTTAAGCGAGATTAAAATGAAATATGACTGTTATGTATTTATCTGGTAAAGAAGTAATGGTTCCATAAATTTCAGCTTTCTTTGTCGTTTAATGTATAAAAGACAAAACGTCAAAAACTTTAAGTTTCACTAGAATGGTAGTTTCGATGTCTTAACAAAATAAAAAATCACTGAATTCGCTAAAGTACAATCCATCCCTAAGTTTCATCTTTCCCTGAATAACTACTACCTCTGTTTTGCTTCGCGATTCATTTTATCCAACATAACTTCACTTACACTTTGCATTTGGTTGCATCTAGAAACATTTTACCAAATTAGCGCAGAGAGATTTTCGTATTAACAGCTGTGAAAGTGTTTGCGCTGCACTACCTTTTAGGAAAGTCCTTTTTAAGCAGTGTTCTCTCTTTTGTTTCAGTTGTCCAACAGAGGGCTGTGATGGATCAGGTCATGTTAATGGTCGGTTTGCCAGTCATCGCCGCCTCTCCGGTTGTCCAAGAGTTCTAAGGAACACGCCTCTGCCTAAAACCCCAGTGAAGCGTGAATATGGTAAAGGTTTTTTGTTGTTTTTCTTTTTAAAAATGCAACGAAAAGAGATTAGTAATGCTTTACTTTGATTGGCTAAAACTCTCCCGCTCCTTTGCCACATTCTCGCACTTATTTCCGCGATTTCTGGCTTCATGTGTTTGCTTCGAGTTGTGATTGGTTAATTTGATTGCCAGCAGTAATTCTGATTATGATTTTTTGGTTGCTGTTTTAAGTGATTAAAGCAAAACTGCTCTTTTTAGATGGATCGATGCTAATTACAAGATTCGTACAGGGGGTATTGAAAACCTGGAAAGACATGAAATTTAAAAAGTGACTTGAAACTGGAAATTACGTCTTTTTATTTGCAGGTCCTGATGGAAAGCCGAAAGAGCTTCTTTGGTAATTAACTTTCTAAACTACTTGTCTCTCAAAAGAAGTTTCAATTTGCAATATTGCGCCCAATGTTTCACTCAACGTGGCTACATTCTGTTGCATTTCTTGCCCACAAAATTGGCGCAACATTTGCTGGAACGCCACCAAGGGAAAGAGAGGCAAACTTTCACTTGTCCAAAGCGGTTAATTATGAACGTAAATTTCGTTAGCTTGCGGCCCAAGATTTAAAGCTTTGTCACTCCATTGCACGCAACGTTACAGATAGTAGATACCCAACGAAACGTTTTCGTGCCTTAATTTCAAGATTGGACAAGAGATGAATGTTTTTGCGCACTTAATTAAAATTAGTGATATTTGCTCAACTGCAGATTGCTCAGAATTTAGGCAGTTAACTAAACCATAGTTAATTGAGTGGAATGGTTATGAAACCCGTCAGACTCCTTTGTTATATGTTTTTGTGGACCTGAAAGTGCACAACGTTCAAAATAATTCCTATCATTTTGATTGTATTGACCAATAAAAACGTTGCATTAATTTATTCCGTAACAATTTGCCAACAGAAAACAAAGGATTGTGCACTTTCACGGTGCTTTGAACATAAACTACAGCACTGTTGTTTTTATCATTGATGTTTGCCGCTTTTCATAACCAGTCTCCTCTAATAACTATGACTAAACCTAGTTTTTTTCGTTTTTGTAGTTGTCCCACCCCCAACTGTGATGGGAAGGGTCATGTATCTGGTCAATATGCTACTCACAGGAGGTAGGTGTATTTTTACGGGTTTACAGCTGCGCCTAATGCTGTGTTCACACTCAGGTGAAACATCTTTCAGAAAGAACTAGCAAGATGAAATAAATTCGTTTTCTCAGGTGTACACTGGAGTTAAATACGGTTGAATTTCCTCGTAGACTTGCCTGCTGATGGTTTAAGTAGGGTGAATATCATCGTGCCAGTGAGTGTAAGTCCTGAGCAGGACAAAAACGCTTTGTATTCGATAATGACTTTCACCACCCGAACTTTAAAAAACAAACCACTCGTTAAATTTTTTATCAAACAATGCAGTGGAGTTATAAACGATTTTTAGAATTCGTTTGCTTGCTGATGTAGGAATCGGACTCAGGAATACTCCACTGGTCGAACGTCGGTAACTGTCACGAGCCCGTTCTGTTCTGAATTCAAGAATACTCACCAAACCGATCACATCCAGCCTTCTTATGAAATGATTTTGGTGTTCGTGCCTTTAAACGTTTGCTACGCTTTCATCAACACGTTCATATATCATTGCAAATAAGCCACCCATCGACATTCCGGTACTAGAAGTATGCAAGATGTTTGTCACATGAACCTCGTTTAATGGCCTAAGCTCACACCAGTCTTCTGTAGCTCATTGCTGGAGCATTCGTAATTGTAACCGGCAGCTAATACGTTCAACTCTTGTTGGGAGAGATCAGATTTTTCGGGCTAGTCTCCTGTGTCACTTACTAACTAGAAACATCATTTCTACTTAAAAATGTCTGTCAGCCTCAAGTTACCAGAGGAACCCTTTGTTCTACTATTTCTAACTGAATAAACTTGTTGTTGTTTTGTTCAAATGAGCATGTTTTGTTGACGTGCTGAGAACATGATAACAGAATATGGACCTCATCACTTGCCTCATTTCTCTCCGTTTCTTTCAGCTTATCAGGGTGCCCACTGGCGGCCAAGATGCAACAACAGGAACACCAAGAAGTTAGGTACATGTATGTGTTAGTTAAACACAGTGAGTAGTTGTTATTTTTTGGTGTTTTCTCTGAGCGTTGAATTAATTGTTGCCTCGCCTTCTGTTGTCATGTAGGTGCCCCACTGTTGGCTGTGATGGAACAGGTCACGTGACTGGAAAATACTCGTCACACAGAAGGTAGATTAGATATAAGTTTAGTTAACGAGAAAAATCCCAAAAGTTACTACTTCTAAGATAAGATTATTATCAAATTTTTCACTTTGATTAATCTAACCGTTTCAAACTTTGGCTTGTCAATGTCATTTTAAAGGGAATATTTCAGCAGGTGTGGAACATTTTAAATGTAAAGAAACTCCAGCTAGGTTTTCAATTTAAGGAATTAAAATTAAACTCACCAACTGTGAGAAATAATTGAAAAATAGTGGCCCAAAATGTAAGTCGCTTAATAGGCGTAGAAGTAAAATAAATTTTAACCGTTCGTGGAAACAAAGTTTCGTCAGAATTTTTTGGTCAACTGTAATACACTTCAATTCATGTAATCCTCGTCCTTGTTCGCCTTTTTTTTCCCGATTTTCTCTGTAAATTTTTTTATTCAGACCAGTGTAACATCGCCCAGCAGTCGCTAGCATTTGATGGCCTATTTCTGTGACACGGAACTTGGGACAGTAAAATGTCGATACTTTAACAGAACTCTTTCATTTTACGGAATAACTTTCCCCTCGTCCGTATACTCTCCGACACGCGACCTCAAGTGGTCTTTGTCAAATCTACTTGCTACGCTTTTCTCCTATTTGAAAACGTATGGTGACCGTGCGTTCTCAGGCTGTGCTCCAAAACTATGAAACTCTTTGCCTCTTGAATTAACAAACTCCTCTTCGGTCAGTATCTTTAAGAATAAGTTGAAGACGTCTACTTAGGTTTGTTTTTTCAAGTAAACGTTTTTGCCCCTTTTTATAGTTGATGTCTTGTGCTTGTAAATTTGAAAGTTTTTACTTGTAATTTTTAATTTTTTGTACATACTTTGTAAATCGCCGTAGAACCTTGGGGATTTTGGCGCTATAGAAATTGAAATTGTAATTGTAATTGTCTTTTTAGTTTGTCAGGTTGTCCATTGGCACCAAAGCTTGCTCTTCAGAATGCCGAAGCAGGTACGTTTCTTTTCGAACTTTCGATACTGAAATATCGGATTTTAGGGCAATTTTTTTATGTTGAGTTGCGTTACTAGACACTCCCATGACCGCGTTCAAATCATGAATATACACTTGGGGATGAATCAGTGTCAGCATCAGATGGCTGATGATTAAACGGAGAATGATCACTTTTTTTTTTTTTAATTTTTAAGTAGGCTTTTATTGGGTTGATTTTGCCAAGGAGTGCTATGTCACGACCGAAAAGTCGACCTCGTCGGAGACAACCTTTCATTTCTCCTAACCTACATCCTTTCATTTTTGCTTTGTTTCTTAGGTGACAAACAGTCCGACAAACAAGGACCCACGTGAGTAATCGTGATTATTTAGTGCTAATTTTTTAGGGAGTGATTTACCCTCAGTATAACATCATCGGGAATCGGTGCTTTCAGTGGGATTTTTAGGGACTTCCTTGGACATCCCACTGGCATTTTTCGGCGTAGTATGAGAATACAACTGCCACTCATCGCTCCCAACCGCTGGGGCGTCACCAGTTGTGGGGAGCTATGAGGGGTAGCTGTATTTGCAGGTTAAGAACAGGCGGGGGGGGAGGGGGAGGGGGCTGCTTATGAAATGTTGCATTTTAGCCTTATTTAACCCGGTCCTATACTTACTTTTACAGGTGTCCTACTCCAGGTTGCGATGGAACAGGACATTCCAGCGGCCAGTTCAGCACCCACAGAAGGTTAGCTCGTGTTAGATTGTTCGGCAGCGATAGGGGTAGCAATAACGTTATAGTAGGAGAGCTGCTTAAAAACTGTTTGGGACATGGAACTGTCTTAAGAAAGTAAATTTGGCTTTGAAACATACAGTGGACCTTGGCAAGAAAGAAGAACGCCAATTTATTGGCATGTTTGTTACCGGTGTTGCTGCATACATCTTGCTTTAGTTTTTGGGTCACTTTCTGGTTAGATCGATGTGTTTCAGTTTTCAATACCCTTCGCTTATTTATCGTCTTTGTTGCTTCTACTCCCTCGTTTTGTAGTTTGTCAGGATGCCCGATGGTTTCCCCGTCAGAGAAGAAAGTTCTCATGAGACAGGAAGCAGAATCCAAGTTACTGGCTCAAGCCAATGCTAGCAGAGACTCTGAACCAGTCAGGCTGGTCAAAGTACGCTCGGGAAAAGGTAAGGCGCACAGAAAAAAAAACGTTGTGATTCGATAATCTTCCTCCAAGTGCCCCGATTCGAGTAGTCGCACTGTAAAAATACGGTAGTTAGCCTAGCCAAATTCACGAAGGTGACTCTTTGAGAGTTTGGCATGTTGCGTCTTTACGAAGAAGCAAGTGTGTGACACGCGTTATGAAAAAGCGCGTGGAGATACATTGTATAGGTTTTCGGCACCAGGGTGTTTTATTTATAGGTTATAATTCACAAAGGCTTCCCATCACAGTGAATGTGCGTGTCCCGTGTTGAAATATTTAATAACGTTATTAACGAGAAATGTACAAGGTTTACGGATAGTTTTACTTTTTGCGACAACCGTGGCAAAACTGATGCAGTTTTCAAGTGGTGCTCTATTTTGTCATGTTTACTACTTTCATTTACCGTGGTCTTTTTTCACATTTTTTCTGTACTACCTTACACCTCTGCAGGACACTGCAAGATGGGTCAGTCACAAATTTGTAGTGGCAATCAACTGAGTACAATTAATGTTAGATAGGCAGTTTGCAGGTAGACAGCACATGGCAAGCTATGAATGATAAAAGACCTTCCCAGAAAGGATATATTTCATGGATAAACCGTAAAGGGCCGACGCGGTGTACAGTCAGGCAAGTTAGTTAGGTAGCAAGTTCGTTGTTTTTTGAGTAAGATTCCATCGAGTGTTTGACAATATACAAGTACGAAACTTTCTTTTGTTTGTTTGTTTCTTTTGGCAGCTCAACAGGAAATTGAGAAAGTGCGTGCTTTGGACAAAGAAATCGACGTCCTTCAGACTTCGAATCAAGAGTGCGAAAAACTGAATAAGGAGCTGGATTCCGAGATTAGCCGCCTTGAGCAACGACTTACTGTTTGCAAGGAAGAGACTGCGAGTGATAGGTAAGGGGAAAAATCTAAGTGAAACGTTGCTAGGCAATACTTTCCAGTGGTGGTGCCAGAAGGGAACTGGGGCCGAAATGCGTCTCGCAATTGTTTGTGGAATCGTTATTAGGCACGCTAGGAACAGTCCCAGAAGTCTTTGCGTAAGTTAACTCGACCCAGTCTCCTTCTCGTATTTTTGTAAGATCGGATGGTCAGTCAGCTGACGGCAAACTTCTTAAGGGTCAGCATTCAAGAAAGAGATGGTCATGCGAAGTACATTCGAGGTCATGAGAAAGACGTAACGAGTCCGAGACGAAGTAGATTTCTGAGCAACTTCTATTTATTCTTAGCCCGTCACGTGCAACGTGCGAGAAAAGAAATTGGTCACGCGTGCATTTGGCGACGCCGCTTGTGTTACGCGTTCCCCTCGGCTGACTCAAGAGAAAAATGTGATACTTCTCGCAATAAAGAGACAAATACGGGCCCTTTTTGTTTTGTTCTGTAATGCGTCTCGAAGGCCCATTTCAAACGTCAAACTTTTCATGTACTGAACGCGATACCTGTTTAGGTCGGTACAAGTTCGACGGTTGATTCAGACGTCGAACTTTCGGACTCAATTAGTTTTCACGGTGTACAATGGTCTACAATGCTTACCAGTGAAACTAAATTATAGTAATTTTTGCTTTAGGTTCGGCACATAAAAAGTTCGACGTTTGAAACTAAGTCGCTCTATTGTCGAAATTCTTCTGTGAGCCACTCGATCCGACGTGAAACGTCGATCTTATCTTTTCCTGTACTGAGTTGAAGGTATTGGGTTCGATACATGAATAGTTCGACGTTTACACTGGGCCTAAGTTTTGGATTTTGTAGGGAACACTTACAACGTTTTAAAATTAACCCCTTCATTTTGTTTTTCAGGCACAGGACAGGCGTGGTTGAGACTAAACTGGCCGTGATTCAGACCCGCTTCATCGCTTCGCTTTCCCACGTACAAATGCCGGACATTGGCGTTAAACTGACTTTCGACTCAATGGATAAGTATGTTGAAAAGTTGCAGCAAATTATTGAAGAAAGCTCTGCAGATTACAGAGGCCTTATTGCAGAGCTTAAAGAAGCTTTATCAGATTTTAAGTTCTAGAGAGAGTGAATTATTACAAAGAGAAAAGAAATGCTGGTGTTTATTATCATCTCTAGAATGTGTATCGTATGATTTATACAGTTTTTAAAAGGAAAGGTTTGATACCTAAAATAGAAGTTATTAATCAGTACTTTTTTGTGGTTCTGATTCTTAAGCTATACAACAAAGTTGCCAGTGATATAATTCTGAAATGTTGCAATCATAAATCATGAGTTAATTACAGTTCGCGAAATTCAGAGTTTATTATAATACTGAGTATTTTATATAAATTTAATCGAGTTACTGTTAAAGTTATGATTCTTTAACTTTTGAGATGCGTTTTATTAAGATTATTGAATGCTATGTTTTAAATTTGTATTTCATCGTAACTGAATTAATATATTGCTCCCCTAATTTCAAAGTCCATATTTATCATTCAGGGTTTTGTTAGACCTTAAGAAACGACGTCGCTTGTTTTAACGGTACTCATTACGTAGAACGGTTTGTTGAAAACTGATTCGAAGAATAGTGTCCTGCTTACTGTAGTTTGTATTATAGAAAGGTCCATCGTACTACAGTCCCAGACAAAAATAGTTGTGACACTTAATGCCAACGCCGTTTTTTTCCTTCTGTGTCCAAATCGTTTACATTAACATTGATTGGACGAGAAGACGCAAAAGTGTCCCAGCAGTTTTGACTGAGACTGTAGTTTGTCTCCCTCGCAACCATATTTGTCTTGTCTCGTCAGACCACGCTTTTCCCAAAGAACCGGGCTGCTCATATTCGAACTGCGTTCCTCTTTCCAGTTGTTTTATAAACCCACTGAAATGACCAATCATTTATCAGCAAATTAGAATAACGTCACTCTTCGCCGAAAGTTTCTCGGGGAGGAGCGTTGCGTGACGAAACAAAAACGGCTGCGTGGGAGTCTGTCATCGCTGCAGATCGGTATAATATTCGTGGAAACTACCCACCTACCTCTCCCCTAAGTTAACGTTATGACTTACTCTAGTCTTACTTAAGGTAAACTATTAGGTTAGGGAGGGGAAGGTGCACAGTTTCAGAATCTTATACTATGACTGCTATAGCCCTGGCTGATTATAGTATTTAAGCTCGAAATCCTGGTTCCATAAATCCCCGAGTCGTTTTAAAATGTGTTCAAGAGTTCGAAACGATAATAGTCGAACCGCCTGATTCGAACTGAAGCACTGAAGCTGAGGTCCTTATAATAATCTTAGATTGTTTTAATATTGCCAGAATAATATGATTTGGAAACCGGGCTAAGTAATATTAACGCGCGTTTTCTCCTCAGTGTTGTCGTTACCTGATGAGGCGACCTCATCAGCTGGTATTTGATTAGCGGTGTGGTAACAATATAGGATAGATTCTACACTGGTTACCGGTGATGTAGTTTTGGTAGATTTATATTTATAAATTAGCTGATAATTATCGTGGGGAATGACTTACTTCTGAGAGTTATGGGAGATTTTTCCGAATTCATAAATTTTTGTATTTGTTACATTTAGCGTATTCGTTTTGGCAGGCGTTTACACACGTCAGTTAATCCGAGCGGAGCACTCACTCGGATACAAAGTGTTTACTTTGGATTTCGGATTCAAAATCTCCGGACACCCGTTGTTTCACCTGCGACGTTTTCGTTTCGGACTTACTCAGCTGCGTGTGGACGTAATCACAATTCCGGTACTAAAATGAAATCTCTCCTAGTGTAAACAAGCCCTTAGAATCGCGTTTACGGCAAACGCCTGTTTTTACCACGTGACAAAGTTTCCTTTTTTCTTGTCCTTCACTTTATTACATCGACACAAAATAATTAGCTCCGTGATATTTTCATCCATAAGAAATATTTTGCACAGTTATTGCCTGCTCATTTCCTAGTTTGAGAAATTCTCAACTTGAAATTTACGTTTTCCGTAAACGTGATTCTAAATCTCTTTTGCCACAGTGTCGGAGAAAGTGCCCCCAAATTGTGGCCTAAACAACTTTTCTCCACGATAATTGGAATTGCTTTGCATTGTTTTCAACACTTTTTTCTTGCCAGAGCAAGCTTAAGGTAGATGAAATAATCTTGATTACTAAATATTTTATTAGCTCCAGTGTTTGTTTATTTGGAGAAGAAAGAAAGAAAGCTGCATGTATAGGTAATTTGTCCTTTTTGTACATACAGTCATACGAATTTAGAAAGTAGTTGAATTGATGGAAAATCACTGCTAACATAAGCCATCTATAATTGTAGCTGGTTTAATTTTAAAAATATCTAAATTTAAATTTATGGTCTTAAATTCAGATTTTACCTTCGTATTTGCCAGTTGCAGATTTTGATTTTAAATTAGAATTCGATTGTAGGAATACCATTGGAAAAAAAACAATCATGTTTTATTCTCAGTAAAACGTAAAGTTAGAAGATACGATTGGGTGGGAAGTGCGGGAAAGGAAATTAATTTAATAGCTTATTGTCGACTTAGAATGTGGCCCTGAAACTGTTAGAAGACAGAACGCTGTTTCGGTAGCTGTATCCTAGGTTGCAAGCTACGTATCGCATGGCCATAAGTTCCGTTGTTTTATCGGAGAGTTCTCCGGACTGATGACGTTGACCTGTCGATCTGTCAAGTGCATCTACTTCTTTTCTGTTTCCGCATCTTGAAATTGGCGAAAATGTTGGCTCATCCTCGGTGCAAGAAACTGTATCAAGAGTCAAGAGTAACATAAAACTAGCAATTCAACATAATAGAGCATACGAAATTTATGGTTATAGAAAAAAAAACCGTTTCAGGATCTTGCACCAAAGTTAAACCCTGATTTGTGGTGTGGTGTTAGTGTGTCTCACTCGACTTTATCTACGGTGGTTCAAGTAGTTCCGTAAAATGCTAACACTTGTCCTAAGTTTTCATATTATCAAAATGAACAGTTTTTCTCGCGTTTAACAGAGTTGTAGTCAAAGTTTAAAAAGTTTTTTTTTCAGTGAGACTTCAACGTCATCAGTTCAGACTGTTTCAAGTAATCGTGGTAACTTCATTATCACCATGGTGATATAAGGGTTTTGTGACACGTTGTCTGTTGCCTTGGTTTATCTTTATTTCGAATGTAAATATGTTCAAAAAAAATGTTTAAAATTCAGTGAGTAAAAACAAAATTTAATTGATTCAAGATTCATATAAGATTCATATAAGTTATTATTTATTGGTGACTATTTGACTAATGTCGGGCGTGACTGGCGTGTCAGAAAATCAGTTACAAAACAGACTCAGTTTGGGGGACACATTTACCCCTTGTTTAAACGTAAGTTATCCTAGGAATAACAGTAATAAAAGAATCAAACTAATTACTAGTAAGACTGGTGTAGTCTAGAGTTATTTTTCCAAGTCGGTTGTTTTCTGTTGTAACGGCTGACCACTGGTCACAGAATCTGTCGTGGCGGTGGGCTACAGTTGGCTAACGCAGTAGGAGAGAAAGTCCTTGGACTCCAAACTCCACCTTACCAAGTGATAAATTTTTAATATATTAAATATAATATAGTACAATAGATAATGTGAAACACTTGTGAAAAAAAATAAATAAATAAAAGTACTCAGCTTGGACTAGAATGCCTGTAGAGTTGTTTCAATTTGATTAATGTTCTTTTTGATTAAATTTTGGAGTGCAGGGTATCAAAAATTAAAAGTCTAACTTAATTTTTTTGTTTTGCTTTCCCCGGTTTTTTGGGCCTTCTTCCTGTTGGTGAAAGTTCTCCAATGAGCTGGAATGTTCCGCGGCGCTGGATGACAATAAGAAACTGCTGTAGTCACAGGTTAATAGCCTGCGAGCAAACTCTCGTATTTGGGAGAGGGAAGCGAGCCCCAAGGTGCCGCGTCTCCTCTCGCGTGCCTCTTGCACGTCTACTTTTCTCGTGGAGAGCTTTCTCGCAGGCTATTGGTTAAAGGAGGGCTTGACTGTCCGAAACACTGGAAAAGCTAACGTGCTTTCTCCATTATCCAACAATTTACCTTTCCAGCAAGTTTGCGAGTAAAACGCGCATTTTCAACTAATCTGTCCTGGGTAAAAAGAAAATATCCCTACAAGTAGACACATTTTCCTTTCGACAGCTTATAACACTCAGCTACTGAGTGCTGTTATTGCTGTTTCTGCTAGTTTTAAATTGGCCATTTGCACGATGCCGTCATTTTTCTACTCTACCAGAATCCAAAAATGAATTTTGGTCGTAGAAGTAAAGTGACGTCATCATGTAAATGGCCTATAATATGAGGGGGTGGGTGCTTATTCAGTTTATGGCGGAAGCCACGTTCACTTTAGACAGCGTCAAAAACGGACTCAGTTCAGGAGTTGCCTCGTACTCAGACGTCTCTCTCTCGAAGTAAATTTGCGCGCAAAGAAAGGCGGGAGGGAGAAAACAGGCAAAAACCTTCTTCCCATGGTCTCTTGCGCTTCGACAATATTGACGCTCAGTTCGAGCTTGTCTTTGTCCGCGACGTGAAAAACGAAGCGCCTGGGGAAGAGGACGGATCAGGAAGTATCCGTAGTTGCAAGACGACATGAACACCTGCCGGAAACAAAAAAAGTGTAGAAAATAATAAAAACGCTTCTTTAAAATTACTAGTGACTAAAAGAAAAAAGCATCTCGTGAAAAAACAACCGTAGTTTAAGGATACTTCATCATCTTATGAAAATTCGTGCTAGTCCGCAGGGTTTTACAGTCCGATAATCTGCCTTGATCAATTTGCGTCGATTTCCGTAGCTTTTAGCAGGTGCGCCGGTTACTTTTAAAAGTGCAGTTTTTGTATTTGTTGTGTCAATTAGAAGATTTTCGTCAAATCAGTTTCCGCAAGGGAAAACTTATTAATCTCAGATTGTTCTTACACCTCCACACTCGTTGGAAAATGCAAATTTGAAGCCGCTGTGTTGTTTTCTTTCTATCGGCCTCACATTGTTTTTGTAACTGCCCTTTCGTTTGTGTGTTTGAGTCGATTTTCAGCAAGCGAGAGGCGATCACTAACAGTCAGCGCCTCCATGCCTCTGGATTTTCCTCCGTATTACGGTAAGTCGCGCTAGTTTTAGCAAGATTAAATAACAAAAATTCAGAAACAACAAGCAGCTTGTGGCAAAATCAAATCTGATTTACCACAACATTCAACGACCAAACAGATTGAGTTTTTTAAGCGACTGACCGTCAATTTTGCACTTTTTAAAGCATCAGGGTACGTCTAGTTTCAAAACATTTTAAATTCTAGGCCAAAAACACCTTTATACTTGAACTGCAGTCCAGCTTTCGGTTAATTTTGGGCAACTGATCGTAACGTTCTATCAAACCTATTTTTCTAAATCCGGTCATTCCTTTGCGATCGTCGAACTTGTCATAGCTGTCAAAGGTATTGGAAATCTACAACTTCGCTCAGTACTCAGGGATCTCTAAAACATGTTATTTTTTTATCTATTTAAATTTTGATTTTTTCGTTTAGTGGTTGTGATTTCTAGGCTTTAGCAAGGAGTCAACTTGGCTTTTTTTCGCCAAAAATTGTTTATTTTCCCTTAATGAACGATTGTTTTATTTTCGCCCTGTTTATGTGTTTTTAGTTTCTCAGGCGGTTTTATGTTCCGTCATATATCTCTGTTCCTATCAGTGTTTTTAGCTGATATCTAACAATTATCGCTAATACAGTATATTTTTCTGCATCAAGTACGATAAGTTTCTAAGAACGTCATACCGAGATAAGGCAAATGCTCAAAAATGTCCTAATTCATAAGTTGATATAAATGTTTTATTCTTCTTCCTAAAAAAATGAAATAATATTTTGATTAAAATCAAATGATATACTTTATTTTGCTGCCTTAAGGCAAAGCAGTATGTGAGCCACAATTTTCTTTTTTTATTATTTCATAGCCGACGGGATTATGTGGGTGGGAGAAATCGTAATGACGTTGATAATGGTGTATTTTCCAATTCCTCCTATTGGCGAGGGCATCTATTTGCGTCACAATACACCAAGTCAATGAAATCAGGGTAGATTTAAGGGAACAAAAAGATATATTCGACAATTTTACTATCGATAACCAGTTGATTTTTTTGCTGATGACTTACTGTGGTAAACTACACGATGTAATAGTCCAGGAAAGGTTATTTTTTTTATTTCATGTCAGTTTGTTGACATTGTTTGACACGTAAGAGGTTTCTTTTGAGTCAACATGAGGGAAAATGAATTTAAGTGAAACAAAAGCCGTCTATAACTGCCCAATGATTGTCGCCTAATGTTTGTTGTAGTAGTGTATGTTGTAATAGTTACTGTAAATTACATAGTTACCGAGTTACAATTTGGAACAATCCAATTTCACTCTGTCGAGTCGCACATTCAATCATGGTGACAGCGGGAGTCTGTCAAGACGAAAACACCATGTAATTATTTCATTTTTAAAAGTGAAACCCCTTCGACTCTTATCCTTGGATGCTTTTGTTTATTTTATTTATTTTACAAAGCAAATTTCACAATGATTTTTCTTAAACTTTCTTTTTCCTGCTGTTAGCAAATTTTCACTACCATTTTCACTTTAAGGGTTTAACACAGCGTTTGAAAGTTCCACTCAGCACTGCTCAGTAAAGCCTAAAAAAATATTATTGTAGGAAAATGTTAAAATACGTCGATAGGCCAAACTCGCAAAATTGACTAAAGATTTTATCAACGAAAAGCCTTGAAAAAGCAGTTTGTAGGTAAATGTCAGAGAGCAAAAGCATCGTTTTCAGCCTTTTTGATCGACAACTGAATTTTATGGACTTTTATTTTTGTTGATATTTTCAGCCTCGACATCCTTATACAAATGGCTCTTATATATATTTAAAAAAATTCACATTTCCTGTATGTGACGTTAGGTTATTTCAAAGTGAATTTTCTTAATTCATTGGTGACCAGATTGGCGACACTTATAATATCTGAGTTTAATTCATAGTACCTTTTCCATCCCTGCTGAGCGCGTAAAGATAGCACAGCTTTGAAGTGACATGTTGCAATAACATCATTAAAAGCAGACTGTTCTTTACTTTGGTAGCTGGAGTGGCGGGAGAAGACATGTTGGACGAATTTCTGGTCGGTAAACGAGAGCTAGATCACGGTCAAAGTGCAACTATGGATGTGCGAAGGTTTGTGAAGACAAAAGAGGAATTGGAATTAAGTTTAGAAAGGTTATCTGATTCTAATTCGGATTGATGGTATTGGGACTGAAAAATGACCGATTAATTGCTCCAGGATCAAAATATTTATTTGAATATCTTACCATTTGACAAATTGACTTATATATCTGCGGATTGCTTTATTTATTGGTCATTTGCTGGGTAAGCTGAAGCTTTTATGGTTTGTTTATTGCTCACCGGACGTGAATATAGTTTTAAATTGGTATAAATTTGTAACTTTGTCAAAGTAATGTGTATTAACAATGACAGTTACTCAAAGAAGATAATTAACTTTGCATTAACGAATATCTGAAGTCGGTTTGAATCAGTTTTACTTTGTCAATCTTATGCTATTTATGCGAATGTGCATCAAATGTAGAATATTGCAACTTTCACGGTGGTTAACTTCTCTTCCTTAAATTATTTTAGATTTCTCAACGTAAAATATCACCAAGCCTCGATTGGAAAACTTAAAAAAGCCGCCTTAGCTTGCACGATAGCTATCTTGCTCATTATTGTTGTAATGTTCACTGTCGGCTCCCCGTCAACCCGTCAACTTCCGGTGAAAACACTTCAAGAGCCAACAGCTGCTGGGAAGACTGGTACCGAGATAAAGCAAAGACCCTCTTTCGTGCTGGCCACAAATCCCGACATACCGTTCGAGCTAACTCTCGCCTGTAATTCATGCGCATTGGTGAGCTCTTCTGGAATGCTGCTGGGAAACAACGCGGGCGCACAGATTGATTCTGCAGATTGTGTTTTCCGATTAAACTCGGCACCGACGCTTGGTTTTGAAGAAGATGTCGGAAGTAAAACAACGGTTCGGGTGTTTTCAGTATCTGGGTTAAAGTCTTTGATCAGAGATACCTGGCAGAAAAGTGTGGATACTTTTCAAGGCTTGGATTATATGATTCTGCTGGGACCAGATGAACTTCTGTGTAGGAACTGTACACTTTCTAAATTGTACCAGAAATTAGCGCATTATCTTGAAAACACTGAGTTGCTACAGGTCACGAAGGAGACTTATCAAAAGGCCAAACAAGAAACTAAGAATCTTGGCCTAAAGTATGCAAGGTAACCTTTTATTTGTTAACTGTTGAAGCAAGATGTTATGATCCAACATGTTTGGCAAAAAAAATCATACACATTTATTATGCAGTCGAACCTCTCCACAAAGACCACCTTGGGGTCAGAAGAAAGAAGCCGTTGTAGAGAGGTTTCCATTAGTGGCGGTTCGACTGTATTTTGCTACGCCTTTTTTTTCTTTGCCGAAAGAACAGTTTGCTGTTCTTTCGTCAGTTTTGTCTTTTTCAGTAATCCAGATCTTTTTTAACGATCCGAATACTGAACTTGCGGGGTTTATAGCCGTGTTTTTGGCTTTCAAATGTTATTCTTTCTTTTTTTCTTTGTAAGCTAATAACCAAGCACATCGCTTTCGCACTCATCGCGTATTTTCCATTATGCCAGACCATCTAGTCAGTGACTAGGATTGGCCAAGGTAAAATGGACGACGTTTTTTAATTCAACAAAATTTGCAGAACTGAAGCGTTCATTTACGTTGTAACCTCAATTTTAGGTACTTCTCCGCAGTGAAGTGGCACTGGAAACCAGAATTTTGAAAACTGAACTGAAAGTTTCGGTCGAAGAGCGGCCGGCGGGAATATTCCTACAAACAACAGAGCATTCGACAAAAATTCCTAAAATTTTGGGATAATGGAAGCCATTATACCTGCGATACTTGAATGAAAACTACTCTTAAATAAGAACCAATTAAAACTAATTACTTAACCTTTTAGCTTAGAGCTCTTCCCTTAATTTTTCTGGGAAAAGCTCTGGGAATGAGTTTGGTAAGAACTTTGACTGGACTCAGCAAGCAGCTAGTAGATATGTCTCGACGGAAGGTGAACATAAGGTACTTTTGGTCCTGTGATACGGATTAACACAATTGTCTGACAATCAGCCTCCGCCTCACTCGCTTCGTCTTTCCCATGGTTTCGCATCGAGGCGATCGCGAAAGCAATTGACTGTTGACGAAGCGCAAGGGACCATAGGAAGAGAGCGCAAATTTTCATCAAGAGAGAGACGTCTGGGTACGAGGCAGGCCCAACAATGAAAGCTCTTTATCTGTTCATTGATATGGTATAGTAGTTCTTGCTATATTTTACCCTCCAAATGAAGTTAAATTTTTCTGTCTGAAATATTTTCCTGTTATTTCTTCCTCAGCCTAGACCTACCTATCTCCACAAGATTTTATGCTTTGAGTTTGGCTCGACATGTTTGTCCTCAAATCAGGGTGTTTGGAATGGAGCTCGAGAATCCTTGTGAACGGTTTGTAAAATATCTTATCATATGTAAAAACATACTCAGTGAAGAACCATGTCAGAAAGTTTCTTGCGCAAATGGGTTTCCTCAATCAGAGGTGTGAGAAAAATTGTTCATCCAGTCAGAATCCGTCTTTACACCGCACCATCAAAAAAACGCTTCTGTCAAAAACATAATTTAAGAGCCTGGCCCCAGTCGTTCAAACTTTGAATAGAGCTATCCACCAGATAAATCAGATATCGTTATCGTAAATAGCGTTATCCACGTTTTGAACAACTGGTAGCAGCTTTCTTTTACGACTTTGCTCCTGTAACACTGCCGTCATATATATTGCTTTTAGATTGCGATCCGTACCCATGTTCTACTGGGATCCAGAATCCTGGCAGAGTAAATGCCTGACACAGGAGAAACGAATAAAGCAGCGGATGTTTCAAGGAGCACAGAGACTTTTAATGGAGAGAGAAATTTTCAATTCGTGGGGTGATAAGTATCACATCGAGTTCTTTTACCCTTCTCAGAAGAAAGTAACATGAATATTATCTACTTGGACAACAAGTTTCAGCGTTTTAGATATTATTTTTGGGAAAATGGGAAAGAAGATGAAAGAGTCTGTGCCTCTAACACTATGGTCATCTTCGCAGCCACTGTTTCTGTTGTCACGCAAACCTTGTCCGTTACAAAAATGTAACACAAGACGTCACACAATGTGTCACACAACACGTGACACGATGTTTGTTCGGTTATGATGATCAAGAATTTTATGCCCAGCGCCGGACGCAAAAGTATACATTCCTAGCTACAGTATGCTGAGTGTTAAGTTGGCCATCCAAAGTTTTTTTAAAGAAGTTTAAAAACTTTTTTAACATAATGCTTGAGTAAGATCAAGTGGGATCGATTTTGCCGTACTAACAAGTACTTGCTATACTTATTCAGTACGCATCAGGTGATAAATTATGTATTTTATTTATCAGATTACTTTTTGCTTAAAAATTATAATTTAACTTAAGAAAAAAATGAAAATGTAAACTGAATCCATAAATAAAAATCCTTGTTTTTAATAATATCTCGTTTTTTACGACTGCCAGCTCCCAGAAACTGTTTTAAAGATCACATGGCCAGGAACCCACGGAGGACACGGTGAACTAATCAGAGGAGGGTGTTTTCGATCGACTCTGAGTTCCCCTCGGCAAATTTAGATATAAAAGGATGCAGTTGTCATCCGCTTAGCTTTATATTTGGGCTCTGTGTGTAAATGGCACTGGGAGATGTGGAAGGGGACATTTGGACGCAAGGCGAGGGACTTGAGGTCGTGAAGTATGGGACACGAAGACGTAAAGTATGGGACACGGGGACCTTAAGTATGGGACTTGGGGCTGTGAAGTATTGGACTAGTGGACGTTACGTATGGGACACGGGGACGTGAAGTGTGGATTATGAAATATGGGACACGGGGACGTGAAGAATGTGACACCGGGACGCGCCTTAATTTTGCAGTTCTTTCTATGCTGTGGGCGAAGATTCATGGCTTTTTTTTATTCTCAAAACGTGTGAATTTTCCTGCCTTTTCTCCATGTCTACCAAACAGCTGACCTAACGTAACCGCGTCCCCAGGGCTTCTCAGTTACCACGGTACCTTTTCCTGGCGATTTCCTGTATATTGACGCTAATTTGTAGGATATTTCGCAAACATATTCCAAATTTGGTCAACGTTAGGTGTTATGAAAAACTATCCGAAGGATCTGAGCCAATAAAAAACGAAGAAATATTTTGAATGAATAACAATCTAAGTTATTGAGAGAAGTGGTAGTAACTGTTGTAGTAATTTAAGCAAAGAAACTGCCTGAAATTACTTCAAGGTAAATGTATACTGAATAACGACTGGTCTCTTACAACAAATGATTCATAAGGCGTGAGATAACATCATGTTACAATGATGATTGTCATAATAATAATAATGGTAATAATAAAAATGTTGGTGGTAACAGTAAAGATGATAATGATAGTGATGATGATATTAGTATGACGATGGTAGTAAAGATGAAGTGATTACGGTTTGTGAGAATAATTATCTTAAGGATTATGATGAGACGATGGCTATGACGATAGTGATGGCCACAGGTAATTTATCCACACTTTTTTTACAAGATTTTATTTTGTAAATAAGGGATTGTTATAACCTTTTAAGCCATCATTCTTTTTGCACTAACCTCTTTGAAAAGTAAAAGTTTTCAACTTAAGAAATTTTCCAAAAATAACGAAATCGGTAAGTCGTAACGTTACCATCGTTACTTCTTGAAGAGAATTTATCAGGACCTTTTTAGAATGACATCATTTGACTACTACTTCTACCAGAATTCTTTACTTTGCTGTTTTTATGTGCAACTTAGTGCTATTATTTTATAAATCTCGGTGAGACTGATTAATTCTGATAAGAAGGCAAAATAAAAATAAAAAATGAATTCTGGTAGTTGTATGACGTCGTGGCCTATTAAAGTCCATTTTCGCTTGGGACATTTGTGCTGCATGAACCGTGTTGCCCATTACTCAGGCACTGTTGCAATCCGCCGTACGGAGAAAGATGGTGGCTATACATTTTACCACAATTCCTTTCGAACCGAACACGGCCAATTACACATAAAGTCATATTTTTTGGCGGGGGGGGGGGCGAAATCAGCGTCCCTGTATTTACATTGCGTATCCTAGGTTTGAAGTTTATTAAACTTTTCTGTGCGTTTTTATGAGAAATTTTATGGTTTTCATGCGCTAAGAACTGTGGATAAATGTACTAGTCGCCATCTTTTTAGGTACGATGGATTGCGCAGGTACGACGGCCACGATATTAAGGGCATAGCAAAACGAAAAATGATGTACTATTTCTTGGGGGAACATCATATGGTGCTTTGTTAAACAACTAGCGACAACTCCGATCTCTTTAAGACATTGCATCCCGCGCGGGGAATATCGATTTGCGTGTATCCCACAGGGATGCATTCGAATTTAGTAATCGACGTGATCATTGATCAGCCAACAATAGTCGGAGTTATATCTGGGAATTGCCATGCAAATTTATAACAAGTGTAAATAGCAAGTGAAAACAACGCCTCTACACATGCGCATTTGGGCACATTTCTTTGCCGTACTCTTCGAAACATCATAATCTCAGCTCCAGAGCCTTTGGTCCCTTTTTGGCCACGCAGGAAAGGAGGCTCGATCGCCTCTCTTTCTTGGTCATAGAAAAGAGCTCTGGATTCGAGAATATGAAAAAAAAAACAAAGATTAATATTCTGACTTGAAAGCGAATGTACTCTATGTAGAGCCAACTTAAATTCTAGTACATTATGCACTGCATTCTATCTGTTCATAGAAAGCTTCGTATTGTTGTAACTATTGACTTCTCTCTTCATGATGAGGGCCAATTCGTCACCCTGCAATTCGACTACAACGTGCTTTTTTTATAGGTTTTTTTTTTTGAAAAAATATATATTCTAATTACTTCTGTTTCTGCATCAAATATCATTCAGTATCACTTAAAGAGAGACTGTATTAAAGGTTCCTTAATTTGGTTTTCTTCCAAAGCGGAGTCCCAGATTCACCAATTTCATGGCTCCTGATTTTTCTCCTACATGGATTCGACTTGAAGGTTACTCAGTCGCGGCTCATTGAGCTTCCTAGAATAGCGCTCAATGTCTTTAAGTTGTTCTTTAAGTCATGACACTGCAAGCAGTGTTTCGTTACTCCATCGTTGGAATTTACAGCAGTGTTTTCAGTCCCTGACGCTTGTACACAGATCCTCTAAAACTGCGGCGTTTTGACACAACGGGTGGTTAAATAACTGTCTCCAGGCCTTCAAACAGAAATGATAGCAATCAGATGGTTAAAAGGAGTACCACTGTCCATTGTAATTTGCCGAAGTGCTGTTAATTTTGCTCTTCTGACTCCCTAGTGTGGACAATGTAACTTTAAAGAACACCCATAAAGAGAACAGTACTATATGCTGGTCCTGCTGCCTTAATTGAAACGGGAGGATTTTTTTCTAGACTAAAAAAGATTACAATCCCCCTTCATGTTAACATTAGTCAGTTGCAAAAGAGTGCTGCCCTAACCTATAGCTTACACTAATCAACTATTACCTCCCTGATTCCTGGTACTGAGGGAGCCCATTCCTTATAAGCCCGGTGGCTTCTCTTGGGCTTCCTCGCCATGAGAGTTTAAATAATTAGATTTTTTTTGCTTTGTACAACTTATGGCAAACAAAACAATAAACAATGGTTTGCAGCCACATGGCAAAGCGCCCATCTTGGTTAACAACACAATACAATATTTCGCCAGAATTTGCATTAAGACAAAAGCAAGCTGTGAAGTTCCCCTATACAGTCGATAAGGGGAACGATTTTGTTATTGTCATTTAAAATTAAAATGGCCACCGTGAAGTCAGCAGCTGCGAACCAGCAATTTGCTACAATTGCATAAGTGGGCAATATTTCGACTACTGTTACTAGTTATTAAAAGTTTGCCTGCCTATTTCTTTGTCGTGTCATGTTACGTGAAAAGTTTTTCCTTAATAAGTCCAGAACCACAAAAATCGTTCATTGGTCACTTTATAAAACGATGAAAGTGATAAACGACCAGCACCTTCCTTGACTCGACTGAACACGCGGGTGGAGACGCACGGTCTTGTCTCCAGTAGGGAGCATTTCTTAAAACCGCTTTTAACCCTGGCTTTTGTTTTGGAGAATCTCTTGCGGTTTGAATTGGAGTTATATCTAGAGTTCAGTTTGAATATACAATTACAACAAATAAATCTAGGTTGAAAAGACTTTCAGGCCCTGCAAAACACTCAGAGGGCGACATTACGACATGGCCCTGTCATGACTCCCTCGTGCCCAGGCGCTAGTTAAGCAGGAGGAAAATACGCGAGCACTTGCACTGGACATGCATTACAGCCGTCTCCAAAGAGCAAGATGATAAGCGGCTAATGACCTGATAAACGTACCTACTGGTCCACTGTGCACTGCCTCTCCATTTATCTCCAAATTGTTAACATTCTCCGGTATTTCTGTCTCTGGCTCATGTTCTTGTTCGTCTTTCCAGGAGAACTCTTCGACTTTGAGCACGGGAACTGCACGGCCGGGGCCTGGGAGAACAGAAAAAAAAAATTGTTTCTTTTTGGCCAACTATAATGAAAACCATTCTTTATTGACGCCATACTTAATAGTCCAGTTTGGAGTTCGATAAGACCGCTGAATTAAAGAAGTGAAGACGCATTTTTTACAGGTTTAACCTCCATCTGAGTAATATATTCACAAATTCCAACGAGAAAAAGACCTGTTTGTTACCCTGTCTATTAATTATATTCAAATTTCAAACACTTACTTGCCGGAATTTCTGAATATTTTACTTTACGTCGAGGCTAACCCTGTATGAATGTGTCGTTAATGTTTGTATTCTGCGTTAATTTTTAATCCGAAACTGGACTATTAGCAAATAGCAATAAGCTACACAATTAGCAAAAGTAAGATATATTGTTGGCTAGTCCCTAAGTAAACTGTTTTATTTTTATGGGCGGTTGGGAGGAGAGACGGAGATATAGAGACAGACAGACAGAAATTGAGCTCATTAATTGATTCGTACCCCTAGGTTCTTCTACATTTTGAAAACGGTGATTCCATGTTTCCTGGCTAGAAGAGTCCGATGTTTGCTTTAAATATTTGCCATGATTCTGAACGAGAGGGCCATGAGGATGAGTTTAGGTTCAATGGAAGAAAACTGCAAAAACTATAAAAACTTACAAGTAATAAACAGCGTCAGGGCGTTTTAGACAACGCGTGTCAGTTAAAAGACTGAAAGAAATACAACTGAAGTAGGTAGTAAAAGAATGAAGACAAGTTCGTAAGGTACCTGTCCAATTAGAAGTCAGTGTGATAAATAGATCTGATCAAAATCACATGCAGTGCTCGTGCATACGCATGGTCATTCCATACACTTACATCTGACCGGCAACCCTGGCGACCCAGGCGCGTGCAGTCTGAAGGAATGACCGCTGCCCTTAAAACCGCTGTCTACACTGGAAGTCATGCTCAACTCACTAAGGTTTCGCTTTACATCCGAGATATCTGAAAGGCCCGGCACGTGTAGGTGCGAGAGATATTTCAAAGGAGAAAGAAGCTGGGCTTTATTATTGCCACACTGGGAGACGTTGTGTTGAGCTACAGGTAGAAGAGACAGCGAGAATAGAGGTCAAAGAGTAAACATTAAACTAGGTGCAGGTGGGAAAAAGTACAAGAATAAACATCAAAAGTCAGTATTTAAATGAAACATGTCCACCACTGATTAAGGGACTTGCCGCATTGGTCGACGATGGACACGTTCGCAAACAGCAAATTCGAATACGAATATTTCCTTAAGAAAGTCAGAGAGTAGAAGAGAAAAAAAAGCGAAGACCAGCAAGAAAAATATTGTATAGTACCTTCTGCTTTCATTTATCTTTTAATACTCGAAACATTGTGTATGCTAAATTAGAGAAACGTTTCAGCCAGAAGATTTGTTTAAGATAACAAATTAATACAGTTTTTCTGCCAGGAACCTTGACGCTCCGTGCGTGCCTCAAACGAAGTTTGATTTATTAAACCTTTGAAAAAAACAACCGCTAGTTTTCATAAGTGAAATGGGTAGTACCATTGTAATAGTAACCTCAAGTAGATCAAATTAATGACCATTAACCGATGTTGGAAACAATTATTGCACGGTCAACTCATGATAAAGAAAGCCGGATCAGATTCAGGATAGCATTGCCTCAAAATATATTCTTCATTAAATCCCCTGAAGAAGGACGGTTTGTCCGTCAGAATTATCGGGAAACCTCAAGTCTCTTTACTCCTTGCTGTTTTGTTATTTATGTCTATATTTTTGTCTTGGATAAAACAGCAGGATTTGGCTGTCGTCATTTTGTGTAAAAGTTTCAGCATTGCCTCAACATAAACTGAACTGTTTGATTGTGCTGAAAAACAGTATCAACATGCTACCATGTTGAGGAATTAGCCACAGGAGAATTTGAAAGAAAATTGCCAATTTTAAAAAAAACTCTATCGGATAAGCATGCACTCACAGGTGGTGACTGTCCACAAACCGGTTTTCCGCTGTCGATTATGGTTATTTCCTTGGTAACCACTGTCTGTTGAGCTTCCGCTGACCTGACTCGGATTTCGTGGTTCTGATTCACAAATACCAGGTGTGAGGTATTGGAAATTGTTTTCAAACCCAAAGCCCTCGTCTTGCTGATTATTATCCTCGCTTTCGGCATGATTCTCAGAGTGATTATCTAAATGTTCATTTTCGGCCATATCGGCTACATTCGCATGTTCGGAGGGACTGGAAACACGTTCTACTGGGGAGTCCAGTGGAGACATGATTTCATAGTCTATCGTTATTTTTTCGTTTACGTCTCGGTTACTTGTTGCTAGGAGACTGCCGTATTCGATGCACAAGCCGCCCACGCGAGGAATTCCATCGAGTGAGGACCAAGGAGGAAGAGTTTTTCCGCCTCCTAAAAGTGAGACAAAAATAAACAACCCTTTGTAATTTTAAAATATGGTATTAATCTTTTAATACAACGAAGTGCTTTATTGTTAGATCAGAATCTAGTAATTTGGTATTTCAGTTTTCGACGGGGTTCTAACATAGAAACGATCAGCAAAAAGAGTAATTCTGCAAACTGTTTCTGGGCTCCTGCATATCCACCTGACATTCGGCCTCGGTGGGTAACTTTGTCCCTGATCTGCATAATTCTTCACATCCTACGAAACCTCATTAATCTATAAATAAGCTGCTGTTCTGTGATCCAAGCCTTAGAGAGATGCATCAAGGCTCCAGGGATATAAAAATATACAATTTATTCCTATCGCTCTTGGACCACGTTAGGACAAGCTAGTCTAAGTTTTAAATCTGTGGACAAAATCCTACGGTATTACCATTCAATTAACACTTCTTTGGGAGAAAATTTGCATTGTACTATTTATTTCTTGGGATTTTGAGAAAAGAAATTTAATTTTTGGCGGAATTTTTATCTTTTGTCACAAGTATGAATGAATGTACAGTCACCGGCCAGAGGTCAAGATGACCACCTTTTTTTGTCGCTCTCGTTAATTTAGCAATTTTACTTAGATTTTAAAACGAAACTTTAGAGGAAACCTTGTAAAAAACAAAGCAAAAAAGGGACAAACTATGCCGTTTTTCTCTTAAATCACTACTTATTAGAACCTACAATACTTTCTTATGATACGTTTTTTTCTAGGGGCAAAATATTAGTTGACCTAGATGTACCCCTCTCCCTTCCATTATTTTTCTTTTTTTTCTTTTTTGACAAGCTTATTTGAATTTACTTTAGTTTTATCGTGTATTGTAAACTTTCCATGACTCAAGCACTAACGTTTGTCTGTGATTTATCTTGTGTTATATACAATGGAATGGGAAAAATAAATGAAATTAAAAAGTATGAATGAAAGGAATAATCTTATATACATTGTACCTTCGTCTGCTTCAGTCTTTGGTCCGAGAATCCTCAACTCTCTAAGTTCATTACACCCTTTGTCTCCGTCATCAAACCGGATATCAAAGAGACTTCGCCGCACAGCAACAACAGTCCCTGGATAAAACGTGTCTAAGCGATTGTACCATTTAGCCAAGACTCGGGTGCCTATCTCCACTTCCATGGCGTGAGGAATGACATCTGCTACAATGCATTCGGCATGCGACCTCTTGTGTCTTATTTTCTTGCCATTATCAAGCTTCACATGAATTTCGTCGTTCATTTCTGTCACGATACCTCTGAAGAAACAGCCCTTTTCTGCTCTTGCCCATACTCGAGAGCCCACTCCTATACAGGCTTAAAGAGAAATGATAGCACCAGTTGAAAAGTCAGTAAATTTAACCTAGTATATTGTTCTTAACTTTCTTCTTTAGTTTTTTTTTTCAGTTGTAAAGAGTGCTTAAAATATTCAATAGGAAAAGGCTCAAATCTTTTTTTCGAAATTCAGTTGTAAAATAAGACACGTTGAAGAAAAATTTTCTTCAGCTTTCAAAGCTCTGAGTGGAACAAGCGTATAAACTTACGACTGGTTGATCAGTCATGAATGTAATCGCGAAGAAATGAGGGATAGTCACGACCAGGAGGAAATCCCCTTAAATGGCGGAGGTACTCGTAACACCTATAGAGGTGATGGGACCTTTATTACACTTGGGTCCATTTATTACACTTGTGCCTTCTACAAGGCCATAGTGGCCACCAGTCAAAATAAGTTTTTCGGTTTGAACCCCTAAAAGACCACTACAAAGTACCATGAAAAATGACTCTAATGGCGCTCATTTTAGATTTTAGCGCCCCAAGCTGCGCATGCAGCAATCCCAAAACATTACACCCCAAAAAGATACGATGGGTCGATGAGCAGCCCCGCCATTTTCATGGAAAATCTCCTCTCCCCCAACACGACACTGACGACAGGAATGACAAGCTAAGCCCTCTGTGGTTGCATGTATAGGCTATTTTTAACTCATTCTTACCTATGCAGCGTTTTCTGGTTAATTTGAAGCTTGAATCCTCTTTAAAGAAATGAGAGTTTTCATACTTTTGCAGAAGAAGCTGCTCTCCACATCGGCGAATAAAATGCGCTGAATTCAAGAGTGATTCGAAAGCGAAGTAACCTTCAAACCACATATCTTGAAGAGGGAGGAATGTGCTTTCTTTCCCTGAAGAAAAGAACTAAGTTCAGCATTCTTTTCTTTTTAATGTATGTATGCGAGAATTTATCATTGATTTTGACTAGAGGAAGTTTTTTTTATGACAGGCGGCCCAAGCTCGATGCCTAAACTACCGTATTCGATACTATTTTGCATATTACGAACGATTTATAGACTTTGTATGAAAAATAGGATTTAAGGAATTTGCAAAAGTGAAATCAGACCTTCAAGTGATTTTCTTAAATCTTCTTTTGTGAACTTAGACGCAGTCCTTTAGCATTCAAGGCCTGAAAAAATCGCCAACATTTGACAAATTAAAAAAGTTGGAATAAGGGCAATGAAGTTTCAAACAGCGCGAATTCACTTTTTTTTTGGTGATGTTTTCGCTGCCGTTGCCGTTTAGCTCCCTAGTCAAGGACAGAGGATAAGGCCAATTAGGCCAAGAATGTTAATTATTCTCTGTAGCCGAGATTTTTGTAAATTTGCCAGATATTGCTTTTCAAATCCGATTCCTTCCTTCCATAATACGTTCCTTCGAACCTTTCCTTCTCTTTGAAAGCCGACCGTGCAAGTTGACCTCAAGACATATAAAAAACTCCTAGATCGTTGCTTCTATATTTTGATTTTGCTTCCAGCACTTTGAAACGACATAAGAAAATATTTCTTAAAACTTTAAAAATGCCTCGGTATTTATATTTGGGCTTTTCAGAGAGCCTAAACAACGGGCCGAAAGCCAATTTTTTTGCCAATAAGTGCACAGTAATTTTCAAGGAGTTATAATAACTCTTCTAGTGGGGTTAATTTAACTCTTTACAGAGGAGTTATTTTAACTCCAACAAGGAGTTAAAAGAACTCTTTCTAAGGAGTAAAAATGACCCGAAATTTGGAGTTAAATTAGGAGTTAAAGTAACCCCCAAAAAGGGGTTATCCTGTACATAAAATTTTTACTCCATTTTTGGAGTTATAATAACTCCCTAAAAATTACTGTGTGCTTCTTTTTTCCTTCTTTCACTTAAATTTCAACTTTGACCAATCATCGTCAGCCATTAGCAAATCAAACTCTAAGATTCTACACCGTACCGGACTTTTTATAATGATTGCCGCGTGATAGATATCTCGACTCAAAACAATTTGTAAATCCCATACAATCGATAGCTACTCAGTGTGGAAAACAATTAAAAGGCTTACTTCAGAGAACTTCCAGCCACAGCTTAGCTTATGTTTTTAAAGAACTTAGTTTTACGGGGCTTTATTTGCTAAAAGGAAGTGAGAATCAAATACGTATCGATAAAAAAAATTTGCTAAAATTAAAAATGTCCGTGAAAAGCTGTGTCGAATGTTCAAATCGAGCTCATGGTAAGATTTGCTCATGAGAACTATTGACGGTAAACATATGGGTTTGTTTTATATGTAAAATCTAAGTCACCTCCGTGATTTGAGTCAATTGTAACTCAGTAACTTCCTGATCTGTTTGTATGTGAATTCTTTTAAGCAGTACAGAGGAAGATCTCTTAAGCGGACACCCTCCAGCTCGGGCCGCGAAAAAGGTGTTCGTACCTGGAGCTGGCCGCTTACGAGAATGTAAAAAAAAGAGTTTGTATGGGAGTTGAGCCCCCTTCCCAAAGTGTCCGTTACGACCTCCACTGTATAGTGTATTTCGGCCTTGTCAGCACCATATGCTTTCTTCATGCTGTTCACTTAGAATACCATCGTGTTTGACTGAAACGCACAGGCTAAACCCTGGCTGCGTTTAAATAACCGAAGCCTGCGCTGTGCAGCTCCGTTTAGTGCTAAAGCGAAAAATAAAGACACTCTTGCATCGACTTGTCCGCAAATTGACGGCAACAACTGATCAAGCAGACGCGTAAAGGAGCGCCAAAAATGCAATTAAAATAGTAGTTTCGAATCGTGTTTTGCTTTTAGTAATACCGAATACATTTTGTAGTTTTAGAATAGTCGATTCTTTTCACTAGGTACAATTCATTGTGACATCTCAGTGGGCTAACTTGGAAATGAAATGATACTATTCACATAGGGATGCAACCGACTTTATTTAAATACATCGCCACATGAACAAAGACAAGAAACTTACATGAAAAGCTTGATTTGCAGAAGTTTTATAAATCAACTACAAAGAAAACTCCACGGTGAGGTGAAATTTCGGCTGACTTATGCTTTCGCTTAGTTTCTCAGAAAAAAAGAAAACTGTTTAGCTACAGTAAGGCATGGCTGGAGTTCACTTTTCTGTAGCTATTGTAGGTTATATCTTTGATGGTTATCTACCCTTTGTAGAACCAATCAAAATAATTTATTTCCCGGGCACAATATAATCAAGAAACAGTCGTTTGTAAATATTGATTACGATAATAACATTTAACTTTCACCATATAATCGTACAAATTAAGTAAAAATATCATACTTACTGTAGTTTTCGGAATCATCGAAGGGCTCCAAAATAAGATAGTTGTTTCTTGCTCGCAGATAATGGCGCCGTTTTAGCAGACTTTCGAACGAAATTCCGTCGACGCCTTCAGCCAGACCCTTGACAATGTTATAGCGATCCTTTCCTTTTTGCAGTGATTTTTTCCTCTCTCTTTCTCTGGCTATTTTAGATTGCTTTCTGCTCTGTGAACAAGGAGGCAGTGTACACGAAAACATCACCTGAACGAAAAACAGGACGAAAAAGGGATTATCGAACACTGCGCAAACATTCATGTACCAAATATTTGTTTCCACACATTAGGTGGAAGTACGCAACTGTTAAAATTTAATCGCTACTAGCAGGGTAACAGTATTTTAAGTGGCAAAATTTGCATGAAAAACCAATTTAAGAAATGCTTCTTACGTTTTTCATACGGTCTGTCCTTGAGATTCGATTAAAATGTAAATTGCCAGACATTAGGTCGTTTCTTCAGCCTAACAAACACAATTTGCCTGGTTGAGCCTCTGAAACTGGCAGTTCAGTAAATCGCATGAATACTAAATTCTGCCTACCTGCTTGTGGCTATCCTATAGCAGGTACTAATTTTTGAGCGTTGTTTGTGTATCTGTATAACCGACTGTTTAAGATTGAATAATCTCTACTTGGCAATGGCAACTGTTTTAGAATCTTTTGTCACCAACCAGTGGCTTCTTAGCTTCGAACACATCACAGAGAAGTCGCTTAGTTTCGATTGTATTTGAATTTAGTCATCGTAGACTTCAATGAAGTGATTCTGTAGTAGTGAATGGAGAGCATCATAAAAAGCTTTACTAACTTAAGGACCACGCCTGCACAACTGACTAATAAATCCACGTTTTACTTGGTAAACAACGCACTTGAAACTTTTAATAAATTTACTTAAAAGCATCTTTATTGCGTCGAGGAAAGTGCTGGTAAGAATGTTCTCAAAAACCTCAAAGCCTCAAAAAGCCTTGTTTAAACCTCAAAAATTGCTTGTTAACTTTGTAAACAAAGACTAGTTTAGGAATGCATAGTAAAAAACATTGCCTGATTTTTAGCAGAGAAAAGAAAAAAGCTTCATTTAGCTGGGCGTTAATTGTAAATGTGTAACTTGGGTAAAACGAGATTTTGTTCAGAAGACTGGCAACTTACCCTCGTAAACACTGCACCTGACGACTTTAAGTTATTATGTAAATTAGTTTGTTTTAAAATCCAACGCTCTTGATTGTAGGTGTCGCGCAGGTGTTGCAGTCATTGTTTGCCGACATTTTTAAAGCTTGACTGATTAATTTGAACTTGTTATGTTTTCTGCTTATTTTCAGCTCGTTATTTCTAATAAGTCTCGTCTTGGCCTGATTATTTATTAACAACAAAACAGTTATAAACTCTGGAAGCCGTTAGAGCCCCGGCGGGGAGGGGAGGTGGGGGGGGGGGGGGGGCTACTTGGGTTAATTTTTGCTACCCCATTATAGTCTATTCTGTGGCCAATTATAGACCCCATCTTAGTCACTTTTGTGCGTATATGTAATTTTTGCGATCTCAGCTTAGTCACTTTCCATTTTTATGAATTGACCCATTTCAGTTTTAGATTGAACCAGGAGCCCATCAAATTTGAAAGGCTCCTGATTGAACGAACAACACTTTATCGTTTCATCTGCAGTTACAAATATTTTGGTACTTTTGCTAACCGTAAATATGAAGAACTGTCTTACCCCCAAAAACCCGAAAATGTGCGACCCCATTCTAGCAACTCGACCCCATCCGGCGGCACATCCCCATTAGCCTCTTTTAGGGAAGTACCCCCCGGGGTTAGAGTTTTCCGGAAGAGCTTGGACTAATTGCTCAAAGTACTTTCAAGTTATGATTTAAGCTAAATAGCTATTAAAATTTATTTTAATAAAGGCTGTTTCCAAGTAATTCTACCTGTTTATTTTGGCTGCGAGTTAGTTCAAACAAACCTCGAAGTTCGGGTCGGTACATTTTTTATCAAGAAATCCTTAGTTGAATTTTTGTACTATTTAAACTACTTTTCGATTGATCGCCGAGTAAGAAATCTTCTAGCAATGATGGCTAATGGAGAAATTTCTAAATATAAACATGTTAGCTCACACAGCCCACGCATAGCAGACTGACGTTGGGTCGAGCGGAATCATTGGGATAAGAGTGAGACATAAATCAATAATTAACTAGCAGCGTTGTTCTATGACGTCATCTTTCAAGATTTTACTCATTTCAGAGTGCTTAAATGTGTTCTCACTATTTAAATATAGGAAATCAACACCTTCTCATAGTAAATCAACAAAAAATCGATGACTCCTGTGTTTGTATTATTCCAACAGAGAAGAATGACAAAGTGACCGAAATGAGGCTTCGACAGTCAACAAACAATCGATTTCATAAGGTACATCAGGAGCTTCAATGGACGTGACTTGACATTTTCTTATTCATTGCATTTTAGATTAGTGGGGAGAATTCGCGTACAAATCCGTGCCAAGAGGACTTCCATTCGAGCCTAAGCCTCTCAACAGACTGTGTACTTTAACTGGAAGTGGTCATGGGAGAGAGTTTTTAGTTCTTAAAAATATCGTTGTTTATGTAGATACATTCATGTTGTTGATTTTTTTGTATAGATATGCACCAAGAGACTATAAAGGGGACAGAGAGGGCATCCCCCATATACACCCTATTCCATGGGTAATTCGTCTCGAGTTATTTTTAGAATCGGGATAAAGTTACCTCGCGCGAGGCGTGGATGTTTCGTGGAGGTTTCGCATGACCAAACGCCGTGCAAAACATGTCGGGCGAGAGGCAATGAAAGCGTAAAAAGATCGAGAGCATTCCTGAATATTGAAGCGAAATGAGTCGGCGCTCACCTGGGAAAAAGGAATCGCCGGACTCTTTGACAACCCGTGAAATCAGTTTAACTCGAAGTTGTCGTAACCTCAGTGCTTTAATAAAATGAGATATTTGGCCGGTCTATTGAAACCGGTCGTTTGTACAATTTAGGGAGTTTAAAATCCAACGATGCGGACGACAACTAGAACGTCAAAAAAACAATAGGTTTAATTAGCAAAACAACAACTTCGCACGTGCAACACACTTTTTTGTTCATTTCTTTCCCGTTTTTGCACGACTACGACGTGAAAATGCCCAATTTCGCGTTTTATGGAGGACGTAAATAAGCAACGACGAAATTTTATTTCTCTTTCTGAGGTTGAATATGGTCCCTTGAAATTCTGCTTTAGGAGGATTCGCCTACAATTGACAAAGTAAGTGGGCAGGAATAATCGCTATAAAGACTGAAAAAAATAAACATCAAACCAGAAATTGCTCTCTTCAAACTGTAAATTATAAAAGATCCTGAGAGAATATTCAGTGTGTTAAGGATTTCCCTGCTCTACTGTTAGCTCTATACAAGGGAGGAAGGGCGATTCTTTTTTAATTTCGGTTTCGCTGACACAGCTTTCGAAGAAATCTCTCTGTAGTCGTTTTCTTCGACAAAAGGAATAGCAAAATTGCTCTCCGCGTCTTCCCCCATTTTGTTCTGCGTCATTTCGTGAAGGACGCGTGGCTCTCAGCGTGGGTCATCCACGCGGAACACATTCGTGCTATGTGATGGGCTGTTGTCTAATCCCCCTTGAGATCTGTGGTGTTAAAAATAACTCGAGACGAATTACCTATGGAATAGGGTGTATATGGGGGATACCCTCTCTGTCCCCTTTATAGTCTCTTGATATGCACCCATGTTACATTTTACGGGTGCATTTGGTTTCATTTCTTTCGATAAGAAAGTTGCAAGTCTTTTGAACCAATCAAATAGCGTTGGAAGTAAAATGATGTCGAACTTATTCTTAAGAGCGCCTCTTTAATTTGTTACGCTCAGTTCCACTTCTCTCTAGATACTAAAGTTTATTCAATTACTACAATCGGCGACAAAATTAGCTGAGACACTTCAATCTAAAGGGGCTTTCTGACGCTTTACTGACTTCCAGAGGGGAAAATAAAGCTTTTCCTCCCCCATCCCCTCCACGCAACGTTGTGCCTCTGTTCGAGCTACCTATAGAAACAACAAACACTTTGATTGGAGGGGAAGGGGGGCGGTGTGGACTCTTTTGTTCTCTGTGGTAACTCTATTTGAGTGCAATGTCTCAACAATTTTTCGCCGATTGTAGCTCTTTATAACGGTAGAATATCTAGTACGCACACTTTAGTTTTCCACTGATTGTAATGCGAAGGGTCCACTGCGGCCTTGAAACCACTCTATACATGGATTACTTTAAGTAAATAGCAAGTCACAACTTAAGTGGTATCGACGAAAGAGATTTGAGCAAATACCGTATTGCTATAGTTTAAAAATATTTGTCAATCGGAACGGTGGAAAAAATATTCCATATTCTTAGTTGTAAGACCGGGATGCTTTCCTTTTCTATCCATATCAGTACAAAACTGATACTCTCTGAGTTACATGGTTTTAAAAGGAATGTTAATTTATTTTTCTTGACTCTATCCTGACTTTTAGTTTGTATGGCTCGTTGCACGGGGCATTTTTTTCCTCAGCTAAATGGTTAACGACTTTTGGAGCTTTAACTCGATTCTTTCAGCGCTTTCAATAGAATTCTGTCCGCTACGGAGATGAACTTGTTCGACTGACAAAGCTTCAAAATCAAAGGATCTGGCAATTAATTGCTTCTAAACTGATTCACTTGCCAACAAAGCGTCCCATGAGTTGTGCTTTAACCGAAAGCCTTCAGAACTACTCTATGCATGAAATAAAGAATTAAGACGGTATATCCATCCTTAATTAAAAAAAAAAACAGCATAAAACAATTTCCTTCTTTATTTTTCGTTCATGTTTTATTAGTCAGCTGTGAAAACACTTAAATTCATATTTGTTTGATTAACACGACCTAGTAATCAGTTCTAACCTTGCGAAATTTTAAACAGAGAGTTGTTGTTTTTTACCAAGACTTTTAGTTACGAGCCGACAGGTGCCCCTTATATATTCTCTGTTGTTAGACAAAAAATTCGTCTTTAAAATTCTTGCTTCCTTACCAAATATTCTCTGCCAACAAAAAAGGCTGCGTCTTTTCATGGGACATGAAAAGTAATTCAAAAAGGTACTTTTGTTCGAAATTCGCTGACTAAGCAGAGAGCCCCCGTCAGAAGAAACTTCTGCCTAACTTGTAACCAGCCAGATTCCTCGATTGACACAAGAACAAGGAAAATTTCTGATATAGTAAAACCCAAGTCACTGTTTCTGGACCGCAGTCAAAATTACGTCTGTTACGTAAGCTATCAGAGTCCTTGTTAAATTCCAATTTGCTGTGTTTTAAATTAAATGTTACGCACCGTGTGAGATTAAGGTTTCCAGCCTGGGCTGCTTGCAGCGCAAATGAAGATGGAATGCAGTGGTAAGTCCATAGGCCAATTCAGTTATTGTTATTGATCAATTAAGCATTTCTTGATCAGAGGATCTTAATAAAGGGTTCAGTTTAGTCTTTAGTTTTGTTTGAAACTTTTTTAGGGGTTTAGATTCGCAAGTAGAATATACTTATACCATCTATTTCTCAAATGTAATTGGCATCTTTATTCAAGAGAACATATTCCATCAACTTCACCTGAAAAATTTTTGATGTCTAAAAGTCATTTATCACATTGTAGGATTTTATCACGCGATGATGAGCTATACCCCGTAGGTCCCCTAACGAGTAGCGAAGTTTTGAGTCTGCGGAAAAGAGAAATTTAACCAGTATTGGTCATAAAAAGCCGTTTCTTAAGGCCTGTAATTCTTGCGTGTCCGTAAAGCAATTTAACAACATACGCAATCTTTGCATCAAACGGAGTGTTAATTTTTGTTTGTTTTTAAAGGACAAGCTTCAAGAACATTTGAGCTGAAAAAGCAAGCTAACTAAAGATGGTTTGGAGGCATAAAAACGTACCTACATCCATCGTCATTATATTGTTGATTCTTTTAGCATCAGTGGTCAGGGTGCGAAAAGATTGCACGACTCGGGTCTTTATTAAACCGACTTATGGGCTCTATTTAATTTTCCTAAAGTCATGTCTGAAAAATGATAGGGAAAATTGCGTATTTAGTTGGTCTGAAAATCACTAGTGGTTTCAATAGGGGCAACGTACGCATGGATAGTAACGCCAGGGCTTCAGATCTGTTTTAGCCAAGAGGGGGGTTTCGGCAACTAGCTCGCTTTTTTGGACTCGACTACAATTGTTTAATATCTAGAGGTTGTCAATCTTTCATTAAGAAAAAATCAGTATATTGCAATATAACCACGGAGTCATGATAACACAAGTATGTCGATTTCAAACGCACGGTTCTCGTTAGCACCTCTTTTATAGGACAACACTGAGAATCTGAATTATAAGACGACGAACTGGCCAGAATCCTGAAAATTATCCACGGTTGTTTGCCGCTTGTTACAGTGCGGAAAGTGTAAAAAGTTTTAAATTAATTCAAAGTTAAAATGTATTGTAGACTCTTTGGTTTCCTCGCAACGCTGATCTCTGTGAATATTGTTGTTTAAATTTTGATTGCAAATTTCACTGACGAAAGTAAGGTGTACTATGGGAGGTAGAGGGTTCCAATAAATAACATACCTTTGTTGCTTTGAAGGCACACGAACGATGCCGTTTAAATAGTCTTTATAAATTTCTGTTGTGACTTGTTACGAGAAATGTTTCAGTCTTGATAGTTCTGAGATTTTAGTAAGGGGTAAAAATAATTACGTAGATATCAACAAACAATTCTAAACCACAACCCGAATGCATAATATCATGTCGGAAAATTAGCAACTAAAAAGTGATTTGTTTTTTCGAAAACAAACTATCATTTACAACATAAAAGCATTCCAACCAAAACGCTGACAGTATCATTATAAAATTCTATTCGCCGTGATTTTTTGTTATACCCGGTCGTTATTTCACTCATCGCGGCAGTCCGCCAAGGATTCGAATTCTGAATTAAACGTTCTTGAAGCTACATGGCGTCGGTACTTGTCAGAAGTTGCCACTTTTTTATCGTGTTTGTTTTATGAAAAACAACGTTTGCTTTGCGACCCTTATGACAGATCGCAAATCATTCTTAAATTCATATTTTTTAAGTATCTGTTGAAACGTTACTCAGTGAGCTTGAATCTCAGCCTTCTCTAAATTAAAGTCAAAGCCAAGGCAAAGCCATTTTACTAAAAGGCTTGAAAAACCCTCTCTCCCCTTTGGCCAGATCACGGTAAGAACTACGGTCCTCGATGTCATTCGTTAATGACTTTCGCGTGGTACAATCACATCGATCAAAATATACCATGCAGTCAGATTTATCGATTTACAAAGAAGCAAAATATCCGGGGAATAAATTTCCGGTTTCGACTCTATTTTGTTTAGATTTATATAGAATAAAACCCCCCAAAAAAGGATTATAATAAAAAAATCAGTCACATCAGTGAAAAATGTATTTTTGTTGCCTTGGTCGCCAGAATGTAGCACAGACGAAAATTTAATAGTGCAATATAAACCCTGCTTTACTAAAAATTAAACAAAAACATTAAAAAAAAACTTAGGTCATCAGTTTAAACCAACCACGAAGTTGAAGTGAATTCACTGTCCCAACTTTACAGACTTAAATCCTACCTTTTCAGGGTTTTCTCGCTTTTGTTTGTTTTCATGACAATTCATAGTTGATGCCGGGGTTCTAGTCAAAAATAAGCGAGAGCTTCCCTCAGTATTTGACCTTTCGTCGAAGTTTCTCCGAGGAATGGAGCAGCGATCCAACTTGACAAAACAGATACCAAGTACCTCATTTTTGTGTGAAAAAAGGAAAGAAGAACGGCTTAGGGTACAAGGCTCTGTGCCAAGTATAAGGGATATGTGTCAAATTAATTTCGTAATAACTGTGATAAATATGAAATTATTCATTATCACTGTAAAGCAAAAGCTTTGCATAAATCAAGACTTTAATCACGGTTACGGCGTCGCGATCACCTGCAGGGCGTTATTGTATTGGATTCTAAAGGAACAATTACAGAAACTATTTCATTAGTAAAAGGGTGAATATTTCATTATTACAAGAACCTTTCTCATTCAGATGTTTCCTATTTATATTTATAGACATCAGCTTCCCGACTGGAATATTCATATTAAAACTTTAATAGGCTGTACTCGCTGGCAGCGACATACCTACGTTTGTTTTACATGTTACTTTGCCAGCGAAAATAAGTAAATAAAAAAATTGTCGCACCTTCTTTTTTTATTGTATTTTGACAAGCTATGAGGTTATACCGAGCTATATTCATTTCCATCTAGCACACGTCAAAAACGTCATTGAAGTAGTATTGTTTATGATTTTTTTAGATGATGTGGTCTACCTTTCAGTCTATTCTCACGAGGATGGAAAAACACTAAGGAAAAATACCTTAACATTACAGCCAATATAAAAACATCACTTTCCCAAATAAATCTGTCTTTGGTATTTAAAAGGTTAATACAACAAACAAAAGTCGTCTTTAAGGTAACGTACTTTGGATGAGTATAACTTTGAGGACCTCTTAAAAAGGACTCTGGCTAAATATGGAGTTGCCTATGTACTGAAACATTACCATTACCGCGGGAAAAAATATTTCGGACGCGGACACAAAGAAATGCCATTAAAATCAAGTCAAAAACATTAATTCTTGCTTCTCGGACTCAATTTTGTTTCTAAATCTCATGTTTCCTAGTTTACCTACTGCATTAGGAGAACACCTCGCACTTTCGACGTCCACTTAGATAAAATGTCCAGACTTTCTGCGCTCGTTTCAGTGTGTTTCAAGGAAGTGCGGGCATTTTTTTCACTTTTCAACACAAATGTGTTGTTTCATGTCAGTAATTTTGTGGGTGTTAGAATTATAGCATGACGACTTTTGCATGAACTTTTCGTTTCGTGATAACTACTTTCAAATGAACAGTTTAAAATGTACTGATGGCGCTTCTCTATTGCTTTTTGTCGGCATAGCCTGCGTTGGTTGCCTGGTATTTTGATAGAACGTTGACACTTATGTCAACATTTCTTAAAATCAAAAAAGAAGAAAAAACAAACAACGAAACAAAATTTTATTTTCGATTAAAAGGGAAGAAAAAATAACCCATCATTACCAGGAAAATATTAAAAACCGAAATGAAGGCCGATTATACGTATGTAGCTAATGGTTAGGGTAAGTGAACCCAAATAATCTAGGGCACATACTTTTCCTAAACTGCCGAAGGCTATTTTCTGCTCTCAAAGTCTTTTCGCTGGGAGTTCTCAAGAAACGCTTTTCAAAATGCTCATTAGGGTATGATCAATAATTTAGGCTGTGGTATCTACTCATTCTTGTTTGACTTGCTTTAATTTGAACGGACGGCGGTTAGCAAGCTCTTTGAGTATACAACAAGGAAAAAGAAATTTAAAATTCTTACCTTCTGTGCGGTTTTGTGGCATTTCTTAAAATATCTTTGTTCACATAATGAGGGAAATAGATTATATATGTTTGAAAGGAACGTGATGAGAATGACAAAATAATACAAATGAAATGAAATATTAACAGCACATTAAGATTGCACGGAGAGTGCTGTCAGCATGGCGGGAATAGTATCACTAAGAGATCGACTGTCATAAGAAATATAGAGGATTAAAACTTATCTCTGCATAATATGTCTGGTTCATTGTTTACACTAGGAAACATCCTTAAAACTGATACGTAGTGACTTATTAATATTCTCTGTTTAATGGCACGTGGATTCATGAGTACACATTAACTTTACATACTATTTCTTTTAATATTTATTTTTAATCAGTGCATCACGTCTAAACCTCTATTTTACTGATGCTTTACTCCTGAAAATGACAAAATGACATTCCGGTTAAAACAGGTATAACAACTACAAATTACTTATCACATTTTTCTGTGCAGCTTTAAGTAGCTTAAGATAGCTATCATGCACCGATGGAGGGGAGAGGAGTCGGGAGCGGGTGGGGTGGGGAGGGTTTAAGATAATGATTGTGCCGTTGGACTCAGGTTTGTTCGTCAGTTTGTGACCGTTGGCAGCTACTGTTGTAAAATAAGGACTCTTTCCCTCCTTTTAGAAGTTGTGACAAAAAAACAACAACAACAACAACGACAAAAAAGCTGTTAATTTTCCGTCGTTCACCCTTAGTCACCATACAGCAAACAAATGCCGTCGCAATTTTCTAAGCTAATTCGAAAAGATTGAGTTTTCGGATTGATTTTCTTAGCATTTTAGTCATCAAAATAAACTAGAACAGTTACGTCAGGCAAATCAAATAATAAACGAACAAGACTACTTTGATTGACAGTGATTTTCGCCTTGAACTTAGAGACATTTTCAGTGGCTTATTTCCATTGACCTTGAGAGTTAAGTAGCCCTGACTGCAAGAAAGTCTTAGACTTTTTTATCAGACTTGTTTGTAGCGACCTTTTCCCTACGATCTGTTCAAAACGTGAGGCAAACGATAAAACACGGTATGATATTTTGTTTCTTGTTTTTCCTATTTTCCTGACCTACCAGCTAAATAGTTGTTCTTTGGTCTCTTTGAAGAACGAATAATAGTTATAAGATGGTACATAAATCCAGTTCAGTTTATAGTTTCACTTAAGACTGTGCCGTGAACCCATTGACTGGGTGTTTCAGAAAGAATGCAGCAACACCTATCTCATTTCAGGTTAAAAAATAGACAATGAAAACAACGACAAAACAATCATAATAATAATAATAGAAAACCTAATCAAATAAAGGCTCGGGAAATTATTAGGATTTGGACAAAACGTGCGTGAAATTAATCCCTAATTTCACTCGTCATCATTTGATTACACATACTACTATTGCTACTACTACTACTCCTCCTCCTCCTCCTCGTAATAATAACGATACTAATAACTAATATGACTTGTGCTTATTATTATTACATGTCAGAGCAGGTCCTTGAGTAAACGAGCAGCATTATCGCTTTCAAAGACCGTAGAAAACAGAGTTGTTTTATGAAGCAGTCAATTTTTAAAAACCTTAAGGTAATTTTTTGTCTAAGTGCGCCGATTTCCATTTGTAAGCTATTTCCAAGAGCTTTGATTTACTGTAATTTCTATTATATTGTGAGATTACAGGGGGTCTGGTCTGACGTAAGCAAAAAACAACGGATTGAAAATTAAGCGTTTTGTGAGTGAGTGGATAGTCTCAAGAAGACTAAAAAATGTTTTACAATAATGTAAAATCGCCTACTGCATTTCGCCGGGGTGCATTTCGTCCAATTACACATGTAATTGCCTATCCAGACTGCAACATGAAACAATAGCTCATTGCACAAGCAAAATCTAAACAGACTAGTATGCTATTTATTTTCTTCCGAAGCTATTGACGAGCCCTTATTAACTAAGTAAGGACTTGTCAGAACATACAATTACTTGATTACATGTTGCTTGATTTTATGGTTGTAAGTTTTTGGCCAAATTTCGAAAACATTGTATGGCGAATGTTCAAGAACGAACACTACTTTCTAAAATGACATCTAAGCAAAAGAGTCATGCTTTTTATTGAAATTCCTTGAAAGAAGGATTTTAAAGTACATGTTGATCGTATCATAGCAACATATAAAAAAAAAACGTTTTAAATTGGAATTATTGAAACAACACGTGTGGAATGCCAAAAAAGAAACATTATGTTTGTTGAGAGGAAGTATAACTATTTAGAGATGTAAAGTAATGTTGATAATTATCCGAGTTTCAATACTGGTTTTCAAGTTTAATGTTTATTTCGATTATGGATACATGAATCTTAGGGAAAAGAAATTCAAGGGAAAATATACTGGGTTAGTTAAATTTGAGGTTGAGAGTAGTCAAAGATCGTGAAATTCCAGCGACTTTTATGTTAAGAAACTTACGTTTAGTTATTATTTAAAAAAATCAATGCAAGTAAATAAAGCATGATGTCTAAAATATAATACATTGTAAATATATTTTCCAAATTGCTGTCCGTTAAAGGCTTGTAACATTTAGGTAATAATATTCATTTAGCAGAATTTATAGCCACACATAAATTCCTTACAGTTGTGTTTTTTACAATACTTTAATACTTTTTTTGTTAATTTTGACTGATCGCGATCTTTTTGTGATCCGATTTCATTTTGAGCAAGACTAATCGTACACGGTGTTTTGAAGTGGTTTTGCATCTGAACTATACATTCATCTGGCAGTTTTATGGTAAAACGCCAAAAACATGTGGTTTCTTTCTTTCACTCAACTTTGTCCCGGCATGATGCCAAACTAGACGCCTACGGAAAAGAAATTGCATGCAGACGTATTTCAATTCTTTTCGTGGGCGAATTGTTAAGATGTCTAATCTTCACAATACGTCCCGTTTTGTCGGGCGATTTAGATTTGACTTATCTTAACACCTCCTAAAGAACCAACGACATTTGCATTTTATACTGGAGACAAAATTGTCGATTGATTTAGAAGATAGAAAGTTTTTGAAAGAGTGTCTTTCTTAAGCAAATAAGACTTTTTGAACGATCAGTGCGTGAAGTATTTCAAAACTGACTCTCTCGCCCTAGTTACCCAGTATTCAAAATTTATTAGTCATATCAGGAGCAACCTATCGCCGCACAGAATAGGTTATGTTTCCTTTGACCTCACAGAATATTATAGATAAATTTGACCTTACTTTCATTTCGACCCTGACGTATTAAATCGAAGGTTAATATCATGATGAAACCAACAGCTTTTCGCCCAGGCGTGGGCAATGAAGAAAGTAAAGAACTTGAAATGAAATCGAGATAAGATATCAAAAGCTGACGCAAAATTTCTGGATCTGAAAATCCCTCTTTATTAAAAAAAATGCATAAATGCCTTGAACACGTTCGGTTTTAGCAGGAAGCGCCTCACGTCGCCATACAATCACTCGCTAATTTATCACTTTAGTTCCGGATCCGCTTTCTTGACTGTATAACGATGACTGATTTGCTTTAAACTTCTTCATTTCCTTTCATGCCTCATGTCTATATTTTTATTTATTTATTTATTTGGATGTAAAAACATGGTATTAGACTTGACGTTTAGCAGGACCATGTACTTTAGTTTCCATTCATTCATTGTTGAATCAAGAGCGAGCTTACGTACTCGTAAAAGAAATCGCTTGGGGAATAAATACCAATGATCTGCGTGCTAATTCCTTAATTTTTAACAATACCTTCTTTGACATCTTAATCTGAATATCAGGGGTAACATTACTTAGCATTTTCCCACTAACCTGCTTTATAAACAACGTAGATCGTTTGTCGGGCATTTGGTTCAGAAGGCAATACGGCTCCAAAACGTGCAACAGAGCGAATCAGAGCTGCCGACTAACAACCTAAACCACATCGATCGCATTGACAGATGTTTTTAAAAGCGTCCAGCTCCGTGAAAAAAGTAGTCGCCTTGAATCTGAATCACAAGCGAAAACTGATTCCTCAACTGACAAGCCAATCGTTACGCCTGAATGACTAACTGAGTTCGTTCTAGCGTTGTGACTATGCTTTGAAGTAAATTTTGTAAAATGAAAACTGTCATCTCGTTAAATATTAAAAGAATTCTGCAGTTGATTGATACGCTTAAGGGAGGGAGGTATCACAGACACAGCTGGAGAGAATACAAAAAAATTAATTCCAGGTCGTAACCTGCACCAGATATGAAAGTTATTTACTTTCCGTTCTTTCTATTTTAAAATGTTGCTTATTGATATAAAATTACTAATCAGTCTCTCGAGATTTCCAACACCTGGCTATGTTTCATGATGTTATTTAGTTGTTGTTAGAAAAATAAGTCGTTGATTCACCCCTTCCTTGGGGGACATTTATTCATTTGCGACGTTAGACCAGCTTGAAAAGTTTTAAAACATCATATGATGTGTGTGCTAAATTTCAAATATGTGGAACACTGGCGTAGCTTGCATGTTTTAGGGGGCTACTCGGACTCGGTAAAAATATCCGTGACAGATGAAAAAATAGAAGAAGACATTTTTCTGTCATAATTACTTTGTTTGTTAAGGAAGTAGATGATCACTTCCAAAAGCGCCAACCACACGCTACAAAATAAAACAAACCACTTGTTTCTGATAAATAACTTTCACCTTCCCGATATATATACGGTCGGGAAAATGGCGTTGTGCAAATTTCGTCATGCTAAAAACCCCGACAAATCTTAGTAGATCGCCGTAAATCTTTGAGTAGTTTGTTATGCCTTTGCCACTGAATAGATGAAATCAATTAAAAAGAAATTCCTTTTTTCCTGTGATAAAGCAACCCACGTTTACATTATTGAATGTCTGCCAATCATGTCGCTTCAGCGTCGAAACTTTTGGTTTACTTTAATTGGCGTCTCCTTGCTCCGGCGCCGTCATGGCATTTTTTAATCGAACTCTTTCGGTTAATTGTTAACTGGCTTCAGCATCTCAACTGGACTTTTAAAATTATGTTCCTTAAATTTCAAAAGCTTTCTTTTCAGGGAATCGGGAACCCTTCGATATTTAGCTGAGTATTAAATAGAATCACGAAAACAGCTGCCGACACTTTTACGACTAGATTACGATTCTTGATTTTTTTGCGATAAAGTCGTACTCGAATGCCTTAAGCTACTTAGGTAGTCTAAATTTTATTCGTTAGTCCACCAGATCGCCATTTCTTATATTTTTTTTCTTATATTTTTGTTTCGAATGAAACTAACAATACTGTACTGAAGCAACATATCAATATTCCGGAATCCAACCATCGACGATGGAGTTCAAGCCATGGGAATGGGGTAAAGATTTGTGTCAGTCCTTATAACTTGCCCGCGGGGATAGCGGGGCTCCCGTCAAATGAGGATAATAATAATAAGAATAATAATAAGAAGAATGAATTTGTATAGCGCAAATTCCGAACAATGTTCAAATGCGCTTCACAATAAAATCACGCAGTGGGAAACTAGACGCAATAACTAATACTACTTTAAAAAACAAAACAAAACAAGAACAAAAACTACTAATACTAATACTGAATACTAATACTACTGCTACTAAGGTATCGTGATTTAGTACTTGCTGAAGCTACTTATTGATAGAAGGGATTGCTTAACCTGTTGGTTTTAAGGATTTAAAGGTGATAAAATCAATTTAGTCCACGAAATATCAGTCAGGAGCCGACAGATTATCAACAGAAAAGATTAGAGAATAAATAATCACTAAAGGATAAATTTCCCGACTTATTCTTTGAGGAAATGTATGGAGATCAGTCAGGGGAATCTGTATGTCGATATGACTTGTTAAAATTTAATATTTTAACTGTCTGTGGCCTGTTGGTCTAGTGGCATGATTCTCGCTTTGGGTGCGAGAGGTCCCGGGTTCGACTCCCGGACAGGCCCGCTGTCCTGCTCCGCGGTTCATTTTATCTTCTCTTCTTCTTTTTTCCCTTTTCTACACGTTCAGGCGGTCTTGCGTCTTTCGTTATGTTTTGGATGAAAATACTCGGTCTATAACCCCGTAAGTTGGCATCTGCTTAAGAGAGTGAGTGTGTCATGGATGACGCCTGGTTGTAACTGTTTGTATGAACAGAACACGTTCTGACTGCGTTATGCCAAAAAAAATTGAAAAGGCTACTTCAATAATTCACAGTTCTCGATACCAGGCATGAAATGAATGTAAATACAAAAAAAATAAAGCAATCCAAAGGGTAACCCTACATGGCTCTTTTCAAGTCGAATTAGGAAGCTCATGCAACCATAACCGGCGTTGCAAGCGAAAACGTCACTTTTACGGGAATGAGCGCTGTTTTAAACTTTATAAATCAAGATAATTTCATTTCGTTCAGTTTGTTACAGGTAGGCGAAAAATTTTCAGTAAATGAAAAGGAAATCGTCGTCTTGTGCTCACTCCCCTCCCCCCCCCCCGTCAAACGTAGGGTTAGGCAATTTCAAGTCGTAGTCGCACAATGAGAGACGGGGAAAAATGCCCTAAAAAGTGTGACGTTCTCGTTGCCGTCGCCGTCGTGTTAGCGTGAGCACTCTATTGACAAGTGTAACTGTGACTTAATGCTTTAATTTTTTAACTACTTTGCACTGTTTTTAAAAGTTCTTCTTTTAACAGCATGAATTCAATAAACAGGTCAGTTATAGCAAATGGGCCACTGCATTTGTAAACATTGCGCGGAAGTGTTGAAAGCAAATTTTTTTCCCCCACCACGGGCACTTTTTAAGTAAATGTATGATAATTCTCAGTTCTTCAACATCATCTGCCATGTTAAACACGGTGGCGCACAAGAATGCAGATTTGTATTTTCTGTACATGATTAGTGTATGCCGGGATACGCAAAACACCTAATCCGCGAAGTGCATGGATATAAGGACATTGACTGCAATTGAGAAACTCTGTTAAAGCAATATTGCCGGGAGCAAGCAAAACAATAACTCTGCACGTGCGTCACGCGTTTAGGTACATTTCTTTGCCGTCCACTTTGTGAAACTAATGTGACGTTTTATGGGAGAAGCGGAACACACGTAGACAATTTTTCTTTTCCGTTTTATAACTTGGATGCAGGCTTTAACAATTCAACTCCAGGAAAGTTCGCCTACATTAAACAAAATGAGCGAGGTTAAACTGAAACGGGATAAACGCTCACTAATTGTTTCAGTGATGTTGTTTCCCACCCATCGTTATCGCGGTTGTTTAAGCTCCCTTACGCTGCGTGCAAACAGACGCAACCTTGTTGACCACTGAACTCCCAACATTGTTGGATGTTACATGTTGCGTCCGTTTGCACATCCTGTTGCATGTTGTTGGATATTGTTGCGTGTTGTTGCGCAAAGTTTGAAACCGGTCAAACTTTTCGCCCCGTTCAAACGGACGCAACATTGTTGGCTTACAACTCCCAAGATTGTTGGATGTTACATGTTGCGTCCGTGTGCACATCCTGTTGCATGTTGTTGGATGTTGTTGCGTGTTGTTGCGCAAAGTTTGAAACCGGTCAACCTTTTCGCCCCGAGCAAACGGACGCAACATTGTTGGCTTACAACTCCCAACATTGTTGGGAGTTGTTGCGCCCGTTTACACGAAGCCTTAGGCTACTGTTCATTTCAGTCAACTTGACAACCTGACCTCCACGCCTTGACAAAGCTTTGCCTACATTGCTGGTTTCAAGCACGCGACAAGGCATCCATGCTGGTGGTGAATTTTTTCGTTGAATTTTTAAGGAAAAAAAATCTCTCTTTTATCCCAGGATTCAAACTCTCAACTCCAGCACTGAATAAACACAAGAACGGATAATGAGACAGAGATGGAATCTTAGAGCGTTGGCTGGGATATGTGAATATCATTTCTATTAAAGTTATTTTTAGAGGTTGGAATTAAACACTTTGAAACGTCATCAAGTCCACGCTCAAAGCAAACAATGCAGAATATTTGTAATGGCCTGTCGAATTTTCTGTCGACAACACTGAATAAAAGTTAGCAGGCCTCTCCGCAAACCAGTTTCCGATTAATTTCAAGCGTTTAATTGGTCTAACATAACTTTGGTGAAATTCACACTCCCCAAAGGCTAGACTGGGCGTTTTGCTGTCAGTCGCATTATTGTCTTGATAAACGTTAATACTTTTTACTGTTTTTTACTGTAAAAACATATTTTTTATCCATTAAATTCTTTGCTAGAAGGGACACTGCATTGATTGGCTCGTTCCCTTCATCTGCAGATGGCTTTTTTGCGAATAGCTACCTACAGCAAATACCTTATTAATACTTAATTTCGCACGTCTGAAAAAATCGCGAAATTAAAGACCCGCGAATAAAAATCCTCGCGAAATTTAAACATGCGAAATTAAATACCCATATAGAAAAATCAAACCACAGAAGAAATGATTGACATGTAATAACAACAACCCACACAAGATATGTATAGACAAATACACTTGTTATTAACTGGTTCTAGTAAGTTCCATTTTGTATCTTGTTGTAAAATTTGTATGGAGTAAGAGTTGTTTTTTTCCAGAATTGTAAAAATGTTCAGACTTTTCGAAAAATAAAATGAAGTTGAGAACGCTTGAATCATGAAATTTAATGCCATTTTTTCATATTTAGCCTTTGAAATCGCGAAAATAAAACCAACCCCGCGAAATACTTTCTTGCCAAAATCGAGAAATTAAGTACCCCTGAAATTAAGTCCCAATAAAGTATTTAAAGAATTTAAAATTACCTTACATGGAGTAATATTAAAAAAGATGATGTCTGTCCGCAATCAATCTACAGCGTTTTGAGGTGTATGAAATATTTACAAAAGACATAAAAGCAAAAAAGTAGATAGTTGTCAGCTAAGTACTTCAATTATTGATTTATTCCAGGTATATCAAACGCTTTTATTTTGTTTTTATCGAAAGTACTGTACATTCCTACGCTTTTAAAAGACCTTCCATCGCTCAGCAAACTTAAAACTTCGAAGTGATAGAACGAACTCGTCACTTAAGCAATTATCTCTTAACAAAAAGGCACTTTCCTTAAGTTTTACAGGAGCAATATAAATTGAAAGTTAGAGAGTCCATTAAGATTTAAATGAAAGAAGGCAACTAACACCTGTCACTTACAGTTTTTCTTTAAACGTTAAAAGCTGTCTTTTGTCCATAGCAATTAGTACCGCGACATTAGTCCAGGAGCTTTTCGCTAACATTACAATCATCATTACAAATTAATATCTCGTTCTATTCTAGAAGACTAGAGGTCTCTGGGATCTACTCGCCGACATTTCAACATCATATCTCCTTGTCCTTTGTCTAGATGTGACTGTTTTCCAAACACTTCGGGGTTTGTTGTTCTCCATTTTTTTAGTCAGTGAAATTTATATTGTATTTGATTCTAACTTGTGCGACCGCCTCTCCCCTCAAAGAGAAACGTCTGGCTTCTTAGCACCAGCGTAATAAAAGTTTTCGATCGCGTTTAAAAAATACTAAATAATTAGACTTTATGATTTTCGATTAGGAAAGCAGAAACTGAAAATAAGAAAATAAGGTAACAGTGGTGCTGTTTGAAAGAGCAAAACGTCTTAAAAAATAATAGAAATATTTAGATTTTTACCAGTCATAAAATATTAATCGCGCTATCCATGAATCTCACACTAAATAACAGCCAGCCCGCTTCATTAGCCAAATGACATGCACAATAGACCAAGCAAGAAAAAAAGAATATGCATTAATTATCATAAGGCCAATGTGTTATCGTTCGTGGAATTTTGATTAACTTCGGCTTAAATATCAAATTTTACTTTCTTTTTTCCTCAAGTGGACCCTTGCAGACCACTATAACATCTTAATGTTAAAATAATCCTCCCTAGCGTAGTTATATATAATCATAATGCGGTTAACGTGTGGAAAATAGTTTGCTATACAGTAAATAGGTTGCCACAGAACGTAGGGCTGCTGTTTTCCCTTCTTGTATAAAAGAAGGCTAAGGTGCTTTGAAATGCAAATAAATAAATGATATTTTTCTTACCTCCCTGCTGTCCATTATTTTGCATCTGTGGTTTTAGTAACTGACGCTCGTGGACACAAGGTGTTCTTTGTGGTTTTTGTTACTTTTTTATGTATTATAAAAATTACCAATGTTTACCGAGTTCTACTCTCGCCTTTAAAGTTTTCCTTTACAATTCACCGTTCTGCGATTGGTCGGTTTAAATGCCAAGTAAAAATAGTTAGCAATTTAAGCAATTCGACAATGAGAGATTAAGCTTCACGTGTATGGCAAACAGCAAACGTCAGATTCAAGTTCAGAATTTCTCAAAATAGAAAATGAGTAGATAAAAACAGCTCAAAAAAACTCCTGGATAAGAAATTGCGCTAAACTACTTATTTATGTGTAGAAATAATGAACAGTAAACGACAAATAAAGGGGAATCTTGGTCACGTGGTTGGTTTGACGTAAACGTGATGCTTAACTTCTCTTATGGTACACTTTCTACTATGAGGAAGGAGTTAAGACGGAATCCACCAAAAAAATTGAGTAACTGTAATTTTCAGTAGACAAAAACTTTGTACCAGAATAATTTAAAGAACATCGCATTCTTTTTTACTTTTTTCAAGGGCTAAAGATGTAATAAATCATCTGTAGTAACACCAAAGAAAATTTCTCTTGGAAGCCCGAGAAAATGAATGACAAATTTCCCAAGAATAGTGATTACATAGGTAAAATTCTGAAAATTTCATGTGTAAGATGTAATTTTGTCAAATTTGACATTACTTTTCTCGGGCTCCAATGAGAAATTTCTTTTGGTGTTACTACAGATGATTTATTACATATTTAGCCCTTGAAAAAAAGAATGCAATATGCCTTAAATTATTCTGGAACAAGATTTTTGTCCACTAAAACTCAAAATTATTCAATGTCCTAGTGGATTCTGTCTTAATACATTTGACGTGTAGTGCATGGTACTATTTAAACAAGAGATACTGAAATGTTACAAAAAATGCAAAGGATCAGTTAAGGGACAGTATCAGGGGATTTCTCCAATATCTTGCGTAAATTACACTATATTAGGGAGCTTAAGCAACAACGTTTTTGAGCGACGCACGGACAGTATGACAGTAAAGAAGCTAAGGAATACAAATTTTATATCATCAAGGCATGTTAAGAGAGAAAATACCTCACTTCCGGTTGACGTGCGTCGCTCAAAAACGTCACTGATTAAGCTCCCTATTTATAAGAGAGATTAAGATTCACGCCGAACGGCAAACGAGAATTTCTACCACGTGACCAAGTTTTCCCCTTAATTGTCGTTTACTGTTGATTACCTCTCCACAGAAAATGAGTAGTTTCACGCCAGTTTAATCCATAAGAATTGTTCTGGGTAGTTTTTATCTGCTTATTTTCTATTTTGAGAAATTCTCAACTTGAATCTGACGTTTGCCGTTTGCAGTAAAGGTGGATCTTAATCTCTCTATTATCGTACACTCGCTGGCGCGCAAAATCGTACTTTGACCAACTGACGTGAAGGACAGTACACAAATATCATGAGCGTCAACCTCAGAGTTTTTAGCTGTCTTTTTTAATGATATTAAAATAATATTCTGTATAAAGCATTGCATGCTTATCAATTTATCACATGATTCTAGTCCTATAACAATTTTAAACGTTTCCTGTGACTAAAAGATTTTAAAATTGCCAATTCTTTAATTATGTAAACTATTTTCTATAAAACCAAGATAATATTCATCAAAAGCTGATCTACTCTGCAAGTGGTTTCCTTGTCGACCCTATAACTTTCTATCTCTAAGAACTTTCTACCCACTTGCTCAAACTATTTTAGAACAGATACCTTCAAGTTGCTGTGTAATAAGTCTTTTCCAAGTTTTTGCACAAATTTCTTGTTGCCTGTACATATATCTTAATTCTTTCTAGAGGCAAATGGCCTCTACCAGGCGAGTTATTTTGCTAGATATAAATTAACAACAGCCCTCATCATGAATCCGTAAAGAGCCGTAAATCGCGATTATGTGCATGGCCAGTCAACTTCGCCCCTTCCTAGGTATCACAAATAAGAAAGAGTCATTAAGTTCCAGGATTCGGTATATTAGCAAACAATCCTTTTCCACAAGTGTAAAAATGTTGGCCTCCTGTTCATGTACTTCTTGGTAAGGAACGGATGAACTGCAAAATCAGCTTTGCAGATTTGAACGGTCTTTCAAAAGTAATAGCATGACCACATCTCTCAAGAATCTGGACTTTGACGTTCTTTACTTTCTCAGCAATGATATCTGCTGCAGAAACATCTAAGATCTAAAAAGATGAAACATACGACAAAAATGTGGGGATTCACAAGTTGAGGTATCAAACGTTGTGAATGACATCAAAGGAAAACAGACATGTCCTCTTAAATTAATGTTAGAGTGTCAACAGTACGCTCGAACGTCAGCATACAAGGGCGTCACTAGCAGCTGCTATTTCCGAGTCCATTTATGAGCTTGCTTACTGTAACCCACCCAGCCCATGATACTGCATGTCCCTAGAATGTCTGCCCAAAAATTGCATGCACGGTACCAAACATGTGTCGCGCTATGCCGATATTTTTGTTCGTGTAAATGGGTTTTCAGTTACTTAGTTTTCTGACCTTGTCGCTATCTCCCCACAACGTAAGCGTAGGAACGCTTATGTCTTCCAGAACATCGTGAAGAAGCCATCTCTGATCAGGATGAGCAATTTCAGCTAAAACTGTAAAAAAGCAGAGATGGAAAGTCGTGTTATTCAATTGGGGACCAAGAAATTAACTTCGTAGGTCTGTTTGCTTGAAGGTGCCCGAGAACTTTGAACCAGCCTAGAGCTCTGTTTTCATTTTCATAATCTACTCAAAGTCTTAAGCTATCGGTCTGCTTTCCAAAACAACGAAATCTGAATCCTTGCTGGCAAAAACGTATGCTCAAAACATATTTCTTTTTTATAAAGCATTATTATTTTACTTTAACAGTTTTCCTCTTGACACGGCTTCACTTGTGCGCAGAAATGGGCGCAAAGGCGAAGTTGACGAAAATGGCGAAAATAGAAACTCTGGTAAAAATCTGCTACAGTTTTGGCGAATATTCAAATTAGATGGCAAAGGGGGCTCCTTGGAGAGTGGCGATTTTTAAAAAAAGGCAAATCTGGCAAAAAATCGCCAAAGGGTAGACGAAAAATTAAAATAAGGCTTCGGGAGATGCCCCTTGTAAAAATGGCGAAGTTGACGAAAAAATCGCCATTCAGTGACAAAAATGGAGAATCTGGCGAAAATTTCCCACGATTTTTGCGAATATTTAAATTAGATGGCAAAAAGGGGCCCCTTAGCGAGTGGCGATTTTGACGAAAATGGCGAAAACCTGCCAGCAATGGTAAAAATGGCGAATCTGGCGAAAAATCGCTTAAGGGCTGACACAAATTTAAATGAGGCTCCAAGAGGCGCCCCTAAGTGGCAAAAATGACTCTGAGGAATGAATACAGGAATTCCTTACTAATGGCATGTTACTACCTAGATTTGAGTAGTAATTGTGATTGGATGAAGCAAATTCTCCTCGCGGTACAACAAATCAAAACAGGAGCCCATAACCCGGAGCGTTCAACTGCCATAAATTCGTGCAACGGCGTTTCTACAAGTGAATTTATATTTAGATAAGCTTTTCCCGCGAAAAATAACTGTTCCACGAGGTCAATTCCTGCATTTGATCGTCGTTTAGACTGTTAGTAGCTCGCTTGGACCTTTTCACAGTCGGCTATTTCGAAGATGATTTCGATTTAATTCCCTTTGCGTGAATTATGCGTTGTCGTCGATGAAGTAGACGTCCTGGCTAGGTTTTGCAAATCTTCTTCTGAACTGCTAGTTTCCGTGTAAATACTGAAATTGTCGTTTGAAGTACTGTCAGAAGACTCCTCTGAAGATTCCTCACGTGTGTCCGCTATGTTTTTTTCAATGTGAAGGAGTTGTCCTATAGTTACGTATTAAAAGTTTATCATTGATGACGCAATTGCTAGTGATTGGCTTTTCGAAAGCAATTCGCGGGAAAAGCTTATCTAAAAATAAACCTACTGGTGAAAACGCCGTTGCATAGGCGCAGTATGGAAGTTAGACGCTCCGGGTTATGGGCTCCTGATCAAAAGTGCTACCCAGATCTGGGTAGTCCCACGTCATCAATACGGAATTTCTGCGTTCGTTCCTCAGACGTCATTTCGTGGGAAAACCACTTTGCTTGAACCAATGAGAAGCACTACCCAGGTCAGGGTAATGACACGTCATCAGTATGGAATTTCTGCTCTCGTTTCTCAGGCGTCATTTCGTGGGAAACCAGTGGAGGCGTTGAGAAATGTCGGCTGTTTTCCCAGGCTTGTCACTACCTTGATCTAGATAGTGCTTCTGATTGGTTGAAACTTTGCTTGAACCAATGAGAAGCACTACCCAGGTCAGGGTAATGACACGTCATCAGTATGGAATTTCTGCTCTCGTTTCTCAGACGTCATTTCGTGGGAAACCAGTGGAGGCCTCGCGAAATGTCAGATCTTTTCTCAGCCTACTGCAAACGGCGCGCGAGGTTTCGTTAAAAGCTAGATTTTTCCCTTTCCAGGTAGTCTCCGGTCTCTCCTGGTAGCAGATCTTCCTATCGTCACGCAATGCTCCCCCAATTGCTTGACGACACAAAGGAGACTGCCAAGCGCCAGGCTACCTCTCACCACAGAAAAAAAACTTTCTACCTGATGCAAAAAAACTGTCAATTACCATTTGAATAGTAGTATAATTTTTTCACCTTTTTCATAAAAATCATGTGCTTGTTTTCTTGTCTCACAAATGATCTTGACAACAAAGAAGGGCATGAAAACATTACGATGTGACACTTTTTTCATCATAAAACGAAAGTCCTCTGGATTTTTTGGAAGCAAATAGTTCTTTCCACCGCTGGCAATTTCCATGAGGAAATCACTGATCCTTGGTGCATTTATACCAGCAGGACACATCAGTACTAGTGATGACAGCAGGGAGGGATATTTTGTGGCAAACACGCCAGCGACAAAACCGCCCATCGAGAGACCGACCAGGTGAAACTTTCTCTTGTCTAGTCCAACAGCTAACACAAACTGAAAAAAAATGCAATATAGTTTGAATAAAGCAGAAACAGCATCCATAACACATTGTGATCGTAAGAATTTCCATATAAAATAGGGTATGTTTCCCTAGGTGGTCCCAGAGGGGCGGGGGCAGTCAACAAAGTTTTATACAGGGAGGCTGTGCCCCTAGGCTCAACCCCTCAATATTTTTCACAGAAATGGTACCCCTTTCACAAACCTAGTTTATAACTCTGCAACGTTTTAACTGCTGCATTTTAAATTTGAATAAATTGCTAATCCAGGAAGTTTTCTTGTCTTTTTCACAGCCATGAAATACATCTGTCAGCCTCTGTGGGCCCTTTCACAGATCACAACGACAGACTTTACTGCCCTTTCACATACTTCAGCTAGAGTAATCCCTACCCTTTCATATACCTGAAACCTGGCGAAACTACCCCTTTCAGGTTGAGCCTCCCTGTATAGGCCATCAAAAGGAAGTATCCCCCTACGCTGGTGGTGTAGTCTAGACCTCTGACTGTAAACTTGACACACTTCACTTGGTTGTGGTTGTATAATATAACTGTATAATAAAAATTATGAAGGTTCAACTAGACTGGAATACCGTATTATTTGATTAAGGATCCAACCTCAAATTAGTGCCCCCCTTGTATAAGTGCCCATCCTGTTGGGAGGAGCTTCAAATAGGCACCCACCGCCACCCACCCCCCACCCACCCTCCCCACAAAACAAAGACTGTGAGACATCTACCAGGCAACACCATTAAAGAGTTTGCTTATTAAACTTACTGACAATGAAATAGGAATTGACTAGGTACAATCTACTAAAATTATAGACTTCTCAGAAGACCAAGTTCTTATTCTTTATTAAAAACAAACTTTCAATGTTTTGTTGGAAAATTAACTTGCATACCACTTGCTGGAAATAAAGGAAATGAAATATTAGCGCACAGACTTGAATCAGTGCACACCTTGAATATTAGCAGCCTGACTCTCAAGGCCTAAAAATTTAATAAGCAACCAGGGCACCTAAATAAATATGGTAATTAAGATAAAGAATATTGTCCATAACAAAGGAACTTTAAAGGTGTCCACATGCAGATCTGATCAACTAAAGTCCCGTTTATTCTAAGCACTAAACAATTTGTTAATATTGCACTCCAAAATGACTCTTTTTGATCTGTGATTACAATGACAGAATATTTTAAAAATATTTTTAAAAGGATAAACCATGCAGTGAGCAGCACTTAACTTCTCGAGTTGTAAAATTGTTTTATTGTCTCCTACGCATTACATGTGTCTAACGCCCACTTTATCAGCCGTGGGAGTTTTACAATGCAACTAAGAGTACCTGGATATATACCTAAAAACAAACTGAATTTTACATTGAACACAAAACACCTACAGATATGCGTACAGGAACTGCAAACCTGGCAGTATACATCTAGGAAACAGACAGAGAAATATATTTGCAAGGTGTGACATATTAGGAATGTTTGGGGCCCCCAGTATTAAAACTGAACACAAAATGTGTAGGACTACAATAAAACAATTTTACAACTCAAGAAGTTTGCAGAAGTGCTGTTCACTGGTTTATTTTTAGAAAAATATTTTTAAAATGGCTCTTTTTGATCTGTGACTACAACAACAGGATTCTCAAAAAGATCAAGTACTTCCTTGAAGACAATAAAATACATGGCAGGCATTTTCTTACTTTCTACTACTGCAAATCCCTATGCTCTTCTCATTTAACAGTCTCCAATACACATTACTAATGAAACTGTGCAAGGCTAAGAACTAGGTAACAATAAAACTAAAGCAACAAATTAATGGCACCGACAGTTTCTAATAGCAAATTATAAAGAGACTCTTTCAAACAAAAGGCCCCTGTTAAGGCACTACAGTGACAGCCCCCGGGGGGTACTCCCTTACAAGGGCTAATAGGGATGTGAGGCTGGATGGGGTCGCATTTTTTCACCACTGGAGTGACTATAATGGGGTCGCACGTTCAATAGATTTACTAGAATGGGGTCGCAAATTTTTCGTATTTTGGGGGTAAGTAGGGATTCAAAATGGGAAAATTCTTCGTTAAAAAATCAGAAAGTTGTTGTTTATTAAATTTAACAATAAGCTCGCATTGACTGCATCACATTCTGCCACTTGAAACCACATTGATAAGGTAGATGCATAAATAGAAAGTGACTAAGCTGGGATCGTGAAAATTACATTTTCCAAAAAGTGACTAAGATGGGGTCTATAATTGGCCAAAAAATAGACTATAATGGGGTAGGGGCTCTGGGAGGCCAGCAGCACATACCTCGCAAACATTAACCCAAGTATCCCCCGGGCCACAGCCAATCCACAAATTTCACCTCTTGAAAGAAATGAGGGACACATTTATTATTTTTGTGTTGGGAGTGGGGGATTGGGGCACAAACTTTATTACTCACATACCTGATGAAGTTTTGCAACTTGAGCAGGGATAGAATGATCATCATGATGTTTGCGTGTAGTATAACCATGCCCAGGTAGATCTACAGCAACCAAATGGTACGACTTTGGCAAGGCAGATCCCATGAGACACCAGACACCTTTGTCCCCAGTAAAACCATGAACCATTAAGATTACATGTTCTGCTTTTTTACCGTCTCCTCTTTCTATGTAGCTAAATCTGAAATCTCCCACAGAAACATACTTCAAAGAAAAACCAGCTTTGAGGATGAGACCTCTGTAAAATTAAAAATTAAAAACATCAACAAATTTTCATGCACATGCAGGAATGGATCTTTGCCAGCTAGAACACAGGGCTGGGTAGTAAGTTCATGTTCTTGCACGTTGGTTGGTAGAGACAAGCCAGCTGGAGGCCACCTAATCGAGTTGATTAGGATAACTGCCGAATCTTGCTCGGTATAAATACGGCAGTCATTATTTGACATAGTTTGTTGAGATATTCCACAGAGTGCTTTGAATAAATTAGCTCATTCGAGATAATGGTATCACGAGACAAATGAAATGTAAACCCTGAAAATAATCGCGGAAATGAAACCAACTAAGACCTACGAGGAAAGATACATGGATATTGAGCTATAACCCCAGCATTACTTGCTTTGTGCCAATATCTGCACCAAAATTTCTCTTAATTCCTGAAAGTATCAGATTGTATGGGAAGATCTAACAGGTAATTCTGGGTAATTGTCGGTCGTGAGTTAAAATTGCTTTCGCAAGCATTAGTTCCGACTTTCACGAAACCTTTAAAGTTTTAAACAGCTCTATTAAATCAATTGCGTTCAATAATTATAATATTCAAAACAATACCTGTGAATTAAGTAGAAGAATATCTGTGGACGAACAAAATACAGAACCATGCAAACTGCCCACAGGAAAAACACTGCAAAAGCGACAAGCCCAACAATCGGAAGAAACAGTCCCAACCAGAGAACCATTGTACAGCTATTGTCACTCGAATATCGGATTGCTCCTGTCTTTTACAAGTTCTAACTTTGTTTATCTGTGCAACTGGTCTGCCCTCCAGACTTCACGATCGACGCAAATGTCAGTATTCTGTCGGTCGATGACAAGGATGCGAAATTATCATTATCACGCCACCAGTGGAAGCCCTGTGTATCGCTTTAATAATATAAAAAACAAATAATTACCATTCAAAAACAACAGTCTCGTCTCGAAGTTTTTGCGTTCCCTTGATATTTCATCAAAAGTTTGCCAAGTTTGAATAAAAGCCACAGGCCACGCAGGTGTTTCTAGTGCTTTGGGAAGCGTTTCAGAATAGTGACTTTCCATACCCTGGTTAGTTAGCTTTTTGTCCTCTTTATGAAGCCTCCACATGGCTCTGTTTTCATTAAAATACTTTGTTTGTTTTAAAAGACACATGCAATGCAAACTTTGCTTTCACCTCCGAGCCCGACAAAAGTACTGAAATAAACTAAGTTTCATGCACGTGTGCCTTAATACGATTATCACTCTTTTGTAAGCGACCTTCTTTCCTGAGTCACCCGTACGGGGGGTACTCCGGATTTCAAGTGACAGTGATGTTCGAAGGATTGTTTTGTGTTTGAAATTTTCGATTTCAGGATTTTTGTCGGGTAGCAAAATTTTGGCAAGTATATTTTTGGGTAGCTTGATTTAAGCAGGGATTTTCTTGGATATTAAATATGCTTTCTGGAAATTCTTATGGCTCGGAAATTTAATTCGGCATGGGATTTTTGGGGGGGTTCGTTGGAAGCCCTAGGGATTTTTGGGGGTGTTGATTTTTGCCCCCTGTCACTTGAAATTAGGGGGGTCACAAGAAATTTGTCCTCTATGCATTCAATTTGCACATCTCCCATATTAATAATCCTTGTTCGCCTCCCCCCCCCCTCCCCCTCGCCCTGACAAAATTTTGCATAAGTATTGCCATCAATTTCTCTGGAGGCGATTGCAATACCCAGGACGAATGAAAAGCAAAGGCTATGTAAACTTTTTTCTTGGGGGGGGTGGGGGTCGGGGGAGAAACAAGGTGTATTATGGGAGATGTCATAAGGCGATATACAGTGATTTTCTTCTGCAAAAAATGAACTTAGGTTCCATAACCAAACTTAAAGCTCCGGTCGCGGAAACAAAATGCAAAATGCAATGTCGACAAGGGTTTCTCGCTTTACCCACGGGCAGGGATTTCATTCCGGGAAGGTGTCTGCCCAGGCTCAGTTCATCCCTTTGAATCTAATAGCCCAGAAAAAAAGGGTGAGACTTGGCCAAAAAGTTTCACATTTTCATCTTTAGAAGGACACAGTGATCCACCACCTCTTCAAGTGCCGAATACGATCACCTTAATTTCGCACGATCGACTGTGCAGCGTTACTGAACACGCCATGCTTTTGCGGTGTTTCCTTGAACTGATACTCAGTGCTAAAAAAGGTTAGTTCAAATGAAAAACAAATAAAAAATCAAATAAAGAAATATAGAAGCAAGCCTGATCTAATAACATTGCTTACTTGGAGTGAGTTGCTACTAACGAATGTCATTTTTGTAACCTAGCTAAGCTCGGGGATAAAAGAAGTGGCCAGGTGAACCATTTTAGACAATACTCTCCACTTCAACTCACAAATGCGACAATGTTTCAAAAAACAACAAACGCTGTCACTCTTCTTTTTTTTATTGTTTCACTTCCTTACGAAATTTATTACAAATTCTAATCTAAGTGCCTCTAGCATCAGGTTTTTAAGTGCTACATTAAAGAATTAGAGTGCTATGCAATAAAGCTAAGATCGTATCTATAAGTGCGGGGCAGTGTGGCTTATTGACTGATGGTTTCTATTAAGGCAGCTTGATTTTCCAGTCAGGACTTGTGTCTTTACTTGATTTCTAGAATCTCTATTTCAAACAGCAGATCAGTATGTGGAGGAATTGTATGGAAAGTTAAGGGTTATACAAGAACATCAACAAAAGCATCAAATAAACAACAAAAAGTAACAAAATAGGAAAACATTATAGAAGGATGAAAAATAATGGAACCGGCGCCAGATTTAAGAAGCTAAAAGAAGGAACTCCAGTGATACCGCATGACAACAGGCTACTTGGGATATCTTAACATAGGGCGCGTTTTAAATTCGTTCTCGAGTGTCAGCGCAAAACAAGACAGAAGCAAAAGATATCACAAAGCAAGAAAATGCTGTAATTCCTTCATCCTAGTTTTTTCACTAGACGTTATTCCTGTTGGAAATCTTTCGATCCGCACCAAGAAACGTAAAATCCGACCAGAGGTACGGAGACTAGACTTTCCATTGAATTTGCCGGTCAAATTTCCACATTTTTGTTGACATATATCTACTACGTGCATCAAAAGATTTCACCTAGCCTGAAAGAAAGCTCTCTTTCCATAATTTACATGTAGACCCACACCCTAGGGAACTCACTACAAGGCTTTTTCCTTCCACATAAGTTGTGCACCAAAATAATTATCTTAAAGACTTTTCAGGGGTTCAGATGGCAAGGAGCAGTGTGAATGAAAGGAGGTGTGGAACGAGAAAGAAAGAAAGCAGACGAGAGAGGGAGACCTCCTCTATATATCTACATACCGTGGTATTGCCCTCTCACTCTCCCTCCTCTCTTTCAGTTTTTTTTTCCCGTTTCTTTTTTTTCTCTCTTCGTGCCATCTTTGCTACCTGTACACCTGGAAAAAGCTAGTCCTCAATCTACCCTTTACAGTGCTGCAGCACCTGCCAGAGCTCTGGCAGGTATTCTGTTATGAATAGTTGTGATCTATTAAATATTGTGTGTTGATTAGTAGAATGGCTTTAAACCGCCACCTACTTTAATTTGCTTACACGACTACCTCAAGAGTTATTAAAAGCCCGCTGCCCTGTGCTGCAGATTCAAGATAAAATTTGTGACAAAAGGCTATTAGATATTAAGTGTATACTAAACAAACTGTGATATGAAAGGATATTTCCATGCTGGGAAGCCACTAGATCCATAACCCTTTTCAGATGGAATGGTCAGTTTAGCTACTTCTCCTTTTTGCATTGTCAAGCAGCCCTCATCCCAACCTAATCACAAATAAATATACACAAAAATAAAGCACTGAACAAGAAAAATAATTTTATAATTTAATTCAATTTGATAAACTGATACCCATAGTTCAAACAGGGTCCTCAGTGGGGAGGCCAGTCTTCAATCCTGCCATCCTGACCAAAATTATTTTTGGCCAATGTCATAATTCCAGTCTTGGATACTGAAAAACCTATCAGGCACCCTATCTAGTCACCTCAATTCAAAATTAGGTGAGAGAATTATAGCAGCTGAACCAGGGATGGAATGCTATGTTGGCAGCAGTAAGTATCTCCCTATGTCCTAGTGTTGACTATACTAGTACAGTTAACTTTCTCGAAAGAGACCACCCTTGGCGCACACGAAAGTGGTCGCTAAAGGGAGATGGTCGTCTACGGGAAAAATCAAGAAAAAAAATGCTCAAACTAGATTGATTAATGTGAGCACATAAAGTTATTACCTAACAAGCTAAAACTTAGGCAAACAGACAACTGGCAATACTGATTCACGTTGAATAGTGCTTGGAACTGTTGAAATTTTGTACATAATATTTTACATCAACGTGACAATCCAACTTTCTCCCTACAGGCTGTATTACAGTCATCTTTTTTGTAAGTCAACTGCTATAATTGCCTTTAAAAACCGAACTTTTGTGACATTCGAGCAATGGTTTTCTTACAATCATACATGACCATGCCAGGTGGTCGCTTATGAGAAACAGAAAACAACAGAATATGTCAAATTTCTGGTTTAAGAAGTGGTTGTGATCTTATGAGAAATTTTAAGTAGTGGTCACTTACAGGAGAGTCTTTAAAACAGTATTTGACCGAGAAACAAAATGGTTCTTTTCAAAGTGGTCGCTTACTATCAGAGAGTTGAATGTATCTAATTTCTCCTCATTGTGTGCAACACTAACCTTTAATCACTTTTCCTAAACCAACTTGGAAGGAAAACGGCTTTTGGCCTGGATCTTTTGTGCTTAAAATAGAATAGAACAAAAACACATCAGTAAAGAAAAGTAAGAAATAGTGGAAATAGTACTGGAAGAACATGTAATTAGAGATAGCTAGAATTGACTTGACATGAACTGGGTTTAACTGTTACACATGAGAAGTTGCAGTTTTCAGGTTTGAAGTACCTTATATTGGTACTTGATTTCATGGGTCTAGAATTTTGCCTTTTTCATGATAGTAAAAAATCATGTAATTTTAGACCCGCGAACATAAATCCTCACAAAATTTAAACTCACAAAATTTAATACCCCTGTAGAAAATTCAAATAATTAATATGTAATAACAACAACACATCTGGTAAAGGATATGTGTTGACAACTACACTAATATTTTTTTTATTAACAGGTTTTACTGGTAAGTTCCATTTACTATCTCCTGTATAGCATACAATAATTTGAGAAAACTTTCAGTTTACCTTAAAACTATAAAAACTGAAAAGTTCACACTTTTTGGGAAACTAATACGAAGTTGGGAATGTAATCATGAAATTTAATGTCCTTTTTGGTATTTGCATATCGAAATTACAAAAACAGAACCCCCTTGCTGAAATCATGAATTAAGTACCAGTTAAATTAAGTTCCAAAAAGGTAATTACTACTGAGTTATTTGTTTCATCCTATGGTCAGCCTTCCGTGTTAACAGAGTAATGGGAAACATTACATTTTTCTAACACTGCAAAGTCATGAATGAGTGAAAAAACAAACAAACAAACAAACAAACAAACAAAGATCAGACCATATCAGATAGCAACAAGATATTTAAAGTCAGCTTTAGAGACTCCTCTCAGAATCTATTTCTGATTTCAATCGTCCAAACAAAGCATCAGCTTCACGTCAGATGGCGCAAATCAAAAGGATCAAGTGTGAACCCATTGCTCAGTGAAACAAAAAGAGTGATGAGGATCAGTATAAAGTGGAATAATACAGTTACAGAGGGGGGCCAGGAGACTAGCCAGCTTTGAAAGGCTCTAGAACACCGGTTTTCCTGAGAATTCATATGAGAGATCGGTATAGAAATTTAAAGGCTTATAGCCTACATGTAGCCACACCCTCTCCATTTTTCCTTTATCAGGGGGAGGGAGCGGCTACACATAGGCTAAAAGGCTTACTGTAATTTGCAAAACAAAAGGAAACAAAATGAAATGAAAAATATCTGTACTTTGTAAAATATCTAATTTGCAAATGAAAATCTGTACTTCACAAATTACAATAGGCATTTTAAACACAGTTTTAGACAGAACGGGGGGCTACAGCTCCTTGGTCCCAGCTCTATCAAAAGCAGCCCATGTGACAGTGATTAAGTACTCCTCCGACAGCTACCAGCCCCTGGTAGAACAGTGCTGTCTACTCTCCCAGATAATCGGGGAGACTCCAGATTTTGGACCATATCTCCCGGTCTCCAGATTAGAGTCTGATATCTCCCAAATAATTGCCAAAGCTGTTACTTTTTGTAGACTTGACTTTCCGATCATAAAATTTCAAATATTTTGTGTTGTTATGTTCCTAGACTTCCACTCAACTAAACAGGGACTGCCATTGGTTGATTCTTGGTCATGTGGCCTTGACTAAAATCAAATGTATCCCTATTGCGATACATTAAGCAATGTACCCCGCTCAGGCTACATTAAAGCACATGATCAAAGCATGGTGGAGTGACAGAAGGAGGGCAAAACACTGCCAGTTTTGTTTCTCGTGAATGAACACAACAACTTGAACACAAACACGAAGCCTCAAGCTAAAAAGCAACGATTTTTAAAGTCATCCCAGAAGAGAAATAGCAGCTAGTAGAGCAAAAAGATGCAGACAATATAAGGAAAGTACTTCGTAAATCATTCATTCAGTAGTTTTAGGAATTAAATTTGTGTTGTTATAAGTACCGAGTCGACTGTTTTGGTTCGCTCTGGTTATTCTTTTGTTGCTGTTGAAGTGAAAGTCTAGAAATTTAACAAAACACTTAACGTCAAGTCCCTCGGGAAACCAGTTAGTTTTGTTTTCCCGAGACCTGATGTTTCCCAAGACGATTCTAATGGCTACATTGTTTCGTATGGATAACAAGGCGAGAAAAAGAAAAAAATACTTTCACATGCATGACATGCATGCACGCGAAATCAGGCGTGCGATGCTAATGCATTCATAGCAAAATCAATACCTCCAAAACTTTTTGGGTGGATTGGTATTTAAAGATCCAGTGCAGTGAACCGTTATCGTAGATCCTTTTGAGGGACAAGGACCATTTCCTGGTCTGAGAACTTCTTTCTGTACGTCTCGCGCCGCCATCTTGCCTCCTTGATCATACAGATCTCTCTGTCGTGAGGACTGGGCTTCCTGCCAGCCGTGGAGTGCCGGGGAGGAGACTAAGACGGGGCCCCTTTCCTCGCGATAAACAACAAATCTGTGGGAATTTGCATCTTGCGTGGCTCCCGTGAAATCGCCAAGCGAAGAGTGAAATATTGCATTGTCGCAGAGAAGTTCAAAATGGTGAACCATTTCACAAGTTTCGCGATGAACAAATGGCCAAACTACTGCCCAGAAACATAGCAAAAACAGCAAGATAAAACTCGACGAATGAGATTTGCGATGTGTAGAAAACTGCTGGGCTATAATACATCCCTTTCTATCGTGAACTTGCCTAGAAACAAGCAAATGAAGACGGAAAACTTAAAATCGATCGGGGTTAATACAGCATGTTTTAGCTTGTTTCTAAACTAGGGATTACTTTGAATGAATTATAGAAGTATTATTGGATTCGGCTCTCGTATGATCCGAAGAATTATGGTGATCTTGGAGTGGACCGATAACACCCTCTTCGATCTCCATAATTCTTCATATCCGTACTCTGCCTGGTACTCTGCATAGCCTCCCACGCAGGCGTTTTTAGGGGAGCTCGTATTTCTTCCCTCCCCACAGGGGAGGGAAGAAATACGAGCTCCCCTAAAAACGCCTGCGTGGGAGGCTATACTCTGCAAAGTTCTTCGCTTCTCATTTCCGGTTTCGGTATTTGGCCCCAGCCCTCTCGCTTGCTTATTTGAGCCCGACTTGAAGGCAAGTCTACAGACGGATCTAAACTTCTGGTCAAGTCCAGGGTTAGCTTGACTTTTTCTATGCAGGCTATACTCAGCCCAGATAACTGCTAATTATTCATTCAAAATATTTGGCCGTTTCTGGTTGGCTTTAATCCTCCGGCTCAGTTCTAACTGGCGTTGACCAAATTTGGCAGATGCGATCAATATATAGGCTCGATGTCCGCTAGGCTCGATTTCCGCCGTCTCCCGGGTCCGGTTCCTGAACAGCGGCTGTTAATCTAATCAATATACCAGCGATACGATTTGGAAAGCCAAACTGTTTTGGCATGGTAAATTTATACCTGCCAATCATTTCTGAGTCAAATGCGTGAGGTTTTCGTCTGCTCATGTCCGGAATTTCCGAACATTCCCGACGATTTTCCGAAGACTTCCGAACGTTGCCAAAAATGTCCGAAGATGATCCGACGACCTTTTCAATGACGACATTTTATTGTGTTGTGATAAAGTTAAGCGACGTTTTGGATTATTTTCGGGAATATTGAATTTAGTGATCGTTATTAATCATGTGTTCAAGAACAATTCGTCCGAATTTGTGAGACGGCGTGAGAAATTGTCTTTGATGCGTGAGACTCACGCATAATGCGTTGGCAGGTATATAAACTCAAGAAAAGGACGAAAGAGTTTATGGATATCTGAAGACCAAATAATCGAATTGCAGTCTAAAACTGATATTGTTCCGTGGATGTCGCTTGGAAGTAGTGTTCTTTCTTGCACCCACCACTTCAAAGCGTCTGCTACGCAGGCTACTCAACTAGGAATACTTTGCGCTCTGTAGCTGTGGTGTCAGTAACAGAGGATAACTAAAATATGTTGTTGCAAAGGAGCTTTTGTGAGTGCCGGTCCTGGTTTCATTCTGGTATCTTCTTGAGCGATCGATCACGAGGCCATTATTAGATTTTTCTGCCAACATCTCAGACTTGTGCTCTAGATATCGGTATTAACCAAACCGGTGTTTTTTTTAATCTCTGACATTTTCTCAGTATTTCAGGTATTTGTTGGAAGGCAATGCGGAGACCCTGTCACAAATTTTTCAAAATTGCTGCAAGATATTGTGGTTCGTTGAAAGGTGTTTCATAAGATCGTCTCAACATTTCTTTCGACAACTTTCTTTGACAACTTTTGTGAACATGCGCAAGAGTGCAATTCATCTACATGACTTGGTTTTGAGGTATAGTAAGAAGTAGACAATTCAAGCTACTCAAAAACAAACGTAGAATCAGTCAGCCAGCAGAAGAAATCGATCTACTCATCTCCGGAAGTCATCTGAGCAGAAAACGTAGTCACTGTCATTTCTTTATAAGTGACACCAGGCTTTATTGTTTTTCTTCCAGATTAAGATCAGATTCCATAATTTCATTCTTCCCAGAATTATTTATGTGACCACAAATATAGTTCGTTTAGGAGTTGCTGGCCGTTTATTTGATTTTAAAAGTTCATGCATCCTGGCCTCCAATTAGGTGTTTTAAGAACTGGTTACATCACCGGACCTCTCCCGTTTGTGCCAGTCTTGGCACAAAAGACCTCCACAGAGTGTTTTTACTTTTCTTGGCTAGTTGCTGTGGTCCTCCCTTCGTTCCGTGGTTCTACATGGTAACCAGGTATAATAGGGAGCTTAAGCAGCAACGTTTTTGAGCGACGCACGTCAACCGGAAGTGGCCTTTTTTCATTTTTTGACGGTGGTTTCCCGCAAATTTTCAGTCAAATCGCCTCTATAACAGTAAAGAAGCTAAGGAATACAAATTTTATATCATCAAGGCATGTTAAGAGGGAAAATATCTCACTTCCGGTTGACGTGCGTCGCTCAAAAACGTCGCTGCTTAAGCTCCCTAATGATTGCGCTCGTGTACACAAGCGCGTGCTTCCGTTAACTGTTTTGTTTGCATACGAGCGCAAAGAAACAAGAATTCGTTTAGACTGTTGCAGTGAAAGAACACGCTAAACTGGAGCTTCTTTTAGCTTTTTACTAACAATGCAAAGTTTTTCCTCGTGGATTCAGGGACAAGTTGACTATCATTGTCATGTGCATCTTGCTCTGCTCTAACGTTTGCTTAAGTGCCTTTAAATAGAAGGAAACAAATTCCTCCACTAAAATGGAAGGCGGAGATCAAGGGAGAAGAAAGCCCAGTGAAACAGAGCATGAGCTGAACTCTGGTATGGCCGTTTTTAACAATTCCCATGTCTGGTTCTCAACTATGAACCAGCACGAATTACAAGAGCTTTTAGTTGCTGCTAAACAAGAAGTTGCCTTTTCCTATAGCCAAGAACTTTCCGTTGCGTTGGATAGCAGTACAGCTAGCGGTGTTCCTCCAGTTCATGAGCTGTTTTGTGGATTTATTGGTAGTTATCGATACGTCGTGACTTCTCCCACAAGAAAAAGAGAAACACTTTTGCCAGTCGCAGAACCACAATTGCTCTCCGAAGAACATGACTGCAGTATTGGTGCTGGGGAGATACCTGTTCAAGAGAACTGGAGAAATTTAAAGCGCAACAAAAATGCAGTAAACACAGTTAAATCGGATGATGATACGCTAGACTGGAGTGAGATTGAGTATATTTTAGACCATTGCAGTTAAATTCGTACAGTAAACACGTGTGACTCACTTAAAAAAAAAAACATTTCCCTCCATTATTATGTGTGAAGTGATACCAATCCTAAACTACGCTCATCTAACTGTGTTAAATATTTTTTTTCCCGTTTTATATAAGATCGAAGCCTATTTAATTGTAACATGGTGGACTATATCGAAGAGAAAGTCAAGTCTTTAGTTTTGCTCCTAATAACAAAAAATCACAAACTTAAATCTCAAAATTGTTACCTCGTTTCTCTTGTCCTCATCAAGCTGTTCGGAAAGCTTCTCAGTAATAACGTCACCAAATAGACAAAGTCACTTCGCCGTATTGAGGCGTGCTTGTCACAGAGCCGGATGTTAAATAAACTGAGCTGTTCTTATAGAAGTACCCGTAAGGATACTTTTTCGACACACCGTATACCTGACTGTGAAATAGTGAGGCATCTGACTTGAAAACAAGGCCAAGCTATGTGCTTTAACCCTTAAAAAATCTCAAAAAAGAACTACTTGCAAATTGCACTGAGAAAGGGAAGAGTATAAAATGGGGTGAGTATCCGACCTTCCTCAGGGGTCAGGGAAGAGGTGATTTAACTTAAGGACGAACAGGGGAGGGAAGAACAGAGAGAGGACTAGGCATTTCTCTCTCTTTGCTCTCTCTCCTCTTTTCGCTTCTCTCTCTTCTCTTTTCCCAGAAACGACTGATGCTCACGCTGGACAAAAAAAGGCAGAGAAAGGCTATGGGGAGGAGGAGATAAAGAGAATGGTTGCAGTTTTAGTTTTGAGAATAAGCAAGATGAAACTTTTTTGAACGCAAAACGAAAATCGATGAGAAACTAGCCTGCGTCGCAAACACGCTAGGCTGCCTGTATAGAGCGTCTAAACTAAACTAATGGCCCGTCTAGGTTTTGGTAGATTGTGCGAGCATACATGATTTTTGGCATAATTCGTCATTACGAGCATAATTTTCATCTCTTTTCTAAAAAAGCACTGCTAGCATAATTTGCCCTTTTGGCTAGTTTTGTTTCACAAAATTGTGATTTATTGATCATGAAACCAATTTTTTTGTCCCGAGATCACTCTTAAAGGCAAATTTAAGTAACAAGATCATTTTTTTGTCTGCCTATTGTCACATTCATGGGACCTCTGTTCGTTCATGGGACCTCTGACCCAAGACTCTTTCCGCAGGACTCAACGCATGCGCATTACTTGCTCGGTTACCCAAGATGGCGTCCGCGTCTGGTCGTTTATTGTTTGAGTTTTAGGTGTCAGACAATGAATTATGCACTCTTGAGGCTTCTCTGATGTAAATAGGGTAGATATTTGTGTCATTTACTTGTTTGTTGCATAATTATTGAGGCGTTTTTACCAAATTTGAAGTAAAAAGACTTAAAGTATTAACATAATTTCTGCTTGGGGGTGGGTGGGGGTAATCCCCTATAAAGGTGACGGAGGTGCTCGTCGGAAAACTTCGAAAACACCCCTAAAAGGTACCAGAATCTTGTTTTATTGGCGTGTCCAAATTCATTTCCCCTCCTAAGAGGTACCAATTAAACAACAACAAATTAAATGACTGGCACTGCAAATTTTAATAATAATGAAGATAGCTTTCGAACCGCCTTCTGCTCAAGGACTTTTTGATAGTATTGTCATAAATTTCACCGAGACAACTCTGGCAGCAGTCATTTTAGGTTTTAGCACCCTAAGGAGCACCAATCCACAAATTTAAACCCCTAAAAGGTACGACGAGCATCCCTGTCACTTTTATAGGGGAGTATCCTCCCTGGAATTTCTGCTGTGAGCTGTAATTTACAAAACTAGCATAAATATCGACATAATTTTTAAAATGTACGAGCTCTGCTAGTAGCATATTATGCTACTTTTGTGAGCACAATCTATCAAAGCCTAGGCCGGTCTAGACCATGCCTGAACCGACTGCAACGCGGGCTGTAAGGAACAGGCTTCAGCGTTGGCGCCTTTGTGCAAATCTAGTAAAAAAAATAATAATAATAAAAAAAACAACAGAACAATGCTGTATTGGCAAACAGGACTTCGAGAGATACTTAAAGCCGTTTAAAAGGTCTATATTACACATAGCGCAACTCTTGAAAAAAAAAAAAAACTGGCTGGATTTGTAAAACAAATTGCAGGGTAACCTGGGTACCAGAGGTTTTTTCTCGCTTGTGAAGAGGAGCTTCGTCGGTCGCATGCCGACACGTCTTGACTTGATCGAAACCGGAAACCGCGCTTGAAACACGTCTGTTACGCAGTGTAGGAGGAGGATGGGTGGTCCGACAAGAAAAAGTAAGAGGAGATTACAACTGCCATGGTCCTATCTCCATCAGATTTGTGATTCCGCCGTAAACATAATTATCATTCAATGATAGAATGATTCATTACAAACGTCAAACATACTCAAGTCGCTTGCGTAGCTGCCGGTTTTTGTGGTGTTTTTTTCTTTTGTGGTTCGCAAAGTAAGAGTTACAGCCGCCCGAAAGTTGAACCGAGGTCGAAACAGAACACGATCGGGGAGGGGGCGAGGGGAGAAGGCGCTGCTGAATCTCTTACTTTTAACCACAAAAGAAAAAAGCACACCAAAGAATCCACCAGCGACGCAGGCTAATACTCAACAAAGAGCCAACACGATTCACTTTAAGTTATGTTTCTTTTCACGCAATACGTGCCTATGTTTTCATGTCCAGTCCTCTGCTCTGGTCGCCAGTTTTCTCTCGTTACCAGGGAAGCAACCTGGGGAAGCAACTAGCCTGCGTAGCAAGCGTTTCCAATCGAGTTATTGCGCAAAGTTAGAGCGAAAGCAACAGAATCTCTTAGTTGACATGAGCGCGGCAAGTTCTTCTTCACTGCCACCTTTAGAGGACAGATTTTCTGTCATTCTTTCGAGATTAGACAGGATTGAAAGTTCTCTGAAGTGTCTTGAAGATATAAAGAAAGTTTTGGTTGAAATAGAAGGCAACACTCATCCGAACAGCGATGGAAAAAGTGTTTATCGGAAAATCGTGCCTGAGAAGGTAAGATCCCGAGTACCGCGTACGATTAGAAGATTAACATTTCTTAGAGCCTATAGTAATTGGTCTTTTGCAACTTCTTGTTAAAGAGGGGGCTTAGGTTTCTTAAAGGCTTTGATTCATGTTCTTATACTGTGACCTTGCATACATGCATGCCGCGGGGGGTGGGGATACTTCGACCTTTAATACAAGAGGCTAATGGGGATGTGACGCTGGATGGGTTCGCATTTTCGCGAGTGGATTGACTATAATGGGGTCGCACATTTTCGGATTTTTGGGGTAAGGCAGTTCTTCATATTTATGGTTAGCAAATGTACCAGAATGTTTATGCTGCAGATGAAAAGTAAAGTGTTCTTCATTCATTATCCAAAAAATGGATCAATTAATAAAAATAGAAGGTGACTGAGTTGGAATCGCAAAAATTACGATTGGTGTGTGGGTTGGGACCTGCCTTGTTCTATTAAAGACATCCCAATTAAGTGTTTGTTGGACGACGTGACTGCCAGTGATCAAGGAGTATCAGGCAATGGACCATGAGTGTTGGTGCAAAGGTCACTGGGAAGGGTGGGTGAGAAAAGTCAAGATCCCCTGCGTGAAACCAAAATTGCTCCACTTGCTCTTGATTACGAATCTGCTAGAACACACCTGGATACGATTAAGAGACAGTGTCTGGCCTCTATCAATCAATCAATCAATCAATCAATCAATTGTTTATTTACCCACGTAACGTCTAGTGAGCTAAAAACTCATTTAAAATATGTATGTGCTAAAAATAAATAAATTGTTATTGGCAATGTAGTTACGTATGCATTTCAAAACGATAATTGTAGTTAGTTGCTCTGCATCATCCTGCTTAATTTTACAAACAAAATAAAAAATGAATAGATAAAAATAAGCCCCTTCTGTCATTTAACTGATATATAAGGATATTAAGGGTAAAGGGTAAGATATATACATGGCTGCCAAGAAAAAAAATCAAAAATAACTACAGTCTCAAGCAATTGAAACAGACCACCTTGCAAAGTGTGAAATGTTTGAAATGAATACCAGTCTGTGCTTAACTGGGAATTCAATATTAAATTTAATCCATATTATTAAAGAAACTACAGTGTAAATGTATTGAGTGATTAACTTTGATAATTTTTGTTATGGAAGTGTTTAATGGACAATTTTTTTTTCATGGGTTCAGTTTCTGAACAAAATTGAATATCACTAAGTCTTGTTTGATGGCATATTTTTCCCTTTACTAGGTCACTGTAGGAATACGAGCTAGTATCATATCAGTTGGTGATATTGACACTGTTGGACAGCAATTTAAATGTGATTTTTATCTTTCTGCATGTTGGCCAGAGCCACAACTCCAAGGACGAAGTTCAACAGAGGTAAACTTTTTAAACTAGGGTTCACACAGTCTTGAAAAGTCTTTGAATTATTGTAGGGAACTGTAGGGGAGGTCCTTGAAAAGTCCTTGAATTTTCTTCAACTTTGAATAGTGGCCTGGAAAGTGTTTTTAAATGCGGCTTTTTGGATGTCCAAGACAGGGTATAAATCATAGCTCAGAGAAGTTAATGGTAATTTCCATCAAGCATTTTTTGTGTTATACAACAGTTATCAATTTGAGACAAGTTAACTGAAAAATGTAGAGAAGTTGGTGGAGCAAGCAGTTCAAGCCTTTAAAGTCCTATAGAATGGAGTGCGAATAGTGTGCATTTTTATAAAATCTGTGAAATTACATTCCTGGTAGGCGGTCCTTGAAAATCGAATGTGGTCCTTAAAAATTCCTTTAAAATGGATGCAATTTTTTATATGAACCCTGTTAATTAATGTGACTGCAGCGCTGCGCAGTCAGCGGTATGTTGTAAAAGCTTAGCAGCCGCACCAGATTTTAGTAAGCGGCCGCCATGTTAGCCCTTTCTCGTGTTGTTCAAGTTTTTGGATAGTTATCGCCATCCATCGGACATTATACGGCCTAAACGGTAAGAACTGTTAAAAGAACATTTTACGGAAAATCCCAAGAGAGTATTTCACACGACATTTTGAAGTTTAGTACTTACGAATCACGTATTTAGCCTATCATGTATTTGTCATGTCAGATTGTTATCTCGGGACTCAGGATCCAAGAACTAAGGAGTAAAAAGAATGTGTTGTACCGAGGACCTGTGAATAAACTACGTTTGGGACGTTCGTGTTGATTGTTAGCAACTCCTCTTGTTGTATGTACTACGGGAGGCCAGCCACAATTAAACTTTTTTTATCTTTATTACTTGACTGAATTATCATGCCTCAACCTTAATAACTACTTCACTGCCTTCAACGTCTAAGAAAAAAAATGTGATCATTTTTTTGTTTTTCAGGATATAGATTGGAACAACGAGTGGCATCCAAGGATTGTGTTTTTTAATGCCTTAGAGATTGAAAAAATGCAGAAAAATCATTTTTTGTTTTATGAAGAAGGCAATCCAATACCATTTGCTCTTGAAACATATAGAATAAAAGGAAGTTTCAGAGAAAACTTGGAGTTGTGGGATTTTCCTCTAGATTATCAGGTTTGGAAAGTTTTCAATAAATATTATTAGTTTTGTATTTGTTTATTCAAAAAATTAGGTTCTGAGTAATTCTGTTATTTTGGTTCCTTTTTTTAGTCCTTAGTGTAAAAATTTCCACAAATATTTTTACATATCTTTCTTACTTAAAAATGACTAGGTAACATCTGCCACATCTACCTTCCCAAAAGTAGTAATGTGGGTTAATGAGGCTCTCTAAGCTGAAAATCTTCCTGTTTTCAGTAGCATTAATGAAGCACCTAGGGGCTGGTTGTTTATTACTTGTGGTGGGGAGGTGGAGGGGTTGGGGGGCTGGCCATTTTGAGAAGGCATGCTAGATGATTTTCAAACTGACTCCCCACTTCATCCTAGCTTTTTAGAAATGACCCCCCATAAATTTCGCAGTTTGTGAACCAGTACACCTGGTTGGAGCAGACTACATAGACTAGGTAGGATGAGGTAATGTAATGATAGGGTGACATCACCCAGACTACAGAGTCTGGCAGGTTATTCTTGGGACCTGGAATTTGACTGATATACAGTGTGGGATTCAGGAAAATGCAAAATGTCTTTTGGGATGTGGTATTTGACTGCTATACTCAGAAAGCAGTATTTGCCAAAATCTTGGCACGGGATACTTTAGTGGGAAACAAAATGGTATTTAGGGTAGAGATAGAGATGAAAGAAGTTTGAGATGCAGAGTTGTCGTGAAAAAGGAGTAGGAAAGCTGGTTCAGGGCCCCCCAGTCCAGGCCATAAGACTTGTACAGATCTGAAGCCTGATGTGTCTCTATCAGGCCACCACATCTCCAGTTCCCAAGAGCAAATAAAGATATTTTTAATAGTTATTTGGGTCAGTTGTGATCACCTCAAGCTGAAAATTGACGTATCCTTAGCTTATATTTCAACATGATTTCGGCACTTTTTTATTATATTCACCAGTATAGTCTTAGGTTAGGGTGGGAGCTCATGTGATTGACGTCACTTTTAATGCGGCTTAATAACTATCATTTTTGCAACATTATATATTGAGTGGCTGTATATTTTTTTGTGGTAAATAAATAAACTGAAACTGAAATAGAGGATATTACATGGCTGCTTGGGGATATGAATTTTCTCTTCTCGTGCTGAAAGTGTCTCTCACGAGTGAGCGAAGTGAACAAGTGAGAGATACTTTCAGCACTCAAAAATAAAAAATAATATTATTCGTATCCCCAAGTGGCCATGTAATGTTCTGTTTATTTTATAGATACTGATGAAATTCCTACATAAAACACAACTTTTTTTTATTCATTTTTGAAACAGCAGAATATTGTAATTAAAGTGGTCACCTATTGCAAAATGCCTGTCACAAAAATGTTATGAAACTCGGATATAAAGTTGTAAAGGAGAAATAAAGAAAATAATAATTATATTTTCTGTTCCAAAAAGTCAAAATTAATGTTAGTAACCATGGCGATGCCAATATCCTCACACATGAAAGATAAAAAAAGTATCTTCACTATGCACGATGAAGATGTGATTTTTTAGTAAAAGGAAAAATCTTGGTACTTCATATATATCTATATAATAAACTGAAATTCATGCATAATCCCTGAGTTTTAGATGACAAAATATGTCACAAATTATATTTACATAATTACATAATAAAATTTGGTTCAAATGTTTGACTTTTGACAGGAATTGACCATAACACTCATGTCTGACTGGACAAATGCGATGGTTGAGTTTGAGAAGGATCTGAAAAAAGCAGATACAATCCGCCCTGAAACATTCACCGCTGATCAAGAGTGGTTCCTGTGCAGGCATGTGGTCACGGAAGCAACAAGTACAGTCAAAACAGAGGGGAGTAGTGCAAATGACTACCCTCTGTACCATATAAGGTGTCATGTCAAAAGAAAAAATGGATACTACCTTTGGAATATTGCCATGATCATAGTAAGGATATAAACAATTTTAATGCTTTTCCTTAGACCAAAAGCAAGTAACTGTATTTAATTGATTAAGCACCCAACCTAGAATAAGCGCCCACCCCCTACTGCACCTTACTGACAATTTTTGTGATGAGGTTGACACAGACTAATTCTAACTAAGTCTTTTGTCACAAGCCTGAAGGGCAGGGTGAGGGAATAATCTACAGCCATGTTAGTTTGTGACACAGTCATTTTAAACCCTTTTTTTTCTCTTTTTTCTTTTTCAGTTTCTTATTGATATCCTGTCATTCTGTTCATTTTCGGTGGATATATCCTCACCTTCAGATCGATTAAGTGTCACCCTTACCCTTCTTTTAACTGCTGTTGCTTTCAAGTTTGTTGTGTCACAGAGTTTACCAACTATTTCATATTTGACGTTATTGGTGAGTATTATTAATAGTGTTTCATCTACTTAATGGCAAGCCCTAGCAAGACTTCAGCTAGCATAGCTCTATAGGGGTCATTGGGACATGCAAAATGTCACACCAAGTTAAGGTTGGAGAAGAGGAAAATCCATTGCAGGGCAAAAAACCAGAGAAGTGTTTGGTAAAACCATTGGAGCAAGACTAGGAACAAAGAACAAAGTTAAATTCAACTCACATACGTGTATCAATGGCGTGTCAAAGAAGGGACCCATGCTGAACAGTTGGAAAGGTTGAGACCAGACTAAGAGTTACCCCTTGTCCTCCAGGTTGGGTGGCTGGGTGTAGAGCTAATGACCCTCCCCCATTAAAAACTAATCAAATTGTTACAGAATTAAACCAGAAGGGTTGATAGGTATAATATTTTTTTGGTGATTCTTTCAAGCACAGCGTTATAGCACTTCAAAAAGTTTGCCCAACTTTAATCCAGTGTCCTTCCTTGCGATCTGTAGCAACACACAACGGGAAACAAAAATGCGTAAATATAGTCTTAATTTCAATTGATGCAAGTGAAAAAAAGCTTTTAAAAAAGAAAGCAGCTAGCATAGTATAGCCCCTTTAAACTTTAAACTGTTAGAAGAGACTTCATTAACCTCCAGTTGAAGTATTAAGCCAGCTGGGTTTTTAATGACGCGAAAGATGCTTGATATATTTTTATCTCATTTATATTTTGCAGGATAAATATGTTTTGTCTGGGCTTGTCTTTTTGGGCTTCATGGCAATTGAAAATGCAGTGGCTGCTGTTATTCCTCATTCAGATGCTCAAAGGCTGTTTGATAAAATTTGTCTTTATGTTGGTGTTGGCTGCTTCCTTTGCATCCATGTTGTGGCACTAACATTTGTCATTATTAAGGTAACAAATTATCTTTTATTGTTAATTGAAAATGTACTGTCCAAAATTAACATCATTCACTGATCATTATCAACAGACTAGAGTTTTTTTTATATCGGAGCGTTTTGCAGAAAAGCCTTCCTGCTATGTTAGCTTTGTGACTTAACTATTCCAATTTTAATCGAAGCCAAAGAAAAAAAACGCACACACACAGCGTGCAAAGAAAGTAGTGTCCGATAGCCTGGGGCTAGTGGATTTTGCTATCAGGCTAGTGAATTCTGTTCTTAACTTGCCCAACGCGCAAGTGAAGTTTGTTGTGGAATTCAAATCAAAGAACTGTGAGATCAATAGAGACCTTAAGATACCCCGATATCGGTGTACTGGTACGGGTAGTGTACCCGTACACGTAAAATGTTCATGTGCGTGACTATTTCGATTAAGATACCCGAAGAACAAGCACGCAAAATTAACTTTGTGCATGCATGTCGCTTAATGCATACAAAATCTCCCTCAAATTCTACACCTCATATCTTAACAACAAGCTGCAACAAATAATTAATTCATACATAAGCTTATTGAAATATCATAGAAAGATTTTAAGAAACTTGGCGGGAAGTCCCTCGACCGAAAGCTTGTTATCGCAAACCCCGCTATTTGATCTAGGCACATCACCAAACAATTCCTTTGATTGTCAACTTCAACAGTGACTCACATGCTAAATGTTTCAATGCTATTTCTTTTGCGAAACTCAAACGTTCCAGCAATTCTCAGAAATTCCCCCAAATACCGCCACAAATTGATATCGTGTCAGAGTTCAACCTGCGCATTTGAGTTCCAAAATCAATACATTTTGAAGCGCTTTCTTTACAGCTAAAATTCAAATTTGGCAAAAATATTTGAACAGACTTGCAATGACACTGCCAATGAGTCATACAATGTACATTTGTACTTAAAAAGTCTTAAAAACTTACTCGTTTCTCCATCATGTGGGACTTGCAGCTACTCGTAAATCTTCTACGGGTAAACTGGTGTCTACCCCGGAAAAACGGCTGGTTCTACCGGATAAGGTCGATGACGTCACCACAAAATGAAAAAAACATGGCGCTACCCGTTACCCGTACACCGATTTCGGGCTATCTTAAGGTCTCTATTTCTGCTCATCAAAACGTTTTTGGGGCTAGTCGAAATGACGTTTGGGCTAGTATATGCTAGCCTCAGCTTGCCCAAATGGCAAGCTGTAAAAATGACTTTTTTTTGCCCCCTGTACATACAAAACAAATTTCGTTCTTTCGTCCTAACAAGGAAGTAGTGCTATGGGAAGGTTTGGCCAGAGTCACTCATTTGAATGTGTCCCACCACAGGACTTCATACTTAAAAGATATAGTGACAATTCAAAGCCCCCCTCGGCTAGATCCTGCTGAGTGTTTCAGATCATCATACATAGGAGAGTAGGTGAACTCTCACAAAACCAGAACCTTTTATCGACTATTTCACAACCATAAAATGCATCTGTTAGCCCTTTTGGGACTTATTACTGACCTAAATGACAGATTTTCCTACCCCTATACTTCGACAAGTGAAATATATACCCTTTCATATGCCTGAATCCTGAAAAACGTACTTCTTTTGGGCGGAGCGTCTCCGTATAGGCCATTATACGGCTGTACCTCACCGGGAATTTCACTACCTCGATCCCTTCTTCTTGTGTTAAGCTTAGTTGATGAAGTTTATAAATGCGTTTGTCCGTCTCTTTCAGTCAAGAGCACGGAATCAAGCTCTTGCTAAAAGCACGAAAATGTTTAGGGTAAGTACTGTATGACTGGTACAACCTGCGATCATGCTCAATCGGGCGTTCTTCTCTTTCTGATATTTCTATTCCAGGCAAAAAGGACCGCCTGATCGCAGGTTACTGTTACTCGCTCCCCATATTTCTCTGGCGTAGAAGTTGTTAAATTTCTGATTTATTTGTGTAATACTTGGACCTGTTCACTCCTTCGAGTGAAAACTACTAATTCAAGAAAAAAGCACATTCGCAAAACACTGAAAACAAATAATGTCAGACGAGTTCTAGTGCAAGAGTCAAAGGTGTCCTGGGCGACTCCCCTCTCCAGCCTTTATGTCTTGCTTGCAGTTCTTGCATTTCTTAAGTCCCTCCCCCATGTCAACGCCTCATCACTATCATCTCCGCGCTCGCAGAACCAATTAAATTGGACCAATGACGTCGGAGATGTAAATTGCTTCTGTAGAACGAGTGGAAGGTATTATGCTAAAGTGGTTTTTGCATCATTTCAGGAGCGACAACAGATGGTTAACAATTATGCAATTGAAAGACAGAAGAAACTAGAGCTTAAACCAATCAACGAAGAAGAAACAGCACAGCAAAACCAACAGGTTGTGTTTGTGGAGCCTTCGGGAAAGAATTGATCAGTGTTGATCGTGTGAGTTTCGCTGTTTGCTGTCTACGTCTCTAACTACGTCCGATCCTACGATCCCGATCGAATCAGCGATGATAAAATCCATCATTATGATTTGTAAGCATCTGGTTCTATTCACTTGTATAGCCTTGCTGATGTCAGACGTTGGAGAATTACGTTGTTAACAGTCGAGCCCAATCGCTGACTAGATAATGGGAGATTCTGTTTTTCAGATGGTCAGCGGGGTATACCGAGACAAGTCTCCCCGCACTGTATTTATTCAACTCCTGTTTCCAAATTACTCAAATCGCTGCCACTAGCCGATGCAGTTGTCCCTTTCATAAACAGTCACTGTCATTTTTGAGACATTTAGAAAATTTTTGACCTGTTATTGAAAGTTTTTCTATTAAAAAGAAGGAAACTCGAAACCCAGGGTCGAACCTAGACCTCGAACCCGGACCTCTCGTATCCTAATTTCTCTCCCTTTTCACTACACTACCACACCGAACCGTCAAAATTCCGAAAAAATTAAGTACATACGCCAGCAGACTGTCTTTCTTAACTGTTACATCAATAACGGGTGACCCCAGCCCTTTCCATAATTTTGTAATGTAAATTCAACTTGGGCTTCACCTTCGTTCTTTCTAAGACTGTTCAAAAATGTATTATTCAGCCTTATTGTAACTTAATCCAGGGAACATATTACATTCATCATGACTAAAGGCTTGGTTACCAATGGTGGCATCGACCATTAAAAATGGCAACGACAGTTTCCCAAAAAAACAAAAACAAAAACGACAGTTTACAAAAGGGAAATAGGTGCAGCCGACATTACTTGTTTTCTTGAATAAAAGATTTTTTCAATTCAGTTATTTTAAACAGGAGCCCGTTTACTGTAAAAAACGAAAGCCAAAACTGTAAACTTTGCTTGTACTTCCCATCCAGACACAATCATTGTGTCTATTTATTTAAAAGTTGTATTTAAGAGACTTGTAAAAATGTCAAAGTGTGTTGCTTTTGCCATTTTTTCTGCATGTAGTGATTTCTGTTCGTATCCTTGTCCCGGCAAATACCCCAGTCAAACCTGCATAGTAACATAAATACTTCGCAAATATTGAATGAGGCTTAGTTTGACCTGATGATGCAGATCGAGGAAGGTGTTTTGCCGAAGCGGATAACATCTTCCGAGATTAAACTGCATAATTCTTGATGTCATATCAAAGCTGAATCCAACAGTTGTCTCATTATTCATTCAAATTGATTCTTTCTTTAAAAACATGTTTACCTCGATGTTACTTCCGCCTTCATTTGGCCCTTTCTTAGCCTACTATGCATGCTTAATAGATAGGGGAGTCGTATTTCCTCCCTCCCCTAAAAACGCCTTCGTAGGAGTCTACCCCTTCCTCGGCAAATTCAGGACATACACAGACAATGTTAAGTCGAACGGATACTCTTCAAATGGCAGTTGTCATGGGTGAATAATAAACGATTTTATTGAATAAATAATGAATGAATAGTAAACGATTTTATTGGTAGCGTATCCACAGTGCGACTGTTGATCTACCTGCAATACAATATACTGTACTCCGTTACAGAACTGCACCAAAATGACCAAGTAAAAGCCCCAACCGTTATGGTTTTCGTAGCTGCGCAAGAGCTATCCGGTCATGTTAGTGTAAACATAGCATAAAACATATTACAGTACAAGGTTATAAGATGCATGCACTGGCACGACATCGCAAAATAGATTACTTCTTGTGCGTCACAGGAGGAATTTTTTCCGCTCTTGTTTGTCCTGGGTATTTAATACTTGTTCTCAGATAAACAGATGCAGCACCATTTTATGCTGCTTGTACCATCGCTGAAAGAGCTTTGTATCAGGGTTGATACTTTTGTTAATGTAAGTGTTAAAATGAGTGTTAAAGCGACTGAACATACATGTGTGAAAGAATAGTTATACAAAAAAAGTAAGCTGCTGTAGTTTCACGATACAAACGTCTAACTCACAGCCAGGTGCAGTGACTAGACAGAATAAAGTCAGTTGATAAAGTGATGAACATGAAATTTAGAGTTTTGTTGGCTAAAAACTTTACACACTTTTCCTTTAAGTTTCGTTATTTTCACGGTGTTTCAGCAAGTGGTTTTATTAATTTATTGTTATTATTGTATTGTCGTTGCGGTTGTTCACACACTCGGATTCAAGCGTATTAAGCCCTACATGTTCAGTTCAAGTGCTGATATTTTAATAGACGAACGCAACAATCTCTCTTACATGGTTAAGGTCATCCAGAACCAGATAAACCGCTACAAAATATCACGCTTGCTTTCATTGTTGCACCGCCAGCTATTCTCATACTCGGGCATTTGGTTGCAGCAGCAGCCTGATCAGTCGCTGGCGGGAACACACTCTCTGGCTAGCTTGCATGCGGACCCGGAGGAAACGATATTTAGAGACTAATCCGGTTACACTCTGATAGCGAGTGTAGCTAAATGTCGTGGGTGTGGGTGTGGGTGTGGGTGTGGGTGAATGTCTTGGGTAAAAGAAAAAGTACAGAAAGAAAAAAGATAAAGTAATTGAAAAAAAGAAATAAATAGAACAAAATTGTAAAATATTTATGAAACGAAAATCTCCAACTCCTTGATTGCCTTTTTCGTCACGGCTTCTTCTTCATCCTCTTCCTGATATTTCCCAAGCTACAGTTGTACGTGGGACTTGGTTTCCCTTTCACAACATCACTATAAAACTCGCATGTTGCCGATGAAGATTTATCCATGCCTGAGCTATCGCCGCGAAATAAACGAAACTAACGTAAATTATACCTGCAGTTGGCAGAAGGTATGGAACAGCTCTGACTCGCTGAATGGATATTTGATCTACAATTCCAGTGATCAGCGGAAATTTTTTAACACGATGGAATGCGATCACCGTGAGAAGTCTGAGAAAGGGGAGGGGAAAAGGACAATTTTGAGGTATTTCATCTCTTACCTTACGAAGGAGCCATCTTCATTCAACATTTCAAGTTAAGGCGAGACTGTATGTAAATTTTATAGCCGTACTGAAATACAATTTTCTCGATTCTTTTTTGTTTTGTTGTGTGTACAAAATCTTTGCTGTAACGACTCGAAATATCATTCCCTAAAACTGAAAGGACATTTCAGTCACGAATGTTGACGTCTTTGAGAAAGAGCAGTTCAGTTTCTAGTTTTTCTCGGTATATGACATTTGCAGACTGCAGACCACAGATTGTAGATTGTAGAAAATCTTCCCAATAAAGGTGACGTCATCAAAAATATAACATTGTGTAAAAGTGAGAAAGTAGCCTGGGAACAAGTTTGATATTTTTGCGCAAAGTTACATTGGCCTCATTCCCAAAATACTGTTGGCTATTCTTCACCGACCCTTTATCAACCGGCATATCACTAATTGCGTTGATTCTTTATTCTTCTTTGATTATCGTGATAATGACATGTAGCAATGCCCACTAATGCCTGTCTAAATAGTAGTCTTCGGTAAAAAAAATTTTAGATTGCGAGAACTTCGTGCTCACTACAGTTACGTTGACAAAAACAACTAGGATAGATCAAGGACATTTAATGCCTTTTAAATGACGTATTTCATCTTAGTAGTATTTAGGGAACGAACAGATCCTACCTGGACTGAACGAATTACCAGAAGTGCATTTTGAATTTCTAAATAGGCAAATCATACCGCGTGTCTTTTGTGGGGCAAGAGTCCAAGTGTCAAGTTGATGTCTCGCAGAGAAAATAAAGGATTGGCCAAAACAAACCTCAAAAACATGGACAAAACCATGCAAGGAGCAGGGCTTAAAATCAGAGTGCGCGGATATTTTTCATCAGAACTTTCTCTGGTTGTTGCGGCATACTGACGCAGGAGCCCCAAAAAGGACGAAACAGCTGTCTATGGCTACAATCCCGCTCTGTTTTGAGTTCTTTCGGTGTCGTGTTGATGTCTTGCAGAGTTAATTTTCACGTAATACGATCAGCATTGCAGTATTCTGATTGCAGAATTTAATATGTCTACTATAAAATACGTTCATCAATGCTATGTTTAAGTGGTTTTGAACTATATTCTCGTTGGGTGCCCCTGTCCTAAGGATTCTACTGAAAAAAATCGAGGGCGATACAGGCGCTAGAAGACCTAGAACCACTTTTTAAAATTTTCTATACTGTAAGGAAGTCCCGCGAAAAATTACAGACAAATATATGGAATATCTAAAGCAAGCCTCTGGAGAAATTTAAGCACAGGTACGCCCCCCAAATTTTTTAGTACAATCCTTTGTTTTTAGCTTTAGTTTATAAGTCATAGTTTTTTTCAGAACAGCCATTTTACGGAAGTTATTCGACATTAGATTCTCATAAAAACACTGTAATTTCTCACACGTTTGCCTACTCGTCAAGATGGCGTCGAAAACCGTGACAAGTTCTATTAGGACATTTATCGGTTCGAATATGATCAAAACAACTACCTTATTATAGGAAATTAACGCTCCATGAAATTAACGCGAATCGTTAAAATTCGCGTTAATTTAAGTCACGTTAATTTTGTTGAGCGTTAATTTCCGCGACGTTAATTAAGTGCAGCGTTAATTTCCGCGCTCTTAATTTCTAGTATTTTAACCCCAATTTTGGAACCTGTCCAGACATTCTTGACACCTAAAAAACATAACTACAGGCTTTCTTTCATTCCATTTAGCCTTTATTTTTCATCTTTCACAAAAGGACCAAAAGCTAAGGCGAAGGTTTACAATATTTCGAGTCCATCTTCATCGCATGTCATCGGTGTCACTGTCAGAAGTGATGTCAATATCTTCTCCTTTGATTTCGGCCAAGATAATCGCGTTAATTTCCTTTTTATGAAATTCTACCTCCTCTTTCGCGTCAATTTTCTTTATTCGAAAGTCGTTTTCCTTAAAATTCGCGTTAATTTAATTCGCGTTAATTTCCAATACCTTAATTTCATGGAGCGTTAATTTCACCAGGTTGAAGTTGTCTGCCAATTCACTGCCAATTCGCCGGCTGCCAATTCGACTGGTTGAAGTTGTCTGCCAATTCAATTTAAGCGAGAAATATTCACATTATTTATCAGAACCAGTAAGAGAACTGTTACATTCGCCTTAAACAAGGTTTTTCAAACCCGTTCAGCTGTTCTGAATGACGAATTTTTGTTGCGTGACATCGCAATAGTGGAGTATTTGATCTTCATTTTTATTTAGTTTGATACAAGGTTTGCTACAGAATAACTTTTAATGCTGCATATTACCTGTCATTATTACAATTTTGTTATAATTTATACCGCATGTTTAGCTCATCTCAATGCCCATTACATCCATCTCAACACGTTTAGTACGAGAAAAAGCGTCACAAACATGGAACATTTATAACACTTGTAGCTTGTACGAAAGTTTCGAGTGTTGAATAACTTTTCACATGCAATTTCAATAATCAGTTAAATAATTTCATTGTAAACCTTACCGTATATTGAGCCCATCTCAATGTCTTTTACTCCCATCTCAACACGTTTACTGTGAGAAAAGGCAACACGAACAACGTATATTTACTAAGAATAGAAGCTTGTGTCAGCATTTCGGCATGGAATAACTTGTCACGTGACATTTCAGTTATTCCAAAAACAGTTTAAATGTAAACCTCACTGTACAATTAACTCGTCTCAATCCTCTTTAGACCCATCTCAACACGTTTACTGTGTCAAACGGAAGCACGAACAACGTACATTTACTATGACTTGACGCTCGTACGAGCCTTTCCGGTATGGAATAACTTGTCACGTGACATTTCCAGTTATTGCAAAAACAGTTTTAATGTAAACCTCACTGTACAATTAACTCATCTCAATGCCCTTCAGACCCATCTCAACACGCTAAGTGTTTGAAACGGAAACACGAACAGCGTATATTTACTAAGACTAGAAGCTGGTGTGAGCATTTCCTGTATGGAATAACTTGTCACCTGACATTTCAATTCTTACAAAAACAGTTTCAATGTAAACCTCACTGTACAATTAACTCATCTCAATGCCCTTTAGACCCATCTCAACACGTTTACTGTGTGAAATGGCAACACCAACAACGTATATTAACCTGGACTAACAGCTCGTGTGAGCATTTCCGGCATCGAATAACTTGTCACGTGACATTTCAGTTATTGCAAAAACAGTTTTAATGTAAACCTCACTGTACAATTAACTCATCTCAATGCCCTTTTGACCCATCTCAACACGTTTAGTGTTTGAAACGGAAACACGAACAGCGTATATTTACTATGACTTGACGATCGTACGAGCCTTTCCGGTATGGAATAACTTGTCACGTGACATTTCAGTTATTGCAAAAACAGTTTTAATGTAAACCTCACTGTACAATTAACTCATCTCAATGCCCTTTAGACCCATCTCAACGCGTTTACTGTGTGAAATGGCAACACCAACAACGTATATTTACCAAGACTAAAAGTTCGTGTGAGCATTTCCAGCATAGAATAACTTGTCACGTGACATTTCAGTTCATGCAAAAAGAGTTTTAATGTAAACCCCACTGTAGAATTAACTCATCTCAATGCCCTTTAGACCCATCTCAACACGTTTACTGTGTGAAATGGCAACACCAACAACGTATATTTACCAAGACTAAAAGCTCGTGTGAATCAGGAATCGGTTTGGGGGAAGAGCTCCCAACCAGTGCTCCATACGGGATTCACTGGCAAACGCTAATAGAGGAGCGAGACCAAAGAAGAGTGACCATCCGAAAACAGCAGGAGAAGGAAAGTAGAAAGTCGAAAAGAAAGCAGAAGACACCGAGAAAACTATGAAAAACTGTACCATACCACAATTAAAGCTGTGTTCTAAATGGCACTGAAAACATGCAGCCCTTCTCACAAAACCAGAAGCTTCTATCGACTATTTCACGGTCATAAAATGCATCTGTTAGCCCTTTTGAAACTTATTACCGACCTAAATGACAGATTTTCCTACCCCTGTACTTCAACAAGTGAAATATACCCTTTCATATACCTGAATCCTGAAAAACGTACCTCTTTTGGGCGGAGCCTCTCCGTATAGGCCATTAAACGGCTGTACCTCACCGGGAATTTTACTCCCTCGATCCTCAAATCTACTTCTTGGGTTAAGCTTAGTTGATGAAAGTTTATAAATACGTTTGTCGGTCTCTTTCAGTCAAGAGCACGGAATCAAGCTCTTGCTAAAAGTACGGAAATGTTTAGGGTAAGTACTGTATGAGTGTTGAAACCTGCGATCATGCTCAAAAAGGCGTTCTTCTCTTTCTGACATCTCTATTCCAAGCAGGGAAGGACCGCCTGATTGCAGGTTACTGTTACTCACGCCCCATATTTCTCTGGCACAGAAGTTGTTAAATTTCTGATTGATATGTGTAATACTTGGAGATATTTGCTTTTGCTATTGCTGATCATCAATAGGCCTTGACGTGTTCACTCCTTCGAGTGAAAACTCCCAACTCAAGAAAAAAGGACATTCGCAAAACACTGGAAACAAATATGTCAGACGAGTTCTAGTGAAAAGTCAAAGGTCTCCTGGGCGACTCCCCTCTCCCGCCTTTATGTCTCGCTTGCAGTTCTTGCAGGAAAGGTGTTCGGCCATTCGTACACGGATCCCTGCTTCTCAGATAAAATCCTAGACTGCAAAACGGTCCGTATTTTTGCGTATTCAAGTACGCGCGAACAGTCAAGCAAAAGGTCTGGAGCGAGGCTGAAAAAGGCGAGCGCGAGGGCGTGTGGCTGCTCTTACGCTACACTAAACCGATTTTGAGAAAAAAACCGACTATTTTAACAGTCTAATGAAATCCTTTTTCAACTGACGCCAATAGATATCAAGGGAATAATCTGATTTCTCTGACGGGGGTAAATAATACGCTGATAAACTGATTGTGATTTTAAGAGATGGTTTTTAAAAGTCGAAAAAAGGGCACCTTATCAGGAAAGTTCAATTTGCGCGCGAAACAAGAGAATTCAAATTTATTTACTAATTTCACAACAAGAACAAATATTAATTTGGATGCGTCACGCTTCGCTACTTTGCGCGCCTTAGTGGACAATCGAAATCATTGAATTTAGGAACAAATGGAAGGCAAATACGACCGCCTTTACTCTCCACGGTTGTGTACTTTTTTTAAGAATCTCATGTTGCTCTTATGTCTTTATCCTGTTTAATTTCTTCCACAGCACTTGCTGGTTCAAGGATTTCTTTTTTGACATTGCGACCCATGTCAACAAAAGAACTGAAGCATCATTAGCATAATTTTTTCTTGAACTATGACTTGTGCGAACCCTGCACTCAATTTTGTAAGCGGGCCAAGAGGATAAATGTAGCAAAAGGCATCCAAGGGCAACTATAAAAAATATCGCAGCTTCTTGAATATCAGTTTTGCCCACCCGTCAGAAAAATATGTTCCTGTTCCTGGTTCAGTTTGCCTTTCATTCCTTCCCTTAATAACGTCAAGCTCGGCTAAGCACTCTACAGCACTTGCAATGCTGGCTTGCATAAATTACTCTTTCACGCTTTATCTAAATCCTGGGCTAAACGGTCTTCGATCCTTTTTTTCTATAAGTTACTTGAATTTAAAGTCACAGCTGAAAAGTTTTCGAAAGGCTAAGCATTTACTGTTCCGGCAACATTGAACATACATACATCGTTGTCTCGATCTGGTCAGATCTAATAGAAGATACGGCACTGCACTTAATTCAGTTGCGTACTTTGCGCGCTCAAAATCCAGACTGAGGGAATGAAAGACATTTGACCCAGAATTGCATGCCTTAGAAATTCTTTTCGGAAACCTTCCGCATCAAATCTCGACTATCAACTTCAAGCTTTTTATGTGCAGTAAGTGGAAAAGAAAGTAAGTCAGTAGGGAAAGTTAATTCAATTTGCGCGCAAAGCCAACTGGAATTACTGCGGTCAATCAATGTCGGTCAATGCGATGCAGTGCTAGCTTGAAAAAATCGACTGTTATACAGACACTAAAGAAATATGAAATGTTATTGGCTTTTATAACAGTTGGTGGCTCCTAAAGGAGCCTTTGGTTTTGGCGGTAAACTCACTCAGTGAATTTACTTGCTGCTGGTGTACTTGGTCACAGCCTTGGTTCCTTCACTGACAGCGTGTTTTGCCAGTTCACCGGGCAGAAGCAGCCTGATGGCGGTCTGGATCTCGCGGGAGCTGATGGTTGATTTCTTGTTGTAGTGAGCAAGGCGGGAAGCTTCGGTGGCGATGCGCTCGAAGATGTCGTTGACGAACGAGTTCATGATGCCCATGGCTTTGCTGGAGATTCCAGTGTCAGGGTGAACCTGTTTCAACACCTTGTAGATGTAGATAGCATAACTTTCCTTTCTCTTTCCTCTCCTCTTCTTCTTGCTATCAACATTGGCCTTTTTGCCTGCTTTCTTTTCACCTTTCTTTCCAACTGGAGTTTTGGGAGCCATATTATCAAGATTGCTGCTGCAATGTAATGAATTATCGCGTCGACGATAGCGCTATTTATCTTATAGATAATTTATGCGCGGATCGAAATCCCGGTTGTTTGATTGGACGAAATGTTGCCTTTCTTTGCCTTGATTGTTTTCACTTAGTGGTAAAATTTGATTGGTGGCTTGCTATCCACCGCTACTTTAGTGTTCCACCGGACTGAATTTCAAAATTTTCGTTCGTTTTCTAGTAAAGGAAACGCTAATATTATATTGTGGATGTATTCCTTGACTTCTTTGGATGTAAGCAAATAGATTGTAAGAGTTCCATGGGAAGTTGCACCCTTAAATACTGCTGGCCCTTTGTTAGATAACCCGCTACTGAAATCAATCTAGATACAGTCTCTTCCTATGAAAATTATTTGAAATCTATTCTTGGTTCTGGGTCATACTGAGTCATTTCTTTCTTGACTTGAGGCCGTTGTCTCTTTGTAACAGTGATCACTGGTTTAAGGTTTCTTTTCTTCTTTTTCTGATATTGCGAACCGTTTCAACAAAAGAACTAAAAGAGTCAGGAAATTAGCATAATTTTCATTAGACTATGACAGTGTGAGCCTAAACACCCAAGCACATCAGCGTGCCAAACAAGGACAAATGCAGCGAATGGCATTCAGGGGCAATTTAAAAAACACAGCTACTTTAAGATCCTCTTTGCGCTCTCGTGAAAAGAAATTTGTTGCAGTTCGTCCTTCAATTTGCTTTTCATTCCTTTTTTAGCGTCACGCTTTGCACCGATGCGGCGCGCACCAAACGGCAATTTATTCTGGGCTTGCATAAATTACACTAACTCCATTTTCTTCGCCCATTGTCACGCTTTACTTAAACCCTGGCCTAGACGGTCGTCGGAACTATTTTTCTAAAGGTTGTTGAATTTGAAGTAAAAGCTGAAAGTCTTTTTTTTTTTTAAAGCTCAGCATTTTACGTAGATACATGCGTTGCCTAGGTCTAATAGAAGGGGACGTACGGGTTTGCGGTCTTGCGGTTTTACAAAACAAGCGTCTTGCGGTATTCACAAATTTTCGGGTAATTTCAACGCGGTTTTCTTATGTTATTTTGTGCGGTGTTTATACATATTTCTGTGCCGTTTTGCGGTATTCGTACCCCCCTCCTAATAGAAGACCCGATGCGGCTCATAATCTAGTTGCGTACTTTGCGCGCGCAAAACCCAAACTGAAAGAAAGAGAGAAATTTGGCTCAGAAGTGCCTTTGAAATTCCTTTTGGAAACCTGCCGCATTGTATTTTGAATATCGTGTTTAAGGTTTTGTAGTGAATTGTCGGGAAAACTTAGTTCAATTTGCGCGCAAAGCCAATTGGAATTATTGCGGTCAACCAAAAGGCGATTTTAAACTCAGTGTCGATCAATGTAATGCAGCGCGGGCTTGTGAAAATCGACTGTTGGATAGAAACTTTAGAAATACGAAATGATCATTGGCTTTTATAACAGTTGGTGGCTCCTAAAGGAGCCTTTGGTTTTGGCGGTAAACTCACTCAGTGAATTTACTTGCTGCTGGTGTACTTGGTCACAGCCTTGGTTCCTTCGCTGACAGCGTGTTTTGCCAGTTCCCCGGGTAGAAGCAACCTGATGGCGGTCTGGATCTCGCGTGAGCTGATGGTTGATTTCTTGTTGTAGTGAGCAAGGCGGGAAGCTTCGGTGGCGATGCGCTCGAAGATGTCGTTGACGAACGAGTTCATGATGCCCATGGCTTTGCTGGAGATTCCAGTGTCAGGGTGAACCTGTTTCAACACCTTGTAGATGTAGATAGCATAACTTTCCTTTCTCTTTCCTCTCCTCTTCTTCTTGCTATCAACATTGGCCTTTTTGCCTGCTTTCTTTTCACCTTTCTTTCCAACTGGAGTTTTGGGAGCCATATTATCAAGTTTGCTGCTGCAATGTAATGAATTGTCTCGTCGATGATAGCGCTATTTATCTTACAGATAATTTATGCGCGGATCGAAATCCCCGACTTTTGATTGGACAAAATGTTGACCCTCTTTTCCATAATTGTTGTGTTTCGGTGGTAAAATTCTCTTAGTGGCTTGCTATCCACCGCTACTTTCCATGACTTATGTTTTCCACCGGACTAAATTTCGAACTTTGCTTTCGTTTTCTAGTTAAAAAAGGTAATATGTTATGGGTGTCTTCCTTTACTTCTTTAGACTTGAACTATATTCCAGGCCGGATAGTTGATTACCCGTTAGTTGCCAGCCCAGGGTTAGGTGTTACCGTCTAGGAAATCAATCTAGGCAACATAATACGTCGGTCTACCTTGTCTCCGCACTTGAGCCTTCTTTTTAGCTCTCTGTCCGCGTAAGTGAGCCGGGAGCCGGCGAGGCCCAACAGAACAATGTCCGATTTACGCGATACGAATCTTAATTGCGCCGATCTCTCAACTAAAAAGAGCATCCTTAAATCGGGCCGTCAGAATTTTGAAATTGGGCCCATAAATGTGTACCCTGCGTTGCAGCCTGTGAAAGCATCGTCTAAACCATAGCCTGTTCAGATAGTGGGGAGCTTTTCGTCGCTCCTCATTATCTGAACGCCTACAACAGGCGATCTAGACCATTTTGTGTTGGTGTGTTTGTGAAGTGCACTAGACGACAGTGTTGGAAAATTATCGCTTCTTTGATTGGCTATTACGAGACTGCGCAGGAAAGGGTTCAAAATTCGTCCCCCAAAATAGACTCAAAATAGTCCCACACTGCAGTTCGGCACAACTTCTACCAAGGAAGAATGCCCAGTCTTACGTGGAGCCTCGACCTCACTCTAAATAGTGTAAACCTGCCTTTATCCATAGAACGAGTGGAAGGTATTATGCTAAAATGGTTTTTGCATCATTTCAGGAGCGACAACAGATGGTTAACAATTATGCAATTGAAAGACAGAAGAAACTAGAGCTTAAACCAATCAACGAAGAAGAAACACCACAAAAAAACCAACAGGTTGTGTTTGTAGAGCCTTCATGAAAGAATTGGTCAGTGTTGATCGTGGGAGTTTCGCTGTTTGCCGGCTACGTCTCTCGGCAACTACGTCCGATCTTACGATCCCGATCGAATCAGCGATGATAAAATCCGTCATTATGATTTGGAAGCATCTGGCTCTATCCACCTGTATAGCCTTGCTGATGTGGACCCTTCGTGCTTATATCTCAGACGTTGGAAAATTACGGTGTTCACAGTTGAGCCCAATCGCCAACTAGACTAGTTATAGCTATCGCTAAGTGCCAACAAGCAAAGATTTTACCTATAAGCGCGCGCTTTTTTAATTTATTAAGAAATGTCATGAATTACCTTAGTTTATGACAGTGCTTAGGCCCTGTGTACAAGAAGGGAGGGTAATCCTGGTGCTAGGGTTACCATAGTAAGAGGATTACCCTAGCACACGCACATTTCTTTTTTTTTTTTACACGACGTGTATACAAGGCAGGCAGGGTTACCCTACCGCTAGGGTAACCCTACCTGAGTGCTAGGGTTACCATAGCAAGAGGGTTACCCTACGTGCCTTGTAAACGCTCTGCAAGGGATAACTCGCCTACCCGGGACAACTTTCCTACGTTATGCGTGACCAGTAATTTTGACAATTTGAACGGAATTATCCAATTTCTGAGCTAAATTATAAACATCTGAACAATACAAGGTATTTTCTGTATACGGTGATAATATTTTCCCGTTTTGTCGTGAACTTAACGTGTTTTCCATAGAGAACTTCAAGTTTTATGTCAAGTGTTGGACGTTACAAACGATGTCACCCATGAGGAAACACGACAGTAAAGCTGGTAAAGTTGACCGGCAACCTCGTTCCCAGGGTTCTCTCCCACCCGCCCTACGGAGCGAGAGAGCTTGCTCCGTGGGGCGGGTAGGAGAGAACCCTGGGAACGAGGTTGGTTGACCGGGTGATAGGGTAACCCTTCCAGTGAAATTTGCTTGTAAACCAGAGCTAACCTGAACCCGCTTGGTAGGGTATCCCTAGCACAAAGGTAAACCCTCTCTCCTTGCAAACAGTCATTTACTGTCATGTAGCGCACTCATGCATGGAATCGTTCTTCGTTGAATGCCTCAACTAAGGACAACGGGGTTGAGTTGTCAAAAACCGGTTAACACTCAACTTGGGGTTAAAATGTAACGTAGGAGTTTCGAATAGTTAATTTCAAACTGTTTTATGGAAGCAACCTAACTTAAAATTTTGGAGGAAACGAATTAACGGGAGTCGTCATCATAAAGTTTTAAACGAAATTGAAAATCGGCAGTAGCCTATATAGGATTAGCTTAACCTTGTTTAGAACAAAGCGGCCTCGGATTAACAAATCAGATTAGTTCACGAATTAACACTTTATTCTATATTATACAGTGCAAAAAAATGACCAAATAAAAGCCCCAACCGACCTGGTTTTCGTACCGGCGCAAGAGCTATCCGGTCATGATAGTGTAAACATAGCATAAGACATATTACAGTAAAAGGTTATATGATACATGCACTGGCACGACATCGCAAAATAGATTACTTCTCGTGCGTCACACGAGGAATTTTTTCCGCTCTTGTTTAATTGGAGTATCGTGGGTATTTAATACTTGTTCTCAGATAAACAGATACGGCACCATTTTATGCTGCTTGTGCCATCGCTGAAAGAGCTTTGTATTAAGGTTGATACTTTTGTCAAGGTAAGTGAGTGTTAATGCGACTGAACATAAATATGTGAAAGAATAGTTATATAAAAAAATTAAGCCGCTGTAGTTTCACGATACAAGGCAAACGTCTAACTTACAGCCAGGTGCAGTGACAGTAGACAATATAAAGTGATGAAAATGAAATTCAGAGTTTTGTTTGCTAAAAACTCTCCACACTTTTCCTTAAAGTTTCGTTATTTCCACGGTGTTTCAGCAAGTGGTTTTCTTAATGTATTGTTATTATTATACTGTTGCGGTTGTTCATACACTCGGATTCAAGCGTATTAAGCCCTGCATGTTCAGTTAAAGTGCTGACATTTTAACTGACGAACGCAACAATCTCTCTTACCTGGCTAAGGTCAGCCAGAACCCGCTACCACCATCTACAGCTGCAGCTGTTTTCGCTTGCGCGAATACTCTCTGGCTAGCTTGGACGCTGACCCGGAGGAAACGATATTTCGAGATTAATCCGGTTGTACTCTGATAGCAGCTGAGAAATAGGTCTTGCATCATTCTCAACGATTGTGTCTACTGTGCGGTGATTAGAACTGGAGATCAGTGTTATGAATTTTAACCTTGGATATATTGATGAGACTCAGTGAGGTGGCTACAAACAAAAAACAACAAATAACAAATTTTATTGAGCACGCGTGGTTTTTTTAAAACGTTAGGCAAATTAGAAAGCGAGGAAATGCAGACAATTTAAACTGCGGACAAGAAAAACATTTGTTGGCTGCAACTTACTCTGAAAATAACTTGACTGGTTCATATCGACTTTATTTAAGTTAGAGGACTATTCGGAAACTAAAGTTTACAAGACGGATACAGAACGGAACAAACGGAATTAATCAATGGAGTCCTTGAGCTTACAAATAAATAACCTGCGGTTGAGACGGCAAGACTGAGGACTGTTACCATTTGGTCAGTAAACCGAAATTCAGTGGATATAACTTCTAGGTCCATTGCAGACTGATTTTACCAACATCTAAATGAGGACTAATAATTACTATGAAGTTAGCTCTAGTTAGTAAACTACTCAGTATCTGGACCGTCCGTAAACAGGAAGAGTTAACTCAAGCAAAACAAATTTCGAACTAAATGTTCCTTATAAACCGAATGCTTGTTTTGCCGACATAAATATTACTACAAAAGAAAAGCTGCATTGGACAGTCGCGACTGAAGATCTCAATGATAAAATTATTCGGTAAACACATGATCTACACTAACCAGTGCAACTGTGATTCGCGTTTGAAGTTTAAGACATTAGCGAAAGTGTGCTAAATGTAAGCCTACTTGAAGGTGCTTGATAGACATCCTAAACGTCACAAGAAAACATTTTTCCGCTCTTTATTTGATTGGACTAGATATAGCTTTCTCTTTTATTAAAAGGCAATGCTCATCACATAGCTGTCTTATTTTACTGTACGTTTTAGCTAGCGAAGGAACGTATTGAAGAAACAAGTTACTGCAAGGTAAGTCTGTTCGTTCTTGCGAAGGAAGCTTTTTACCAAAATTAGTCAAGAACTTAACTAAGGTTCGTTCAAAAGTATAGCAGGTAAAACTGAGAGCGTCATGCATTGAGTTTAAGATGAATCATTTTGGAATGCACTCGGGTGCACTAAAGACGGGGATAATGAAAAACACAAAATCTGCAGTTTTCTAGGCCATTTTATATATACGCAGAATTTATCTTAAGCGAGTCTCCTAATCTAGGAACTAAATCTTATGTGATTCATTTTTGCATTGTGCCATGAAGTCAGTGTGAAAAAGGCTACCCTTTAGCGGCCGTTTTAAAGGTTAACACGTTCTGGTTAAGAGAGCTTATAGCTTGCAGACTAGTGTTCAAGTACTATTTTTCAAGTTTTAATTTGCTTTATGGACAAATCACTTCCATGCACCCCCAGTGAAATACTAGGTCATCAGAACCTCTTCAGAGTATTTATACCTTAAAACAGGAAGAGTTAACTCAAGCAAAACAGTGTAAGTCTCTCTTTATGCTGTTTATAAATGTATTATCAATTTAATGTCCGAGTAGTGCACTCACAACTTTGTTCCCATATTGCTGACCCACTTGAAATTTAGAAATGTTGCTTTCTTAGGGTGGAGAGAACCTTATGGCGTCTTTTGTAAATCCAAATTAAAAGAGCCAGGTTCTTATTTTTGTCACACATGTTTTGATTTCTCTCTTTTTTACAGTTCCCTTATTG